GACTACGACTACGACTACGACTACTACTACTACTACTACTACTACTACTACTACTACTACTATTACTACTTCTACTACTACTATTACTACTACTACTACGACTACGACGACTACTACTACTACTACTACTACTACTACTACTACTACTACTACTACTACGACTAAAATTTGTTGTGGTAGAACTCGGAGGAAGAGGAAAAGGTTGTCGGACCAATCCGATTCACCGCCGAGTGACGAGGGGGGGTGTTCGGTCCAAACTAAAGACTTATCAAGGTTATCTGTTTTGCTTCCGCCACCTCTTCTGTCCTCCTCCCTCGTCCCTCCTCCTCCTCCTCCTCCTCCTCCTCCTCCCCCTCCTACCCCTGCTCTTCCTCCTCCCTGCCGGGAGGCTTCCAGAGGCACCCCACAAACAGTAAAACAGGACCCCGATGCTGGAGCTTCACTAAGTGGCCACATCCGAACCCTACCCAACACCACCCAACGATTCTTCTGACTCGATGGGAATGTCGGCGGTGGACAAACCTCCCTTTAGTAAACCTCCCCTTAGTGCGAGCGGCCTGGGGCCGAGGCCGACGGGCCTGGACCCGCAAAAATGACGACCGCGACGCCCTCTCGCGAGCCGAAAACGGCAAATTCCTTAATCGACGTGTCAGGGTAGGGGGTCCGTCCACCCCCGAGAATGGGAGGCGGGGGCAGGGTCCGAATGTCGCACGCGAACTCCGTACCCCACCAATTGCGACCCCATCGAAATGCCCGAATCGACCATCGGCGAGGGTAGGGCTCGGCATTCGCCGCCGAGGAGCGGCAAGACCAGAAGGCCCACGATCTCGGAGCTCCCGCCTTCCCCCCCCCCAGCCCCGATGCGGACCTCCAGCAGCCGGTGTCCAGGCCAGCCCTCCTCCTCCTCCTCCACCTCGTCCTCCTCCACCTCGTCCTCCTCCTCCTCCTCCTCCTCCTCCTCCTCCTCCTCCTCCTTCTACTCCTCCTCCTCCTCCTCCTCCTCCTCCTCCTCCTCCTCCTCCTCCTCCGCTGCGAGCAAGGACAGGGCGCGCGGGGCGAGGCGCGCAGCCCTCCCGGCAGGCGAGGGGGGCCCAGTGGGGCCCCGGGGGCACCCTCCAGAGGAAGAAGGCGCGGCACGGGCACATGAAGCATACCATCGTCGGGGATCTTCTGCCCCGGGTCAGTCCAGACCCGGGTCAGCAGGAAACCAAAAACTGCAATGCAGGAAAACAAACAAAAAAAATGCAGGTCTTCGCAAACCAGGGTCAGCCAATATGCGCGGCCGCCTCGCGGCCACGAGCGGCTCGCCAACCCGGGTCAGCCAGAGGGGATCTTCGCAGGATCCTGCAGGATCCGGAGCCCTGGCTGACCCCCGTTTGCGTTGACCCCCGTCTCAAGGCTCCCGACATCGCTCGGGCTCGAATGCACCGGCGGTGGACTTCTCCCTTTAATAGACCTCCCCCTAGTTAAAGCGGCCTGGGGCCGAAACCGACGGGCTTGGACCCGCAAAAATGACGGCCGCGACGCCCTCTCGCGAGCCGAAAAAGGCAAATTCCTTCATCGACGTGTCAGGGTAGGTCTGTCCACCACCGAATGCACATGAAGGGGGTCGGCTTTCTTACGATCTGGCCCATCGTGCGCTGGTCGAATGGTGCTACCCGTACGTTCTCCTGCCCCACGGTGCGTTGGATGTCGGGAAAGGCACCGCGAGGGGAAGCGCCAGGGGCGGCGCCGGGGGTCCCAGAGCAGATCCAAGAAACCCGCGCGGAGCTCCAAAAGGTTTGCGATTGTGATGCGTCTTCTTCCACTTCTTTTTCTTCTTCACTTTCTTTTCCTTCTTCTTCACTTTCTTATTCTTCTTCTGCGCTTTCTGTTTCTTCTTCACTCACTGGTTCTTCTTCTGCTTCTTCTTATTATTATGTTTGACGTTCTTCTTCTTCTTCTTCTTCGTCCCCCTCGTCGACTCCCAGAAGGCCCCTCGGGAGGCGGAAGGGTCTCCCAAGGAGGCCCCTCGCGACCGCCCCACCGTCGTCCCTGCGCGCCCGCCGCCGTCCCTGCGCGCCCTCCCGGCTCGCGTGTCGCGCCGCTCCTCCCCCCAGGGCGCCAAGTAAGGGTTGTGGACGCCATGACAATGGACACTCTACAGGGCAGTTTTTAATACATAGGGTTCTTTAAAGAAAAATATAAGATTTTCACACATGATTAATTTATGAATACATGTATGCATGAACTCATCGTTGTCATAAATACTGAACCCCTGAATTTTTAATACATGATCCGCACGCGAAGCATGTATTAAAAACGGCACTGTAGCAGCAGTCCGATCATTCAATTACAGATGTGTTGAACATCTGCAAAACATGCCCTATGGGTGTTCCAACCATGTTGTACCCACAGATGTGAAACACGTTTCAAGCATATTTTAGACATCTGGAAACTATTTGACAGCACGCTTTGGAGGTCGCTTGGGGGGCAGCGTTGTTTCCAAGGCCAGATCCCAATACGCTCAGCGAGCGCGCCTGATCCGTCAATAACAATCCTTACGACACCCATTCGCGACCAGTTCGGACCTTCAGAGTTGCTCTTACCGACGATTGGGCTGCTTAGGTGTGCTCTTACCTTACGAGCATTGCCTCCTCCTCCGTCGCCCCAGAAACACAGATCGCGTTCGCTGCCAATCAGCGACCTGAAAAGCACGCTTTCGCTCCACCAATCGACTTCCACAAAGTAAGGGACACCCCCGAGGCGCAGGGCAGGTGTCCCCGCAGGATGGCCGACACAGGCAGGTCGGGCACCAGCCAAGCCTTTTGCCGCAGGATCATCGCGCCTGCGGCACTCGTTTCCGCTCGTGGGCGGTCGACGCCTTGAACAATTTTCCAGCTGCAGCGAGCCCAAGCAGGCACAGCATGAGGCGACATGCAAGGCCTAGCCTTCTTCTTCTTGTTCTTATTATTCTTCTTATCCTCCTCTTCCTCCTCCTCCTCCTCCTCCTCCTCCTCCTCCTCTTGCCCGTGACCACGCTCACGCGCGGACCCCACGAGCGGCCAGAGAGGCGGGCATTCGGCGGCGGACCAGGGGGGCAGTAAGCGGGCCTTTTCAGAAGGAAGTTTTCGAAGCCTTTCCCGAGGACGCAGAAAACTGCTCAAAGGCCGGGGGCCTTCTGAGAAGTCCCGCCGCTTTCTCAGAAGGCTTTATCATTCTCAGTTGCCCCCCTCAAGCGCCGCCGAGGTATGGAGAGAAAATCGGACTCTGGAGCCGAGTTAGTCTGTCCATGACTTGCCTCTATTCGCGTCCAGAGTTAGAGGCAGCAGAAGCGGTAAATCGCGTCGTCGCTCCTTTCACGCTGCTCGGACATTGGCTGATGATGGCCGTTGCAGTGATCGATGTTTTCAGGATGACGGGACAGCAAAGCCGAAGCAAGGGAACTGTGCGAAAAGAGTGGAAAAGTGAGAAGTTCTGTCGTGCGGGCAGTACCTCTGTCCGTATCCAATGCAGCTTGGAGTTTCAGGCAACTTCCCCAGAAATCCGACGGCGCAGTGGATATATGGATAAACATCTGGCCCTACAGGCTCGATCTTTATCCAGATCCAATGTGCCGCGGCCTTGCGGCGCACCTTCCAGGCAAGTCCAAGACGCACTGGACATGGACGTAAATATTGCCCGCACCGTCAGGTGCGTTGTGAATGAAGGCCGCTCGGCAAGGATCTCCTCCAGCTCCACATTCAGCAGAGGCCAGGCCCAGTAGGAGGCCCACCAAATATGGAGCCCTCTGACTCCAGCTGGCCTCGGCGCTGCCCGACGGGGGGCAAAGTCCAGTCGGGAGCCCACTAGGATCGAGTCGAAACTGACAGTGAGTGAGAAGGCGCGAGAAGGATGCAAGAGCCTTGGACGCCCATGTCGAAGCTTCTTCCAGAGGGGCCGACCATCCAAAGTGGTTGAGGGTGGACCGAAGGGGCGGAAAAGCTCATGGGGGAAACATCGACCTGGGATCGGCGATGCATCGCCGAGGTGTCGGCAGAGGGCCCCCGACGCACCACACGGCCCTGGGAGGGGTGGGCCCCAGTCGGCGATGAATGGGCGACTGGGGCTGGATACACCCCCACGAGCCTGCCCCCCCACCCCTGCCGCTGCCCCTGGAGACGGAGCGCCCTGGCTCCGGCTGGACCTGCTCCAGCTTGACCGGGCGTCGTCCGGCACGCTGCGTCGTGGCTCCTCCTCCTGCGGGCCCCCGGGGGGGAACTCGGACAGCTGCCCGCAGAAGTTGGGGCAGACCTCGGGGCGCTCCTGAGGCGGTGGAGGGGGGGGCGAGCTGGCGTCGGCTTCTTCTCGAGGAGAAGGGGAGGGAGCATCGAGGATGAGGAGGAAGATCTTTTTGCAAGAGACTGGATGGAGGAGGGGAAGGAGGAGGAGGAGGAGGAGAAGGGGTGGGCATCGGGGAGGAGGAGGAGGGCCGAGGCGAAGGGAGGTCAGCATCTCGGGGCCTCCTGGAGGTCCGGCGATCGACCGCTCAGTGCCGGGCAGGCGCGCCGGCCCTTCTGTGGAGAGCGCGGCCGCGCGGGGGTGGCCGCGGGAGGGCCGGGTCCCCGCGCGCGCCGGCCGGTGCCGGGGGGCGGGCGGGGGGGGGGCCCAATGGGCCCGCACCGGCGGCCGCTCGTGACTGCAGGGCAGGTTTTAACACATGGGATTTTCAAGCATGAATATGTGATGTTCGACGCATGACTCATGTATGCATAAGGTTACGCATGAACTCTTCGTTGTTTTCCGTGCTGAATCCCTGCATGTTTAATACACGATCCGCACGCGGAGCATGCATTAAAAACGGCACTGTACCTGCCAGAGCACCCCAACCCAACCCGAAGACCCGAATATTTCGGGTTGGGGGGGGTATGGGCTCTACATGTGTGTTCTCGTTCGACGTTCCCGGCCCCCCCCCCCCGCAACCGGAGATGGAGGGCAGATTGAGGCCTTCGGGTTGGGCTGGGGCGGTCTGGTGGGTGGTGAACTCGGGCGGAGGAGGAGGAGGAGGAGGAGGAGGAGGAGGAGGGGGAGGTGGCTGGGGTGGTTTGGTGGGTGGTGAACTCGGGCAAAGCGTCACACCGACGTGCAGCGGTGCCCTGCCTCCCGCGGAGCCAGCGGACGCGGGCGCCGCCGTGCTGAAGGCGAGGCAAGATGGGAGGGCGTGCATGCTCGCGCGGCGTCGGCGCGCGCAAAGGTGTTTGACACAGCGTCGATGGTTTAATCTGATGTCGGGCGTGTCCCCCTACAGGGAGATTTTCGACGAAAAATAAAAAAAACAAAATGCCCCAAATGGTCAAAAAATACTTTAAAAATAGTCCCCGGACTACTTTTGGATTAATGTTTGACTATTTTGGGACAATCCCCCTGTAGGGGGACACGCCCGACTTAAGTTTAACCTTGAGCCGATCGCGGCCCCGATCGTTCTAGGTTGAATTCCGTGGGGTCCAGTGGCACTGCCGTGCCCCATCGGTGGTTCCACGTCGTAGAATTCAACCTTGAGCGCCTTCGTCAGCGAACTCGTCGTACCAACGCCGCAGAGACCTCCCGTACATGCCCCGTGCGCGTGGGGTTCCTGCATGAGGAGGCCCACGAACCACCTTCCCCTGTGTGTTCCCTGTTGCGTTCGACCGTGCCTTTCGCCGATCCGAGCGCCACTTTCACGCTCGTCCTCCATGCCGCGAAGGCCGACGATTGCCCGTCGAATCTCTGCTCGAATTGAATTCTCTTGAGCGACACGCCCAGGCGAACTCCACCTGTGCAAATGTCGAAACGGATGAGCGGCGCCGTGGGGAGAACAAACAGCATTGCAGCACCGAGCTACTTCCTTCAAACGCTGATTTCTTCGGCGGCGAGCGATGGGGGGAAGTGCGGAGGGGCGGGCCTTCTCAGAAGGCTCGGAAGTCCTTCAGGCTTCTGAAACAGTTTCCTAAGGCTTGCCCGAAGACAGAGAAAACCTCTTGGAAGGCGCGAGGGCTTCCGAGAAATCCCGCCGCCTTCTGAGAAGGCCTTCTCCTTCTCGCTTACCCTATTGCGTGATAGACAACTTAAACACATCTGACATGTAGCTAAAGTTCGGATCACTGCAGAACGTAAAGGAGTGACTTGCAACGCATCGGTTCAATGATTGATCAAGTATGCAACCCAGATACTTGACAGATGTTCGCTCGCCGCCGAGCTCTGCAGACCGGGAGGTGGAACCTGACGCGCAGCTGCGCCGTTCTCCCGACGCCCCGTACCAGAACCTTCGGACTGCGAAGGGAAAGCCGTCCACCGTGGCCGATCCCCTGCCCGTGGGGCCGGACTCCCGCGTCCGGGTGCCGCGGCCCCGCCGCGGGCCGTCAGGTACAGCCGGCGGCCCGGGATGTGTGTCGTGCCCTTCCGGCAGGCGCTCTGCGGAAGACGCTGGTGAGAAGGTGGATCGGGAGGTGGACCCCTGGACCGTAGGATCTTGGACGCCATGACACTGGACACTCTAACAATCCGATCGTTGAATTAGAGAAGTGTTTCAAATGTATAGAACATGTGCTAGACACGTCTCAATCATGTCCTTTACATGTTCAAAACATGTTTGAAACATCCTTTAGACATCTGGAAATTGTTTGGCAGTATGCGTCCTCTCCATTCATCGACTTCCACAACCGTGGGGCACCGCGACACCGCTGGGCCGTCCCATCGTGACCGTTGTGGTCGGCACTTGAAGACCCAGGGTTATCCTGGAAGCGTCATCCGCCCGGTCGCGCGTCCTGTGCAGGGAATGCTGCCTGACGCGTGCGACCGAGTAGAGATGGACGCTTCACTCCTCACATGATCAAATACTCGGAGATGGCGTTCCAACCGATGGTGAACAGGGCATCTGGCAAATCCGGTCGCGAAGATGCGCGTCCCCAGTGCACGACCAACAAAACCGTGCAGATCTTTCCTTACCGATGATCCTTCTGGCCAACTCCATGTTCTGTGGCAACGCATGGGAGCCTCCCATACCATCCTATCGGCTCTTGCAAGTCAACGCTAATCGACGCTGTTCGGCGCTAAATCGACGCCAATCGAAGTTTATCTGGCGCTAAATAATCGATTACCAGACGCTCGTCGACGATAGTGCGATCTAAGGACAGAATTGCGAGGGTACAGAAGGCACCCATGATTTGCTACCAAATCCATGTAGCCAATAGGTTCCAGCGACGTCTGACGAGTCGCCCTCAGGACCTGAAGCGAACTGGAACACGTGTCCGAAACCGCCGCGGGGCCGAAGCCGACAACCGCGCTGCGCACGTACATACTGCACGCCGAGTCGAACGGGGGAGCGACTCCCGGAACTGGCTGTTGGTGTAGAACCACGGGTAGCCCCCGACCCACGTCGCAGTCATGGCCCAAACGGCACCTTGCCAGAGGGCCGTCGGGTGACTCTCGTCGAAAGTAGCATTATTGGGTTATCATGTAGGTGATGTTGTGGAATCATCAAATCAGGATCGCGTGCCTACCAGCACCCGAGCCCCAACGGTGGCGGCATGATACGATCCTGCACCCCCGAGATGATTCCTCGATGAGACGATTCAGGCCGTCGGCGCCCCCGAACTCGTCGGCGCCCCCGAACCGCTCGATCGTCTTCCAGGCGTTGACGGGCATGACGGATCTTCGGAACCCAACTCTCACCCCGTTCGCGCCGTTCGCGCATGTGGCCCTCGCAGCGGTGTTGGGCGTGGCTTAATGAGGGGGTCATGAATGGGGGAGTCAGAAACGGTTCCCTTTCGTGCCCCTTTCGGGCCCCTCTGGAGCCCCAGGGGGCTCGTTTAGGTACCGTTTGGGTACCTTTTCGGACCACCCTCGCCACCCCCCCCATTTATGACCCCCCCATTACGCGGCGCCCAACGGTGGGGAGCGCGGTGTGCTCTCCGGCCCAGCGAGCACGCCGTCGCTCGCGCAGCAGCGCCGCCGAGACTCGCAGGCCGGGAGCAAGCCCGCGGTAGAATCAAGTCGGGCCTGTCCCCCTACAGGGGGATTTTCGACGAAAAATCTAAAAAATACCCCAAACATACACCAAAAAGGCAAACAAATCCTCAGAAAATAGTCCCCAGACTATTTTCGGACAATGTTTACAAAATTTGTAGGGTATCTTGCATTTTCCTCGAAATTCCCTCTGTAGGGGGACAGGCCCGAGTTAGCGGTAGCAGCGCGGGACGCCGCCGTCCGCGCAGAGCTTCTGCACCACCTCTCTCCGAGAGAGAGAGCCGCCGTGCGGGTACCCGTCGAGCGGAAGGAGCGGGCAGATCATGAAGCAGGAAGGCGCTGGAAAGGAGGAGGAGGAGGAGGAGGAGGAGGGGGAGGAGGAGGAGGAGGAGGGACGAGGAGGGACGAGGAGGGACGAGGAGGACGAGGAGGAGGAGGAGACTCGAACGTCGAACGCAAAGTAGGGTGGGCTTCTGCCCGCCCCCTGGAGAGGAGGGAGGAGGGAGAGCCACTCGAGCCTGGAAGTAGGGAGGGCGCCCACCGTGGACTGGACTCTGGGGATGCAGAAATGCCTACATCCAGCGCCCGACGGGTACTGGTGGCTCGTGATGATGCGCCTCCACGTGAGGGCCAGCACGTTCGATGGCCTGCGCGCCCATGTCTGCCGGGCCCCCGCTCACGGCCCTCTTCGACGCCTTACAGGTCGCTTCCGAGAAAGAAGGGGTCGCCTTCATCGCGACCTCGGACACGACTGGCCCGACCGAAAAATATACTCCAGATTTCGTAATAAAAGGGAGGGGGTCTGGACCCTCCAAGACAAGCCATTTCAGACCTCCCCCGTGGGAGAACCCTCCAAAACATCGTCCCCAGACCCCCCAGGCCCTCCAAGATAGCCTGGAAGAGACCCCCCCCGAAATGAGACCCCCCTCCCTGTATTACGAAATCTGGAGTAGCAGTGCACAGATCGAGCCAAGACGCTCGAGCCAAAATGGCCACGGATGCGGCGACTGCCGACTCTCGGAGGCTCTGGGCTGCGTGGGGCGGGGGGCGGGGGCGAAGGGTGGGAAAGGGTCGAAGGCTCTCGCCATCGCTCGGACGCCCATTCCCAATGCATTTGAAGGGGCCCTGAGACACACAAATAAATACACACAAATAAACAGATTCCCCATATTTTCTTATATTTTCTTAGTTTTTGTCTTCCCCCCCACTTCCCATATTTTCCCATATCTTCTGGGAGTCGACGATTAATGGTGTCTGTGTGTTGTTTCCCCTCCTGAGCATTGTTCGTTGTCGGGCGTGTGGTTTTCCGCATGACGATCCAAGACATTCCTCGATGGCCATCGCCGAGGACAAAATACACACGTCCATGCGATGCCGAGAAGGGGGGTGGCGAGGGAGGAGGCGAGGAGGGCCGAGGGAGGGTGGGGTCGAGGGTCGAGGAGGAGAGAGGGAATGAGGGAAGAGGGGAAGGCAAGAGGGAGGGCCCCTCTACAGCCTGTCCTCCCTCCTCGAGAACCGACATCGTGGAAAAATCCGACGTGGCGAAACACAAGTACAGCCAACCCGTATACCGCACGATGAGGATGCAAGGGCCTTGGAAAGCCATCCCTCGCCCCTAACCGATCCACGAAGGCCCCCCCGCAGGCTGCATCGGGGCGACCATGCCAATTGTATGTGTGTGTGTGTGTTTGTGTTCGGCGACGCCCAAGTCTCAGGACCACCCCTCCGACACGTCACTCGAGGTACCGCAAACGGCAACTTACCATCGCTCGGACGTCCATTCCCCGTGCATTTGTTCGGCTTCGTGCGTTTAGATTCCGCGAGATGATCCAGGGTGCTCCTCGATGGTCCTCGCCGATGAAAAATGCACACGACCCAGCGATGCCAAGAAACTGGTAAAAATGTCGACCCCACTGCCGGCACCAGGGGACGATAAATGGAAGGGAAAAGGAAGGCCGTTGGGGGCCCTGCACAACTCCCCTAAGGACCCTACAGGGACCCTGTTCTGCAGCCCTCGCTGCCACCCCAAATATCGCCACCCCATTACGCGCCGCCCAACCCGAGGAGCAGACCTTTCATCGGGGATGCCAACTTTGATGGACGGCCCTGGAGCGCGGAAGGGGCTTCTGGAGGCCGAGATGCGGGATGAACGCGGGCGTCGAAACAATCACGACGCCTCAGGGTCTGAGCTATGGGTCCTCCTCATCCCAGGGACCTCCTGGCGAGAACCTTGACCATTATCTCCACAGACATCCCGCCCGCGGCGACGGGGGGAACGCTCTATGAGGCTCCCAAAACGCGGCGGCGAGCCCGGGGGGGGAAGTTCGAAGGGGCGGGCCTTCTCAGAAGGCTCGAAAGTCCCCTGGCCTTCTGAGCAGTTTTCTGAGCCTTCCCCGGATGCACAGACGACTGCTCGGAAGGCGCGAGGGCCTCTGGGCTCCCGAGAAGCCCCGCCGCCTCTGAGGGGGCCTTCTCCTTCTCACTTCCCCCGCTTGGATGGCCGCCGAAAAAGATTTAAGCCTGGATCCTCGATCCCGGAGCGTCTTCTCCGCGACCAAATTTGGTCCCCACAGTGCCCCAAGAAGCCGTCGTGAGGTCTCCTCCTCCTCCTCCTCCTCCTCCTACCCTCTCGAGCCCCCCATCCTCCTTCTCGCCGCCATGGGCCGGCGGAGTGAGCAAAGATGCCCGAGTCCCGAGGCGGATCTCATCCCTGCCCACAGCCCGTGGCACCGACCTCCGGGGGCCTCGGCGGGCGGGGATGTGGACAGCCTCGGGCCACGGGGAGGGGGCCAACACCGAAGGGGCCAAGGGACACGCCAGTGTATATAGGGAATCGAACTCTATACAGGGCAGTGTTTAATCCATAGGATATTCAAAACAATACGATTTTGATACATTATTAATCTATGAATGCATTTATGCATGAGCTCATCGTTGTTTGTAATACTAGATCCCTGCATTTTTTATACACGATCCGCACGCGGAGCATGTATTGAAAACGGCACTGCAGGGAATCGAACTCTATACTACGACGCTTCTTCCAGCCCCGCATTCGGATTTGCACTGGAAAGCGGATCCTGGTGTATACGGGACCCTGGTGTATACATGTTTCGTTGCTTCCCCGGGACACCGGGGAGAAAAATATACACCACACGACCCCCAGCGTCGTCCTCGGCCCCAAGAACACCTGGGGTTGAAAAACAGCCCGCCACTGATGTGTTCCAGCTTCCGAGCATAGACGCCACTGCCAGAATCCCACATCCGTTCCTGTGGTTTCTGGACGGTCGTCCTGCCCTCCGCTCCCCACGCTTTTCGCACTTCCCCTGGGGATCGACGATCCCTTGTGCCTGTGTGCTTCTTCTCCCCTCCTGAAGCATCTTTCCAGATCCGCCGCTTACAGACGTGCCTGCATATCGATTCCCCTGGGCGGTGGCGACGGACGAGTCTAGGGAGCCAGATGCGAACCCTACCCCTACCCCCCACGATTTCTGAGGAGTGTGGGGTTCACTGCGTTCGGGAGCTCCCGAGCGAAGTGAACCTCCCCCCACCCCATCAGAAATCGTGGGGGGTAGTGGTAAGGTTCGCATCTGGCCCCCTAGAGTCCCCGCCTCGCAGAAGCCCAGAGCAACTGGCCGCCGTTTGGAGGCGGCAGAGGGGGGCTGAGTTGGTCGGGTCCCCAAAAAAGCGGCCAAGAGCGGGTGATGAAGGCAAATCCGCTCGAAATCAGTGCTCGGATCCCTCTCGGGATCCATCTGGCGCAGCTTCTCGAGACCCGGGGCCCGAAATCGGCCCCCAGAAGTCGAAGAGGGCCAAAAGCCTCCTCGGGCCCAGAACCTCGAAACGCTCCCCTCCCCCCTCCGTGCTCGCTGGCACCAGTGCTGGGCCACCTCGGACCTCCAGCCGACACCAGGCCGCCGTGACCTCGTCGCGTTGCCGGAGGTGGCCCTGGGGCGCCCTGACCCCCCGGCGGGCGGCGCTCCATCGCCAGCGTCAGCAGCGGCACCAGGCAGCTGGACTGCAGCTGGAGCCGATCGGCCCCCGCGTCCTGTCGCCGAGGGGGGTACGCACTCAGATCGAGGAGCGGGGCATGTTTGAACATCGACGGGACATCGGCAGCTACAGCTGCCGACGTACAAAGGCTGGCGAGACCTGGTAGGGGAAGGAACATGTAAGTTGAGCAGAGCGATCTGACTGAATGCCGGATTCGCGTGCCACCTGCTCCTTCCCTGCGAAGCATCTCGCGAACGCGTGCGAGCTTGGCCAACCCAGTTCGAAGAGTAGAGGCGGCGGAGAGAGGAGTATGCACGGGGAATGGAAGATGACTTCTTAGATGGAGCAGCCATCGCGGGCGAGGGCCGATGGAGAGTTCGAAGAGTAGAGGCGGCAGAGGAGGTGAACGGAGGATGATGGCTTATCGGATGCTGCAGCCAGCGCGGGCGTGGGCGGATGAAGAGTTCGAAGTAGAGGCGGCGGAGGGAGTGGAGGATGGTGTCTCGGATGCTGCAGCCAGCGCGGGCGAGTGCCGATGGAGAGTTCGAAGAGCAGAGGCGGCGGCGGAGGTGGACGGAGGATGGAGGATGGCTTCTCGGATGCTGTAGCCGCCGCGGGGGAAGGCCGATGGAGAGTTCGAAGAGAAGAGGTGGAGGGGGGATGTAGACGAAGAACGGACCAGAAGCCCAAGGGCGTCGCTGATTGACAACATAACAAGACTGGCACGCTCGCCCAATTTCGGGCCCTGGGGATCTCAAAGATCGATTCCGCTCTCGAGATGCCGCAGAAATACCGGTCGACCGCTCTGGGCGTGTTCTGTTTGCGGCGTTGTTATTTCACAATGTCGGATATCGGGGAAGATGTAGGAGGGAGGAGGGAGGGAAGATGAAGAAGGAAGCGTAGCAATCTGATGAGCAACATGAGGAGGAACATGATCTTCCAGAAAGATCGAGTCCCCCAGGTCGGATGAGGAGCAGGAGGAGGAGGAGGAAACTGAAACGGAGAGGACAGAGATGATAACGTACCAGGGCCCAGAAGCATATTCCTCGGGGGGAACACCACGGGGAAGGGTCGAGGGAAAGAACCGGTGACGGGGCAACGAACTGGGCGGAAGGATAGTCGGCTACACGCAAGAGTGACACTGGGTAAGAGTGACCTTTGGTGAGCGAATGTTTGGGGGCCGCGAGGGGACCAAACCTAGGTGCGCAAGCAGCTGCTGTTGCTGCTTCGTTTTCAGCCATCTGGGAACCCATCTGTGCCCGCACCAAAGGTCACTCCAGCGAAAGGTCACTCTTACGTCTACAGTCAAAAACCCTGATGAGGACGCGCAGCAAGGACGCAAGACCCTTGGAAGCCGAAGTTGGGATTTTTGGGGCGGCGGACGACGAAAACCGCAAGGACGCAAGAGCAAGGAAGAGCAAGGACGCAAGGGTACCCTGAGCAAAGTCGCGCGTCCTTTTTAGGGTTTCCAGCTGTAGTCGAGACAGGGAGGAGCAACGGAGGAGAAGTGTCGATAGGAAGATGGAGGAACACGCAGGAGGAGGAGGAGGAGGAGGAGGAGGAGGAGGAGGGAGGAGGAGGAGGAGGAGGAGGAGGAGGAGGAGGAGGAGGAGGGGAGGACGGGGAGGACGGGGAGGGGGAGGGGGGAGGAGGAGGAGGAGGAGGAGGAGGAGGAGGAGGAGGAGGAGGAGGAGGAGGGGGAGGAGGAGGAGGAGGGGGAGGAGGGGGAGGAGAGGAGGGGAGGAGGAGGAGGAGGAGGAGGAGAGGAGGAGGAGGAGGAGAGGAGGAGGAGGAGGAGGAGGAGGAGGGAGAGGAACACGGGGGGGGGGAGGCAGCGATCCAGCTGCGCGCAGCTGCTCTCTCTCTCTCTCTCTCTTTGGCGCCCTCGAGGCGAGGCGCGAGCCGCCGCCGAGCGCCGCAGGCTTCTCGAGATCCCGCTCCCTCCCCCTCCTCCTCCTCCTCCTCCTCCTCCTCCTACCTCACTCCTCCTCCTCTCTCCTCCTCCTTCTCCTCTCCTCCTCCTTATTCACCGCCTCCTCCTCCTCCTCCTCCCTTATTCACCTCCTCCTCCTCCCCCTCCTCCTTAGTTACTCCGCCTCCTCCTCCTCCTCCTCTCCTCCTCCTGCTCTTCTTCCTCCCTCCTGCTCCTCCTCCTCCTCCTCCTCCTCCTCCTCCTCCTCCTCCCACCCCCTTCCTCCTGGAGGGGCGGAACGGACATGGGCTCTCGTAGCCTGGGGCCTTCACAGGGCGCCCAACACCTTGGAGCCCCCCCCCCCTTCTGGGGCAGGGGGCAGGGAGCGCAGGGAGCGGGACCTCTGAGCCTGAGGCCCCACGCGGGGGGACTCCAAGCTCTGGAGGCGCGGCCCCACCCCCGCCCCCCAGCCACGAGTGGTCTCCCAGATTTACCAGCCTGGCAAATATCCCTATCCCTATGCTGGGCACCTCCTCATCACGATGCCAATCTTAGGGATTCCCTTTTTTTGAGGGCGAATCCCTAAGATTGGCATCGCCTTTTGGCGTGTGAATATTTGGGATAAGGATACGTTCGAGGCTGGTAACCCACCCCCGCCCCCCAGCCACGAGTGGTCTCCCAGATGGGCTCAGGAGTAGATGGGGTCGGATGATCGCGCGGCATCGCCGCTGCATCGGCGGTGTGTCGGCGATGCGTCGGCGATGCATCGGGAAAGTCGGTGTAGAGAAAATCGGGCTCCACATCGAGCCGCATCGCCGATGCATCGGCGATGCGGCGCGATCCTCTCACCCAGTCTACCAGGACCCCATCTGGGAGGCCTGAGCCCTGACCACGACGTCATGCTTTGTTCAGAACGTCGAACCCCATAAATCTCGACCCATTCCCTGGGACCGGCTTTTCATCCCGAATCGTCGTTCGCGGTCCTGAAGCCCGGTCAAGGCCCCCCGAGGCAGAAAATACCGAAACATCTTCCGTCGTGATTTTGTCATGCCTCGAGGAGGCCTAGGATCTGCTCGGACCCCACCTAGGAGAACTTCCCCCAAAGAAGCCTCACCCGCAAGGCGCGACGGCGGACATGTGCGCGGCAGCGCGCCGAAACCTCCAGCAGCTCGATCCTCCAGGGCCGCAGGTCTGCAGGGTCCCCTAGACCCCCAGGGGGCGGTGTATATACGGGTGTTCGGGCAATTCCCGCACCTGAGAATAAAACGCATGGTGAGGCCAAAGGAAGGTTTCAGTAAGGTGTTCTTCAGAAAGTTCCAGGAATCCTGGATTCTGCTAGAGGAATGATTTAGAAATATTTTTTGTTTTGAAAGGTTCCAGGAATCCTCAATTCTTCGTGAAGAAGGTTTTAAGAATGTACAACAGTCCTTCTCTAGAGGCTCTCACTATGAATCCTTTTTTGTGGAGGCTCTCAATAGGAATCCTTTTGTAGAGGCTCTCAGTAGGAACCCTTCTTGTAGAGGCTCTCAAAAGCACATTTGTGTATTGGTGTCCAATTGGAATCCTTTTGTAGAGACTCTCAATAGGAATCCATGATGTAGAGGTTCTCAGCAGGAATCCTTTTGCACAGGCTTTCAATTGGAATCCTTTTTTGTAGAGGCTCTCAAAAGAAATCCTTTTGTAGAGCCTCTCAATAGGAATCCTTTTGCATAGGCTCAAAAAAAAGAATCAATGTGTATTGGATTTCAATCGGAATCCTTCTGTATTGGCGTTCACTAGAAATCCTTTCGTGGAGGCTTTCAATAGGAATCCTTTTGCAGAGGCTCTCAGTAGGAACCCTTCTGGTAGAGGCTCTCAATCAGAATCCTTTTGCAGAGGCTCTCAATAGGAATCCTTCCGTAGAGGTTCTCAATCGGAATCCTTTCGTACGAGCTTTCGATCGGAATCCTTTATGTAGAGGCTCTCAATCGAAATTCGTTTGTCGAGGCTCTCAACAGGAATCCTTTTGCACAGGCTCTCAAAAGGAATCCATGCGATTGGGTTTCAATAAGAATCATTATGTATTGGTTTTCAATGAGGATATGTTTGGTAGAAGCTCTCAATGAGAATCCTTGTGGAAAGGCTCTCAGTAGGAATACGTTTGTAGAGGCTCTGTATCAGAATCCGTTTGCACAGGTTCTCATTAGGAATCATGGTGTAGAGGCTCTCAACAAGAATCCCTTTGTAGAAACTCTCAATAAGAATCCGTTTGCACAGGCTCTGAATCGGAATCCTGTTTTAGAGGCTCTCAATAGGAATCCGATCGTAGACGCTCTCAGTTGGAAGGTTCCAAGAATCCTCGCATCCCTGGGGCTTCCTGGGGTCTCTTGGGGCTCCCGAAACCTTTTGGGTTTTGATAAAGTAAATATGCACATGGAAAAAGCCAAACCACAACTAACGAAACCAAACACCCAAGGCTGAAAACACAACACGACACAATGCCAAACCAACAACAACAACAAAAACAAGTTTGCAGCACGTTCTCCAAGAGGGCGGCGGGAATGGGTAAGTCTTGAACACTTGTTGGTTGTTGTTTGTGTTGTTCATTGTTTTTGTTTGCTGTCCAGCCCTGGGTCTGTGGTTTCTGTGTTGTTTGGTTGTTCTGTGTGTTGTTTTTTTTGTTGTTCAATGCCCACGCTCCTGCAGGAGGAGGAGGAGAGGGAGGGGGGGAGGAGGAGGGGGAGGAGGATAAGGAGGATGGGGGAGGGGGAGGGGGAGGCTGCCACGCTCCTGCAGGAGGAGGGGGAGGAGGAGAAGGGGATGAGAGAGAGAGAGACAGAGAGAACGAAGAGGAGAGGAGGAGGATGAGGATGAGGATAGGTGGGATGCGTGGAAGAGGAATCTGTATGATCATGTGGGGGGGGGCGACCAATACGCTCGCCCCCACATGATCGTACAGTTTCGCCTTTTCGTGTTAATATTCGTCTTCGTATCCTTCTTCATCTGCGTTGTCGTAGTCTTATTCGTATCCAACTTCTTCTGCATCTTCTGCTTCGGATTCTTCCTCGTTCTTTCGTAGGCGTCGTCCTCATCGCATTCCTCGCCTGCTGCTGACGCTCGTGCCCCTTCCTCTCATGAGGAGGAGGATGAGGAAGAGGAGGAGGACGAGGAAGAGGAGGAGGACAGGAATGGGAAGATCATGAAACACGGGATGGAAGATAAAACATGGAAAGGGGAAACAATCGCATGCGAATTCTTTTGCATTGGCTTTCAATAAGAATCCGTTTCTATAGAAACTCTCAATAATAACCCTTGTGTAGAAGCTTTCAATCGGAATATTTTTGAAGAGGCCCTCAATCGGAATTCGTTTTGTAGAGGCTCTCAATGGGAATATTTTCTGTGGAAACTCTCAACAGGAATCCCGTGCACAGGCACTCAATAGGAGTATATGTGTATTGGGTTTCAATAGGACTCCTTGTTGTGCTTGGTTTTCAACAGGAATATTTGTTGTATAAGCTCTCAATGGGAATCCTTGTGTAGAGGCTTTCAGTAGGAATCCTTGTGTAGAGGCTCTCAATAGGAATCCTTATGTAGATGCTCTCAATCGGAATCCTTTTGTGGAGGCTCTCAATAGGAATGCTTGTGTAGAGGCTCTCAACAAGAATCCTTCTGTACTGGTTTTCAAATCGGAATCCTTCTGCATTTGGTTTCAATCGAAATCCGTTGTAGAGGCTTTCAGCTAGAAGGTTCCAGGAATCTCGGATTCTTCCTGAGGAAGGTTTTAGGAAGGTTTTCTGGGAAGGTTCCAGGAATCCTGGAATTTTCCTGAGGGATGTTTTAGGACGGTTTTTTATGTTTGGAAGGTTCCAGGAATCCAGGGTTCTTCGTGAAGGTGTTTTCCTGGGTCCCCTCCTGGGTCCCTTCCTGGGTTCCCTCCTGGGTCCCTTCCTACGTTCCCTCCTGGGTCCCCTCCTGGGTTCCTTCTTGGGTCTGTTCCTGGGTACCCTCCTGGGTCCCTTCCTGGGTTCCCTCCTGGGTCCCTTCCTGGGTTCCCTCCTGGGTCCCTTCCTACGTTCCCACCTGGGTCCCCTCCTGGGTTCCTTCTTGGGTCTGTTCCTGGGTTCCTCCTTGGGTCTGTTCCTGGGTTCCCTCCTGGGTCCCCTCCTGGGTTCCCTCCTGGGTCCTCTCCAGGAGCCTTCTGGGACCTCACTGGGGCCTCTCTGTGGCCTCCTGGGGCCTCCTGGGGCCTCCTGGGGGCGCCGGAGGCCGTCCGGCCCCCCACGGAGGAAGGGCGGGGGGTGAAAAACCAACGAAACGTAAGGAAACAAAAAACAAAGAACTCAAAGGCAGATCGCAGAAAAAAAACAAAAAAACAAAGGAAACACAAAACAAACAATTCAAGGCTTCGTCCACCCCCGCACCCCCCCCCAGAGAAAGTAGTGGAATATTTGTTTTGTTGTTTTTTTGTTTGGTTGTTCCTTAGGTTGTTTTTGATGTTCGGTGACACGCCTTTGACTTATTGTCTTATTTGTTGTTCCTGGTGTTTTCTTTGTTTTTCCTTGCCGTTGTAAAGAAGGGAGGACGGGGAGGAGGGAGGAAGTGGAGGAGGAGGAGAGGGGTGAGGAGAACCAGGAGGAAGACGAGCCTTGACAGTCGGCTCCCTCTGCAACACACGGGTGCGGGAACAACCGAACACTCACACACACATATATATATATACACATAGATATAGACATATACATATATATATACAAATGAATGAATGAATAAATAAATGAATGAATGCATGAAAGAATGACTCCATACATATGTGTGGCTATCCACGCCTTCGGTGGCAGCTCGTGGGAGCGTCCCGTTAACCATCTTGCTGGCTCTTGCGAATCGACGCTGATCGACCCTACACATCGCCGCTAACAGGCGCCAAATCTGCGCTATCTCCTCGACTATACGACAATGGAACCCTATCAGTCCTATCATTGAATTCAAAATGTGTTGAACATGTCGGACAAATGCTCTAAACATGTTTTAAACATGTGTTTCACACTGTAAGACATGTTTAACACATGTTTTAGACATCTGAGAATGAGTTGGCAACATGCTTCCTCTGCAGTGATCGGCCTCCACAACACTAGTCCACGCAGATGCACTCTACAGACGGACTTGCGAGTATGCGAGGCTCCTGTGAGTTGCTACCGAGCGCATCCACTGGTCCGTGCTGCAGGGCACCGCCCGCAGCAGCTCTGGCAGGGTCCTGGGCCGAGCTTCTGCCTAGGCAGGAGCTCCCCACCGCGTGCACAGCATCTGCGCCGCGACCATCCGGCCTCGAGGGACGCCCCAAATCCACATCCACCGCCTCCAGAGGTGCAGGTGGATCGGTTCCCCAGGCGGTGATGTCTTTTTGTTGTGCCCTTGCATCGCCAGCGCTCCGTCCGCGGTTATGTAGTCCCCTCGAGAACTACCCGAAGCGTTCCCGCCTCACTGAAGCAGTGACAGAGGCGCGCCAGTGGAAGGGAGAAGCTCCCAGAGGCAAATGTAGGGGGGCGGGGAGGAGGGGAGGAGGACGGCGGGAGGAGGGGAGGAGGAGGAGGAGAGGAGGAGGGGAGGAGGAGGGGAGGAGGAGGGGAGGAGGAGGAAGTGGATAGGCCCGTTGCACGTGCGATCCCCGGGAGGTGATGTATGCGTGTAAGCCCCAGCCGCGGTGGGCCTGGGCCTGCCCCCCTCCCCGCCACACAGCGCGGCAGCGGCCGGCGCCGCGCGGCGGCGGCAGCCAAGGCACCAGCCATGCCCCCCCGCTGCCAGGTCCTCGCCGTCCACCCAGCGCTGGAGCCAGGCCTGGCGCCGAGCCGGGGCGCGGGAGGCCAAGCGGGGGGGGGGACGGGAGGAGGGAGGGGAGAGGGGAGGACGAGGAGGAAGAAGGAGTGGGAGGGAGGAGGAGAAGGAGGAGGAGGAGGTGGCGGAGGAGTGTTCTGGTTTCGCAAGCGACCCTGGTCTCCTCAACGATCAACGTCGGGGTACAGAAACGAGAGGCGTGTTCTTGTTTCGCGTGCGCCCCTGGTCTTCTCCTTCCTACCCCTGTTCCTGCTCCCGCCGAGGTATGCTACTCTCGGGGGCGCGCAAACATGGACTAACGATCCATGGATTTGGTACAAAATGCGGCCGGTGCCACCTCGTTCGGCGGCGGAGATCCGCGATGTCCCATGGAAACAGGACCCTTCGCTAATCCACGCCCCCTTAATCCATGTTTGAGATCGACTGATACTCGCGCTCACGCTCATCCTCTCTCCCTGCATCACCCCCTCTCTCCCGTCGCTCCAAACCTCCCTCCGAGCCTGCCACCAAATCCCTCCCCGAGCTCCTCTCGGCTCAATCCTGCGACCCGCTATTTCTTTGCCAGGTAACTGTTGCCGCCAAGGGCCCGAAGCTGGCCTGTGCAGATGCTGGAGACAACTGCAGTCATGCTTGCTCTCGCGGCGCCTTCGATGATGGGTCCCAAGTCTGCCCCTCCTTCCCCACAGCATTGTTCTTGTTCGTCCTGGCTCATTTGTTTGATGGCCCCAGGGCCCCAAACTGGGCCATGGACGCCAGAAAGCAGGGGAAGATGCCGGAACTGAAGACGATACGACGTCGGGGGCTTTGGAACCGCCCAGTCTGCAAGTCCGCCACAGGGTAGCTCCCCGCGCAGGCCGTGGCCGTGGCTTCGAGACGGATCCAGCCGAGGCGACGAGGGAAGCCCCCGAAGGCCCACTTGCCGTCGCTCGGACGTCCATTTCCCGTACATTTGTTGGTTTCGTTCGTATTTTGTTTGCTCGATGGTCCAGGATGGTCCTCGATGGTTCTTGCCGAGAAAAAAATGCACACGTCCGAGCGATGCCGAGCCCACGAGAGGATGACGGGGAGGATTGGCATGACCCGCCGAGGGCCCGCGAGAGGATGACGAAGCGGATTGGTACAGGATGGGGTCCTGGTGGAAGCGGGCCCTGGACCCCCCGGACCTTGCCCCAGGGACCAAGCCATCAGTCCCCGGGTCGATGGGTGGACGGTCCAAAGAAAGCCAGAGGAGGAGGAGGAGGAGGAGGAGGAGGAGGAGGAGGACGAGGAGGAGGAGGAGGAGGACGAGGAGGAGGAGGAGGAGGACGAGGAGGAGGAGGTGGGGGGGAGGAGGAGGAGGAGGAGGAGGAGGAGGAGGAGGCGGAGGAGGAGAGGGAGCAGCAAGGGTCCCGAGCAGGTCAGACGGAGGAACAGCTCCAAAAAGACGCCTGTCCTGCGGCCCCCCCCCCGTCCTGTGAGGCGGGAGAAGGCGCCGCAGCGGCCCCCACACACGGCCTGCTCAGAGGGCCCCCGTCGCGAGGCCTGCCGCACGACGCCAGGACGAGAATAGATCCAGGCGAGGATACACCGCCCAGAATCTCTGAGATCCGGCGGCTCTGGAGGATGTCTCGGGCGCCGCGGCCTTCTCAGAGCGACCCGGAACGCTCTGGACCGGATTCGTCCTCGTCCCAGCCCCGCCCGGTCCCCCTCCCTTGCTTCCCCGAGCCGCCGTCCGGGTCCGAGGTTTTGGCTGCACTGCCATGCAGCTGCGAACTTCCACGGAACTGCTGCTGCCAACCGCTCCCAGGCACGCTGGCGGCGCGAGGCCCAGAAGGCCTCGCTCATAACCTCGACCCCCAGAGGTCTGGAGCCCTTCTTCGGGACCGACGTTTCCTCCTGAGTCGTTTTGTTGACGGCCCCGAGGCCCAGGAAGGGCAGGCCCTCTTGGGGGTCCAACGAAAGCCGAGAGCGGGAAGCTGTGCGCGGGGGAGAACCCCCCGCGGCAGGGCCAAGCCGAGAGGGGGCCGGACCCCTGCCGTGTTCGGCGGCGAGCCCAGGGGGGGGGGAGCCGAGAAGGGGGCGGGCCTTCTCCACAGGCTCGGAAGGCCTCCAGCCTCATGAGAAGTTGTCTGAGCCTTCTCCTCCGAAGTCAGCAGAAGGCAACATCGCGACGACGTCGTGGCGGGAAAGATTGGGGAGGCGGCGGGGACGTCGGCAGCCTGCGAAGCTCGCCGCAGGCGCTGACCTTTTAAACAACTTATGCAATGAGCTAGCCGCAGGCGCCAAGTGGGTGGGTCGCGGGTGGGTCGACGACAACAAACAACAACAAGCAACTCACAACTCACAACACACAACACACAACACACAACACACAACAACACAAAACCACCAACAACAACAACCAACACCAAACAACAACAAACAACCAACACCAAACAACAACCAACACCAACCAACAACAACCAACACAAAACCAACAACAACCAACAACCACTACAACAACAACAGTAACAACACCGACGTCATCAACAACAGCAGCAGCAACAGTAGCACCTACGCCAACACCAATAAGAGCAACAGCAGCAACAACAACAGCAACACCAGCAGCAGCAACAACAACACTAACACCACCACCAACAACAACAGCAGGAACAACAACAACAGCAACGCCAACAACAGCAGCAGCAGCAACAACACCACCACCACCACCACCACCACCACCGCCAGCAGCAACAACCCGCCTCGCGGAGTCCATTCTTCAGCCACGCAACCAGGGACAGTACATGACCGCTCCGCCCCCGCACTCTCATCACCGTCCGATGGGGGCACCGACCGACCGTCCCAGCACTTCATACCACGGAATGTTCCTAGAACCCAAAAATGTTCTAAGAACAAAAAACAATGTTCTTAGAACATAAACCCGACGTGTTAAAACAAGGCAGTCCCAGCCAGAAATGTTCTAAGAACATTTCGTGGGAACCACAAAAGGTTCTTAGAACATTGTTTGGTGGGGCTATAGGCGAGCCGGGACGCTTCGCCACTGCTTGACCGATGGGGGCACCTTGGCCCAGGGACACACGCCAGGCCACGCCCGGCCAGACCTCGCGGCGCGCGACGGGTCTTCCGGGGGGGGGGGCGGCCGAGCGCGCCGCGGCCGCAGTGCATCGCCCCCCCCTCCCCCGCCGCCGCCTCCCTCGCAACAGGGCGAGGAGAATGCCCACCTGCCAGACCACCCCAACCCAACCCGAAGACCCAAAGTTTCGGGTCGGGGGGGGAGGGCTCCTCACGTGCTTTCTCTCTGTGTTCCCCGAGCCCCCCCCCCGCTCTAGCTACTAGGAATGGCAGGCAGATTGGGGCCTTCGGGTGAGCTTCTCAGCGGAAAGCCTCCGGCCCCATCTGAGAAGTTGTCAGAGCCTTCTCCTGCGAAGTCAGAAGAAGGCAGACTCGCGACACAATCGGACCGATATCAATCCGAAATCTCCGAGCATCAGTGGGTTTGGAGGATGTATCGGGCACCGCGGCCGTTTCCAGGCGGCCTAGGCCACTCTGAGAGCGTTCGGGAACGCACGCTCCGGAACGGATTTATCTGATTCGGGGCCCGTCCCGGAGCCTTCTTTTTCGAAGACAGAGGCGACTTCTCAGAAGGCCAGAGGGCGTCTCAGAAGCCCCGCCGCCTTCTGAAAAGGCCTGCCTGCTTCCCGTGGAGCCAGCCAGGGGCCACAAAGGGACCCTGAAGGGCCCCTTGAGGGCCCGTTTCTTCACCCCCCGTGAAGGCGACACCCCCACTACCACCCGCCCGACAGGTCTTCGCCCCCTCGCCCTCCCGCCCCCTCTCCCCTGGCTCGCCGCCGAGTCTTTCTCCGCCCCGGAAGGCCTCGACGAGGGGGTCCTCGTGCGGGCGGACCTCGCAGAGATGCGGCAGCTCCGAGTCCAGGATCTCCTCCGCGATCTGGCCCAGCACGTCGGCCTGTGCGCGGGAGGAGGAGGAGGCGGAGGGGGGGAAGAGTAACGAGGATGAGGACCGAGAAAAAAAAGAGGAGGAGGAGGTCCATTGCAAACCCAAGACTCACCAACGATATTGCAACACACCCTCCAAATTCCTTCCGCATGGGCCCATACAAAGGATTCGTCTCACATAAGGAAATGCCCCGTTGGAAAACAACCGTTTGAACATCTAGAGCTGTGCCAGAGTACCATCCATGGGACTTCAACGCCGTAAATCGCCGTTGGTGTTGCGTCTGGGCGATTCTGCATCGCGCCAAAATATCATTCCTGGGGATTCAACGCAGCGGCTCAACGTTACTGTTGCGCCCCGACAATCGGATGGACCTCGTGCCAAAACACGACGTCTGGAACGCTAGCTATGAGAATCCTGGACACTCCTGTAAAGAATTGAAGCGAATGTGCGCGAATCTGTGGCGATATCCACATTGTGAAAAAAAAAGGAACCAGTCTCCATGCGTGAAACTCCTTGCACGTGTAAGGCGACTGTGCGCGGCTCTGAAGCGAAAACAACATTTGAACACGACCCGCTTTCCATCCGTGAAACATTTGCTTTGTTGTAAGAAGAACGCGCACGGCACTACAACATTAACCACATTTTGAAAACGACCCGCCCTCCACCCGTGAAACATGTGCAATCATGTTAGGCGAATGTGCGCCGCGCTAAACCGTGAACCACATTTTGCCAGCGACCCGCCCTCCATCCGTGAAGCTCCTGCAATGTGCGACACGACTCTGCGCGGCGGTAAAGCGAAAACCAAACTTTGACAACGGCCCCCCCTCCACCCATGAAGCTCCTCTAGTTCGTGCAGAAAGAATGCGCGCGGCGTCAGGACAAAATCAAAGTTTGAAAACGCCCCGCGCCCCACCGCCACAATTTCTGCAATGCCTCGCCTAATTACTCCGACGGTAGGACCCCGCACGAGAATATGTTTAGCTTACCCTTTGCCCTTTCCTCCTCCTCCTGGCGGACACCCTCTCCTCTCGCCCCCTGCACTGCCCTCTCTTCCCCCTTCTATTTCTCTTCCTCCTCCTCTTTCTCCTCCTCCTCCTCCTCCTCCTCCTCCTCTTCCTCCTCCTCCTCTTCCTCCTCCTCTCGCGCCACCTCCTCCTCGTCGTCGGCCTCCCCCATGCCCCTTCCCTCCTCATCCCCCTGCCTTTTCTCCATGTGCACCTCCCCTTCCCCCTCGTCGGGGCAAGCAAATCCATGTTCCTCAGCGCCGTCGCCGCCTCGGCCAGCGCGCGCACGTCTGCCGACGGCTGATCGCAAAGCCGTCGGGACAAACCTTCGGGTTGGGCCGTAGGTTCCCGCTCGAGACTTCCTCCATAATCAGGTCTCAAGAGCCCAAAAGTGACGACAGTTGCTCGTTGCGGATGACCCGCTCGGATTCGAACATGAAGCGCGGGCCCCATAGGGAGGGGGTTCCCGCCTGAGACTTCCTCGCAATTCACTCACAGACGAGGTTCCCGCTCGAGACTTCCTCCATATTCAAATCTCAAGAGCCCAAACATGACGACAATTGCACGTTGCGGATGACCCGCTCGGATTCGAACATGAAGTGCGGGTCCCATAGGGAGGGGGCTCCCGCCTGAGACTTCATCACAATTCACTCACAGACGAGGCTCCCGCCTGATACTTCCTCCATATTCAGGCATCAAGAGCCCAAAAATGACGACAGTTACGCGTTGCGGATGACCCGCTCGGATTAATAACATGATCTGCGGGCCCCATAGGGAGGGGGCTCCCGCCTGAGACTTCCTCGCAATTCACTCACAGACGATGCTCCCGCCCGAGACTTCCTCCATATTCAGGTCTCAAGAGCCCAAACATGACGACAGTTACACGTTGCGGATGACCCGCTCGGATTCGAACATGATCTGCGGGCCCGATAGGGAGGGAGCCCCCGCCTGAGACTTCCTCGCAATTCACTCACAGACGAGGCTCCCGCTCGAGACTTCCTCCATATTCAGGCCTCAAGAGCCCAAAAGTAACGACAGTCACACGTTGCGGATGACCCGCTCGGATTCGAACATGAAGCGCGGGCCCCGTAGGGAGGGGGCTCCCGCCTGAGACTTCCTCACAATTGACTCACAGACGAAGCTCCCGTTCGAGACTTCCTCCATATTCCTGTCTCAAGAGCCCAAAAGTGACGACAGTTGCACGTTGCGGATGACCCGCTTGGATTCGAACGTGAAGTGCGGGCCCCATAGGGGGGGAGGGGCTCCCGCCTGAGACTTCCTCACAATTCACTCACAGACGAGGCTCCCGCCTGATACTTCCTCCATATTCAGGCATCAAGAGCCCAAAAGTAACGACAATTGCACGTTGCGAATGACCCGCTCTGATTAAAAACGTGATCTGCGGGCCCCATAGGGAGGGGGCCCCCGCCTGAGACTTCCTCGCAATTCACTCGCAGACGAGGCTCACGCTTGAGACTTTCTTTATATTCAGACACCAAAAGCCTAAAAGTGACGACAGTTGCACGTTGCGGATGACCCGCTCGGATTCGAACGTGAAGTGCGGCCAGAGGGAGGGGGGTCCCGCCTGAGACTTCCTCACAATTCACTCACAGACGAGACTCCCGCCTGAGACTTCCTCCATATTCAAGCCTCATGAACTCAAAATTGACGGCAGTTACACGTTGCGGATGACCCGCCCGGATTCGAACATGAAGTGCGGGCCCCATAGGGAGGGCCCCCCCGCCTGAGACTTCCTCACAATTCACTCACAGACGAGGCTCCCGCTCGAGACTTCCTCCATATCCAGGTCTCAAAAGCCCAAAAGTGACGACAGTTGCACGTTGCGGATGACCCGCTCGGATTCGAACATGAAGTGCTGGCACCATAAGCAAGGGGGCTCCCGCCTCAGACTTCTCTAAAATTCACTCACAGACGAGGCTCCCGCTCGAGACTTCCTCCATATTCAGGTCTCAAAAGCCCAAAACCAGCGACAATTGCACGTTGCGGATGACCCGCTCGGATTCGAACATGAAGTGCGGGCCCCATGTGGAAGGGGCTCCCGCCTGAGAGTTCCTCGCAATTCACTCACAGACGCGGCCCCCCCCGATACTTCCTCCATATTCAGGCCTCAAGAGCCCAAAAGTGACGACGGTTGCACGTTGCGGATGACCCGCTCGGATCGAACATCAAGTGCGGGCCCCATAGGGAAGGGGGCTCCCGCCTGAGACTTCCTCGCAATTCACTCACAGACGAGGCTCCCGCCTGATACTTCCTCCATATTCAGGTCTCAAGAGCCCAAACATGACGACAGTTACACGTTGCGGATGACCCGCTCGGATTCGAACATGAAGTGCGGGCCCCATAGGGAGGGGGCTCCCGCCTGAGACTTCCTCACAATTCACTCACAGACGAACTCCCGCCTGAGACTTCCTCCAGGTGAGTATGTGAATGAGTGAGCGTGTGACAGAGTGCGAGTGATGATGATGATGATGATGATGATGATGATGATGATGATGAGTGTGAGTGACTGAGCGTGTGAGAGAGCGCGAGTGATGATGCTGATGTTGATGATGAGAGAGTGTGAGTGAGTGTGAGTGTGAGTGAGTGGTGATGATGATGAGTGAGTGAGTGAGTGTGCGAAGGCAGAAGAGGAGAGGGGGTGGGGTGAGTGTTCCTGCGCGGGGTGTGCAGAGAAAACAAGAACCCCACTTTGGATGTGGGGAAAAACATAAATGAAGCAGACACCCCTCACGCGAAACGCCTGGCCCGCTTGACAGACACGCGTCGGATATTTATCATGGTATAAGGGAAACAGATGGAGGAGGAAGAAGAGGGGGGTGGGATCAAGGAGTTGGAAGAGTTTTCATCCAGGCGCGGCTGAAAGCGCGCGAGCGAGGCTGGCGACGCAGACAGACTCAGGCGAGAGCCTGACAAGTGAAGCCCCGGGCACATCACACACGGCTAGCCCGACACGGCGCAGTCGTCCTCGACCACGACCAGGCCCCCTTTAGGTGGCGTCGAGGACATATTCGCCCAATGGACGAGGCCTCGACTGTCCCTGCACAGACGATAGCAGCGGCTGCCCAGTACGAGGGCGCAGGCCCCCCCAAAGACGGTCTAAACGAGCGCGCGTCTTGGGGGCACTCCACCGTGGCAATTCGGGCGCCAGGAGCTGCGCATTCTCGCTGCAGGGCGCGCCGCAGCGGGCGCAGAAGACGAACTGGCCAACGTGCCAGAGGCGGTGGCACCCTCCAGGGGGGCACACGGCCGTGGTGAAGGCGCCCCGTTGCCGAGCGACGCGGAAGCACCTGGCGCACCTGAAGCCCGCGGGAGACCGCACGGGCAAATTGGCATCAGAGGGCGGCTCCGCGTCCGCCGTGAGGGCTGGCGTCGGCCCCCGCCGCTTGGCCCGCCGCAGCTGTCCGCGGCGCGGCGCCTGCTGCGACTCGGGGCCGACGGCCTGCGCTGTCCTGGCTCGAAACTTGGCCGCGAAGGCGACCAGCTTAAAGGAGCGCTGCGCGCGCTGGCTGGCCGCGGCATCCCTGGGGCGGAGGGGGGCACCCCCGCGGGCGCCAGCGTCGGCGCGGCGCCCCCCCCCCCCCCCCTCCCGCCCCACCCCACCTCGCGACAGCGCCCAGCTGCTGCCCGTCATCGCGACGGCGGCAGGCATGGCCTTTTACCTTCCGCACCTCCCCCCCACCCCAAGGTCGCGCACTCGATCGCAAATCTGAGACCGCGCGTCGGCGCCCTCGCACATGGCGCCCGCGGTCTCGAAACGGCAACGCTGGAAGCTCGAGACCACCCGATCGCAATCCGACTGGTAGCGAAAAGACCCAGCCCAGCGTGCGTGAGATACATAGGCAGGCAATGGGCCTCGCCCAGGTTCGACGCTTGGTGCGGGCCAGGCAGCAGGCCGCACAGGGGCGCCACGAAGCCCCCGCTGTCGTCGACCTGCACGAAACACCAGCCTGCGCGTAGGAGACCCATGTCGCCCTGTACCGCTGACGCGCGCGAGCCGTCGCCGAATGCCTCGCCTTCGAAATGGCCGCCCAGCGGACGCACGAGCCAGCGGACGAGTAGGGGGGGGGATCACCCAAGGCCGAGGATCGGGACAAGGCCGTGCCTTCAAAGGGCCCAGTCGGGGCGCCCGCGGAAGCCCTCACGGACAGAGGGGGGGAGGTCATAGTCCCGCACATACTGCCAGGTGGCCGAGCACTCACCCGCCATCCAGGCGGCGAGGGTGCCAGGACAACAGCCACAGCAGGGGCACGGCGGATCGGTCGTCAGACCGTGCTTGTACTTGCGACCCTGATCCCCGATACCATTCCCTGCAATCGCTCGGAGCCTGGCGTGATGCTGGATGTTCCAGTCAGGCCCGCACGCTCCATTGCGCAGCTTGCGGATGGGTGACAAGTACGGCCAATGCGAGAGGCTCGACATGTAGTCGCAGCTCTGGCGGGCACGACCCATCAGCCAATCCTCGACCGAAGGCGAGCGACGTGCAGCGCAGAGCGAGGGCACATACTAGCGATATCAATCCTGTAACCATCCTGAGTCAAAAGCATGCGCACTCCTGGTCCGACGCTCCAACCTGTGCGACGGCAGCTGGCGACGGCCGCCGAGATCGCACCTTTGACCATGGGCCAGTCGCTTTTGGTAAGGGGTCGGCCATGAAAGCGGGTTCAGAAGCAAACAGCAACCGAGCAATCGATTCCCTAGGGATCCACGAGGGCCAAACCGCCTGGGCAAGCATGCGAATGGGCCCCGCAGTGCTAGCGTAGGCGGGGCCCACGGTCCACGGAGAGGCGGGAGAGAGGTGGAGGTCGACATCGAGGGAGCGACGGGCCGCGTGCACACACGAGGCGGATTGCGCTGCACGTCTTGTCGGTCCGATCCCGCTCCAAGCCCTTGAAGTCACCCCCACTCCCCAGGTGCCCGCCTGGGCCAGTCCGGGGCTGACCAGCTGGCGCGTCTTGCCGCGTGCAGTGCGGATCACGCGAATGCGCGCAGCACGGCGCAGCACGGTAGCAGTGCGCTTGGCCCGCGTGCTCACTCCGGCCCGGCGCCAGCTGGCGAAATCCACGCCCAGGTTGCGCGCCGAGCTCCTGAACTTGCCGCGGAGGGGGCCGCGTCGCCGCATGACCTCGCGGCCGCAGGCAGACAAGTTGGCCGGCGCAACGCCCTTGCCGTCGTTGACGACAAGCCCGTCCGCCGTCAGGGCGCCTCGAAGCCGTCTGCAGGCCGAGCTGACGCTCGCCGCCAGCAGCCTGGGGTGCCCCACCTTGCCGAGCTGTATATCCCCCACGTTGCCCCCCAAGTCCACGGTGCCAAGGGCCGCTATCTCGTCGAGCCGCGGCGCGAGGAGGATGCGTATGCAGAGGTCCGCAAAGCTGCCGCCTGCCACCGCGCCCCGCTGCGGGACGCACCAGCCCGCCGCCGCGCCGCCCACGGTGACGAACCTCGGCAGGGCGTAGAGCCTGATGAGCAGACGCATCAGCATCATGTCGAAGCCCAATGCACGGGCTCGGACGACCAGCAGCGCCCACGGGATGTGCTCGTACGCGCTGGAGAGGCCCATGAGCACGGAGCAGGCCGCCTGCTTGCGGTGAGTCGCGACCTCAGCACTGGCCGCCTGGATCCACGCGCGCGTCTCGCAGCGACCCGACGCGCCGTAGATGTATTCCCGCTGGTGGGCGCTGGCCCAGCGTGCGCCGACTGCGCCGCGCGTCCATCGTGCGAGGGGGCGCAGCACTCCCGCGAAAAGCCCGATGGTACGTACCCCCGACTCGGCCTTTGGGATCAGCGCCATCTGCAGCACCGCCAACGCCGCGGGGACATAGCCGAGGGTCAACAAGTGTCTCCAGACGGCGGCGAATGCCTCCAGCGCGCGGTCGCACAGGAAGGTGGCGTGCCGAAGGTGGAACATCACCTCCCAATCCCGTGACGCGCGGGAAGGAGTGGCCCACCTTGCGAAGCCCGCCGGGCGTCGGCAGCGGAAGGCAATCGCCCAACTCCGCTGGCCAGCTGACAGCGTCCAGCCCAGCGCCCTCGCCCCACAGGGCGCGCCACGGGCGGATTGCCGCGTTGGCCGCCTCCTGCACGGTCCGCAGTCAGGCGACCAGCGGGCAGCTGCCCATTGGGCGGGCTCGCAGATCCAGCGGAAAACCCTGCGCAGGCCCTCGGCGGCAGTGGCGTCGCGCGCCCAGTCGAGCCAGGACCTGTAACGCCCGTGCGACGCGCGCCCTGCCGCCGCCAAGGCCTGTCGTCGAAGCTGGGCCAGCAGCTCATCACAATCATCATCAGGAAGACGGCGAAGACGCCCCGCCAGTCGCCGCCAGGTACGCCGCGCCGCAGGCTCGCCGCCAGGGACGGGCGGCTTGAAGCGCAGGGGCTTCACCTGCAAGCGCCGCGCATGGGCGGCCTGCCCCGCCGCCTGTAGCAGCCGCCACCCCTCCGCCCGATCGCCCAGCCAGCCACAGTGTGCATCCGGGGAATCTGGCTTAGCCGTGAACTTCCAGCTGCTGGAGCGGTGGCGGTCCAGCTGTGCTTGGACAAGGCGCAAGCCCTCGCTCCTGCCGCAGAACCCGCTTGCCTCGCGGGCGCCCTCCAGGTCGGGGCGCCGCAGCAACTCATCTTCGTGCGTGTCCAGGACCCTGCCACAAGCTACCCCCAGGCCCGCTGCCGTGGTCGCCGCGGCCAGGTCGCCGTGGACGTCGGCCCAGTCAGGGCCTGGAAACTGAAGCCCAGCTAAGGCCTGGGCTGGGCAAGCTCGGGTCTTATGCCCGCGCGTCGCCAGGCCGCCTGGCTTCGGCAAGGCCAGCTGCAGCAGCGCCGCACGGTGGGTCCGCGCATCGAAGCGGTCGCAGCGGCTGGCGCCCCTGATGGGCGTGTCCGCGTCCACGCAAAAGCAGCCCAGCTCCCTCGCAGATGTCGCCGCGACGCACGGGCCCTCCCCCGAACAGGCCAGGCGCGCCGAGCGCAGGGAGCAGGTGGGCCTCGTCCACGACCGCTCCAGTCGGCCCCCACGACAAAGGGGTGATGCATGACCCTGACGACCGAGCACAAATTGGTAAACAGGTCCAGGTTGAAGTCGCTCAGGTCCTGGTTGGTGTGGAAATACGCCGAGATCAGCAAGGCGCCCGGCTATCGCGCGCGGGCCCCCGTGCCCGCCGCAGGGCAACACGGCTATGGCCCGCCGCGAGCCACCTTGAGCCAAAATGGCTACGGAGAAGGAGAAGGAGGAGGAGGAGGAGGAGGGCAACGTCGTCTTCGACACCAGTGCCAATAACGACAACGACAGCAGGTGGAGGAAGGACTCCGAAACTTGTGGACGTTCGTGGCCCTTCCTGGAAGTCTCTCGGGACCCCTGGAGGCGTCTGGGGGCAAATCCGGGAGCCGCTTTCGGACATAGCCCGGACGTTTTTTTGTGTCACGAGGTTCGGGAGCGGCCAAAGAGGGGGGTGTCCAAGATCGGGCGTTGGTAGAACTGGGTTTCGTGGGACCTGGTGTAGTGATCTGTACCGGGGGCGCCCCCCCCTCCCATTTCCACTAACCGTAACTGCCGTCACCCGAAAAAACACAAGCTATGGAAAACCTGGTTTAGAGATTCTGGCCAATTCAAAAGCTCCGGGGCCCTACCACTAACCCGGTCCCCTTACCCAGGGTCCTGGCCATACCCGACAAGAGGGGGGGTGCAAATCATTACTGGCGGCACGTGCGCGGCCCTGCGGGGGGGCCAGGGACGTAATGAAATAAGAAGAGGCGCCATCAAATTTGGGGAAATACCATGGCGCCCGCCATGATATCCCCCCCCCTAGTCATCAACCCCCTCTTTGCCGCCCCCGAAAGGTGTCTGACGGATTGACGGACTCACAGACTGACGGGTCGTCGCACCCATCAACAGGCCGCTTTGCCGGTGGAGGCAGGCCGAAGCGCAACCTGTGGCGCGACGAATGTCATAAGCCGCAACCTGCATGCCGGCCGCACAACCGATGTGCGCAGTCCGTTGGCGGCAACACGTGGCGCAGCCGACGGATGGCGCACGTTGTGGCTCAACCCATTTGTTTTGCTTCCTCTCCCCTCCACCGCAACACATCGAAGCCAATGCCGGTCCATGACTCCTCTGGGCTGAGTGCGATAGATTCCCAGTGACATTGAGGGCGTGACCCATGGCGCAGCCTTGAGCAACCCGCGGGTGACGTGACCTGTGGCGCAGCCTCTTGCGCAAGGGGGGCTGAGCCCAATTTGTGCTCACCGCTTGCGTCGGGAGTGGGCCCAGGCGGCGAGCTGTCCTGAGAGTTGTTGCCTTGCACCGCCGGGCCTCCCATGGCGCTACCATGGCCACGGCTGGAGCGGCCTCTGAATTCAAGTTAGGGCGCGCTCCGGACCAGGTCCAGGGGTATGACATGGAGGCGCAAGATTCAGACCGTCGGCGTCCCAAGGACGGACGGCTTCTCTACGATTTGGGCCTTTCAGGGCCCACTGGGTCTGGGGATAATCTAACAATTACCCGGGGCCAAAAGGTGGTGCTGGGCATGGGGTCGACTGACCTGGAGGCCCACTTCACGAGAAACAGATATAAAGTGGAAGGTATGCGGAAGGACGAGCAAGCGGAGAGTATCCGCCTCTTCATCTTCCTCCTCCCCCACCTCAGAAAGAATATTCACCTCCTGAAGGCATAGGAGCTCAAGGCGATCAAAAAGAGGACAAGGATCTGGAGGGTGTGGCACATGATGCCGAGGATGGGGGCAGTTCAGGATACCGAGGGCACCAAGGAGAGTGACGAGGAAGAGAAGGCTGATTTAAAAGAGGGCGTGCGAGAAAGCAGAAGAGGACGAGGACGACGCGAAACCATCATGAGGACGACGCCGCGCCGAGGAGGGCGCCGCTGCTGCAAGAGCAGGGAAGGGCGGCGAGGGCAGTCCCCCCTCGACGCCTCGAGGTCCAGGGTGTCGGGGTTGAATGCCACCGACATCGGCGCGAGGGGCTGCCCCGTCCTCGCCATGCCTGGGGAGGGGCTGCGTTATGGCACCACGTCTGTATTTTTGGTCTGCGGGTCGAGAGCGGGCCTCTTCCGGTTAAGAGCTAGGCGGGGCGCGCGAAACACTAATTGGGGAGACAGGGCGTGGGCGGCTGGGGCCTCAGGCGGCCGGAGGGAGCAGGGTGCAGGCGGTGCTGAGGAGCTTGCACAGGAAAAAATACTCCTTGGACAGGAGCCGGGGGCGAAGTCCCGGAGGGAGGGCGAAGTGGTGTTGCCGTCGACGGCGCGTCAAAATCACACCATGTCTGCACAGACCACCTATGGAATCGCGCCTTGCGTCGTGAGTAGCGCGATGACGTTGGCGCTCCCTAGGAAGGGGGCTCCGTTCTGGCAGCGTGGCCTGCACAGGTCGCCCACGGAGGCGCGCTGCGCGCCGCGCGAGGCGCGAGGGTGCTGGCGCTCTCGTGCCGTGCTCAGGAGGAGCGCATCTATCCGAACTGGGAGAAGGAAGTCAACGCCTTGCTCTTGACTACCTACCAGACCATCCCAACCCAACCCGAGGACCCGAATTTGAACCGAATTTCGGGTTGGGGGGGGTACGGGTTCCATGTGTTTTTTCAATGTTCCCCGACCACCCCCCCACTGGAAATCGAGGATCAATTTGGGCCTTGGGTTGGGATGGGGTGGTTTGGTGGGTGGTGAGCTCCAAGCTGGTCTCTGACACTGGAGGACGGAGCTCGTCCCGCCTCGTGTGTTCCCAATCACCATTACGTCAAAGTCCCTCACATCTTCTCTACCTTTTTCCGTTGCCTTGTCGCCCCCTTGAATATCACATGATTTCATGCTTCGCCCCCCGTTCTCATTGTTGTCCTCGCCTTCGTCCGCAGAAGAAACTCCAGCACACCTATTAACATCCAAGGGCACACATAAACATGTCTATGCAACGGCGAATACACATTCATTCGGACGTGTCTGGGAATCCAAACGACTGCACGACAACGCCAACGCAACGCCCAATCCTCCTCCTCCTTCGCGCTTGTCCACGCTCCAAAGAAGAAAGAAAGATAACATCTAAATTCGTCGAAGAACGCGGTGCTGTCACAAACCAAACCAGTTTGGCCGCAGTGAGGCTCTCAAGGACAAGGATATCGTTGGCCATGTGCGGGAAGCCCATCAAGGACTCAAGCCCTTGCAACTGGCTTCTGCCATGAGCGCGCTGGGACTAGAGCTCTATGCGCGTTCGTGCGAGGCCCCTCACATTCCAGGGCACGACTCTGCAAGGCTCGGCGCGCTGGGGATACTGCTCCGTTGGACGCCGAGGCCTGCAGCCCTCCTCGATGGAAAATAGCTTCGTGTCGAGATCCTACATCACGAAGCCGCTGTCCGGCACTGGCAAGCACCCTGAGCACGCGAGTGCTGCGATCCTGATCGAACACCCTCACTGGCGCGCGGGCCACCGCTTTGAGGTCACGGCGGGATGAAACTCGCCTCACCAGCATGATGATTGTAACTTGTTGCTTCCTTGATCTGACCATCCAAGGACCTGCTCAGGAGCTTCGGCTTCCAAATCTCGTGACTCATGTGATTGCCTTCAGCAGGACCCACAATCCCGCGCACGCTTGAATCATGACCTCAATGCGGTCGGAGAACGCTCCGGCGGCATCTCTTCTGGAATCTCACGCGTTAGGGGTTTATCTAACAGTGGCAAAAATATTGATGTTATTGTTTCTGTCGGTCAATGGAGGGGTATCGGTCTATCCAGCGGCGACGTGTCCAAGGCAGAAGCGTCGGCGTTCCATGGACATGCTAATGCAGAGCTACCACATGTGCCCGACGATCCTACAGCACGCCGAAGACGAGATTCGTCATCGTCCAGCCGCTTGTTCTGCTCCGAGATTGTCTTCTCCACGGGCTTCACCTTTTTACCGGCGCGCCGTTCAAAATGTCGTCGCTGTGCTGCCGTGCCTTGGCACGTCGTGGACTGGCCTGAGGTCCTTTAGACCGTTGTATTGGAGGAGTTCTGTGAGTGTTCTCTACTATGATGCCCACGCCCCCGAGAAGCTGCCGCGTCTGTTTTTTTGTTTCGAGGCCAGAGGGCCCGAAGACGGGCTAAGAGCGTCCAAGAGGCGTCCAAGACGATCACTGGCCATCGCTCGAACGCTCCAAGTCGGGAGGGCTCCAAGTGGGGCACATAGCTGAGTGCCATGTGACTTTTGGTATTGCTTAGCGTCCCCGCCTTCTCGGCGCTCCAAGATGTCCCAGGAGGCCCCTCAAGAAAGACGGCCCAAAAAAGGCCCCAAGGTGGCCCGATACCACCAAGGCGCCCCAGGAGAACCCCACGAGGGGGAACACAAACTGATAGTTCGAGCCATTCGCCCCAAGATGGCCACCGAGACCGCCAGCAGACCACCACCACCCAAAGAACCCCCCACCTCCAGGGCGAGCACGTGCCGTGGGGCGGCACGAGCGTGGATTGGCCTCTCGATTCGGTCGGCTAGTCTAGCGAGTCCCGACAGGAAGGCAGCCGAGAAACATCCCACGAGGTCTCAACAAACATCCACGAGGCATCTGACGTACAGCCCGGGCACGGTGGCGGGATGGGCCATAGGCCACGACCTTCTTCCGCCCAAGAACCAAGGAAGTCCCGAGATGCCTCCAAAAAGGCCAGGACGTCCTCCAAGACGGTTCAATCTTGCCTGCGACAAACCCAAGATTGCTCCCAGATGGTCCAAGACGGACCAAGATTGCGCCAAGACTGCCCCAAATGGCCTCAAATCGACCCAACAGGCTCCGCGACACCCCAAGAAGGGAGCCATCTAGGAGAGCCCGAAGATGAGCCTATACTTGTCGCTCCGTTATGGTATCAGAGAAGGGTTTCGCGTTCTCGCCTTTTCGGGATTCCATCAACCGAAGACGTCCCAGAAGGCCTCCAAGATAGCTCCAAGATGGCCCAAGCCGCCCCCAAGAGTGCCTCTAGACTTGCCACACATCCGCCGACCCTGTCGGCGTGTATGGGGTGTCTGTCTGGTCCAGTCGACGGGACGCCTTTTCTGTTTGTTCTTCCCCGCCTGGGTGAGAGCGCCCTCTCCCGTCGTTGGGGGGAGCAGTCCGGGGATTGAGGAAAAATCGACCCACGTCGCAGTCACGTCAAACTGGCCATCGCTCGGACGTCCATTCCCTGTGTTTTTTGTTGTTTCGTGCGTGTTTTGTTCGCCAAATGATCAAGGATGCTCCTCGATTGTCCTCGCCGAAGGAAAACTGCACACGTCCGAGCGATGCCAAGCAACGGGAAGCCCCTTCCCTTTGTCCCTTCCTTGGCGGGGGGGGTCCCGGGGTGGGGGGAGGGGGGAGTCAGATTCGCATCCCCCGTTTGCGGCTTTTACAGAGTGGGCCCTCTGTAGATGCGCTGGAGCAGGGGGGGGTCGCCAAGACGGATCCGCAAGAGCGCACCTAGACGGCCCAACCCCTACAAGACAGCCCAAGAACGCCTAAGGACGGCCAATGGGGACCCCCAGACGGCCAAAGGACGCCGCCCAGATGCGTTTCTCCCTCGAGCCCCCCGAAACCATGAAAAGCTGTTTCCAAAAGACCCCAGAATGCCACAACGCCTCCTACTCCGCCTCCTCCTCCTCCTCCTCCTCCTCCTCCTCCTCCTCCATTCCTTGTCCTCATAAACAAATTCTCCTTGTCGCACCCCAAGGCCAATTTTTAGGGCGGGCCGGGCGTTTCCCCTGAGACTTCCTCATCACTTATGACTCTGGAGCTTGAAAATTGGCAACCGTTTCACATATGGAGGGCGGGTCGTTTTCAAAATGTGGCTCTCGCCTTAGCGCGGCGCACATGCGCTGTAAAAAGGTGCAAGAGTTTCACGGATTGAGGGCGGATGGCTTTCAAAATGTGGCTCTCGTCTCAGCGCGGCGCACATTCGTTTTGAACAAATGCAGGAGGTTCACAGGTTGAGGGCGGGTGGTTTTCAAAATGTGGATCCCGCCTCAGCGCGGAGCACATTCGTTCCAAACATGTGCAAGAGTGTCACGGATTGTCAAAATGTGGCTCTCGCCTCAGCGCGGCGCACATTCGCTCTAAACATTTGCAAGAGCTTCACGGATGTGGCTCTCGCCTTAGCGCGGAGCACATTCGTTCTAAACAGTTGCAAGAGTTTCACGGATTTCCGTCGTCAACGTGTCAGAAGTTGTGTATTACATAGATTCAGGATTACGCGGGTGTAGCAATTATGTTGATTTGCTGTGTTGAAGTCCCAAAGATGGTACTGGCACGATTCAGGATCGTCAAGACGCAACAGTCTGGTCGATCCGTGGCGTTGGAATACCGCGAACAATGTTTTGGCATGCTTCAGGGTCATCAAACGGTTGTCTTCAAAAGAGGCAGTTCCTTCAATGGTGAAGAACCGTTGTAGGGACCTATGAAGAGGGAGCTTGGAGGGAGGGTTTATTCCAACATCATTGATGGCCCTTGGGTTTACACTGGTCCTCCTCCTCCTCCTCCTCCTCCTCCTCCGACTCCCTCTCCCTCCTCCCCCTCCTGCTGATCCTGCTCTGCCTCCTCCTCCTCCTCTTGCTCCTCCTCCTCATCCTTCTCCCCCCTCCTCCTCTCTCATCCGCCTCCTGCACCCTTTCTCTTCCCCCCCCACTCCTCCTCCTCCTCCTCCTCCTCCTCCTCCTCCTCCTCCTCCTCCTCCTCCTCCTTCTCCTCCTCCTCCGCCTCCTACCCCCCCCCGCTCGTTTTCATCTTCGTCGTCTTCAGGGTCGGCGGCACTGGCCGTAAGGCCTTCGCAATAGCCTCCAGGCGGCCCAAGATGTCCCCAAGGTCGCCCTAAGAGGGCTCCAAGACGGCCTCAGGGACCTCAAAGACGGCCCTGGAGCGCCCCAGGAGGGCCCAGATAGTCCCCGCCACCAAAAAACGGCCACCACAGACATCAGACGGGCCACGAGGGCCCTGGGACGACGTAAGTCTGCTCGGGCGAAAGGGGGGGATAGCAAAGGGGGGGTTTGAGAATCAGCTCACGTAGCTGATTTTCCCGGCGCCTCCCGGCGCCGGAGGCGGCCATGTACCGAGGCATGGGCCCCTCGGTGAGGCCGAAACCAGCTGCATGCGGCAGATTTCGAAGCCCCCCCTTTCCCAATCCCCCCCTTTCTAGGGGGCAAACAAACCTACCTCGCGTTTGACCACCCTCGCTTCCAAGAGATACCAAGCGATGCCAAACTACGGCCTGTACTGGTCAGGCCGCTTGACGAGGAGGCGCGTGGTATGACTTGGTTTTGCCTGGAAGCGAAAGCGGGGTAGGTAATTCACGCTCTGACTTCCGCCCGGCCCGAGTAAGGGGCCCCCAAGAGGCCTCAAGAGGCCACCGAGGGGCCCAAAGAGGCCGCTCAGGGATCTCCAAGAGGCCCGTCCGAGACCTCCAAGGCCCCCAGGGAAGCCTCCAGGAGGCCGCAGGGGATCCCCAAGAGGCCCCAAGGAGGCCTCCTCCCCATTATCATCCCTCTCCTCCTCCGCCTCCTCCTCCGCCGCCTCCTCCTCCTCCGCCTCCTCCTCCTCTTCCTCCTACTTACTCTCCTCCTCCTCCTCCGCCTCCTCCTACTTACTCTCCTCCTCCTCCTCCTCCTCCTCCTCCTCCTCCTCCTCCTACTTACTCTCTTAGTTCTTATTGTTTTGCTATCTCTCTCTCGCTCTCTCTCGCTCTCTCTCGCTCTCTTTTTCTCTCTCTCTCTCTCTCTCTCCCTCTGTCAAGTGTTCCCCCAAAGGGTTTCCACGACGGCTGGGGGACAACGTCGTCTAATGGATTGGCCACACTTTCGCATCGCGCTTGGCCACATAGTCGCTTCCGAAAAGCAGGGGGCGGCGGTGGTTCGTGGGCGTCTTCGAGTCACTCACTATGCAACAGAACGCTGCCAAGACTGGGGCCTGAAAGCAAGACCATCAGAACGGTAGGCTCGGATTTAGGCTGACAAAAAGCAACATGTAACTTGATGGTCGAGATCTCTGTGTGGCCCTGGGAGCGCAGAAGTAAAGTTTCTCCCCTGATATCTCTGCTGTCGAGGTTCACTTGAGCCACAATGGACGACGCCGTCCAAAACGACAGCGACAACGACGACGACGAAGACGACGACGACGGCGGCGGCGACGACGGCGGCGGCGACACCAGCGACAGCCCAGCAGGCCTCCGAGAGCCAAAAAGGATCAGCACCTTGGCAGCCACGATCCTTGAAACTCGACTCTCGACGACGGCGCGACCACTGCGGCGGCGACGACCTCTGACAACGGCGGCGTCGACGACGACAGCGACCACGGTGACCACGACGACGACGAGGTGGGTGCCGCCAATGCCTGCAGCCCGCCGCCCGTCGGGCCGGGCGAAAGGGGGGGATAGCAAAAAGGGGGGGATAATCAGCTCACGTAGCTGATTTTCCCGGCGCATCCCGGCGCCGGAGGCGCCCATGTATCGTGGAATGGGCCCCTCGGTGGGGCCGAAACCAGCTGCATGCGGCAGATTTCGTAAGCTCCCCTTTCCCAATCCCCCCCTTTCGTCCGGCCCGAACCACGGCGACCACGACGACGACGAGGCGGGCGCCGCCAATGCCTGCAGCCCGCCGCCCGGTGGGCCGCGGCGGGCGCTTGCCGCCAGCCAGCGCCCGCGCGCCCGCGACCGCGCGGCCGCACGGCGCGCTGCGGGGCGCGGCGGGGAGGGGGGCCGGCGGCGCCCGCCTCGGCACGAGCCAGGAGGCGCCCGCGGAGAGAGGGCTGCCGCGCTGCCAAGGCGCTGCCGAGAACGGCCTTCTGGGAGGCAAGGATCACCCTGGCTCGAGTGAGTTCAGTTGAGGGCTGCAAAGACGCCCCTACCCTGGGTTACAAGCGCGTGGTCCGTACACCTCCTGGGAGCTCCCAGAAGCCAGAGAGCCGCCAGGACGCCGCGCGACACGCGCGATGTGCAGGGTCTACCCTGCCAGCCCACAGGAGGTTCAGCGCACAGCGCCTCGTAAACCAGGGTAGGGGCGTTTTGTACGCCCTTGATTTAGCACTGACGCCTATTATTCGGGGGCCGCCCGAACACGAGGCCGAAGCAGGTGGGGTCGGAGGAGCGCGCCGTATCGCCGATGCACGGTCGATGCCTCGGCGTGTGTTGTGCGCCTTGTTGGTCCTCCAGGTGCTCCAGGATGCTCCAATGGCCTTTGTGCAAGGCGGAAACACGAGGCACGAGCAGGTGGTGCCGAAGCGGAGAAGGCTACCGCATCGCCGATGCCTTGCCGCTGCAGCGGCGACGCGGGAGGCCGGCAGGGGGCCTGCCGCGCCGCCTGCCACACCACGCCAGGCTGGCGCGGGCTCGCCCGCAGTGCGCAGAAGCCTACCAAAAGAGGTCAGAATACAGCCTGCCCGCAATTTAAAGAACGAGCCCCCTTGTTTCCACAGGTTGAACTTCGATCTCCAATGGAAAACCGAAAGAAAACCCAGGACAAAGTGAACAATAAGCAAGGAACACCGAGACCCTCCTCAACGAGAAGGGCTCCTTCTTCGGCGGCCCGACTGTAGAGGGGGTCGGAGGATCGCGTCGCATCGGCGATACAGTGGCGACGTCGGGGGTGCGTCGGCGTCGCTGGCGCGGAGATCATCGGGCTCCACATCGAGCCCGATAACTTCCACTTCAGCCCGGCGCGGAAATCATCGGGCTCCACATCGGTCCCCGTCTACTCGGGCCCAACTTGGGAGGCCTACTGTCGGCCCTGGATTAGTAGTGCGACCCTGCCGAATCAAGGGTGCCCTCGCGTCCTGTGTTTCGCGACCCATGCTTCCTACATTCCTGTGGCAATGTGGCCCTCGGAAGGGTCTTGTGTCCTCTCGCGTGTCCTGGCCAATCGAGTCCAACTGTAGAGTGCGACTCGGCGGTTCTCTCCGATCGCACCGAGGCCGCACGCGTTCGTCCGATCGCCCCGTGGTCGCGCCGTTCTCCCCACAGTCCAGAGGGGTCGCGGCGCCTCCCCATCCTCGCTCGCTCGGTGCCCCTCCCCTGCTCCCCCTCGTCTCGCTTGCGGTCGGCCTCCTCTTCTCGTTTTTTCGGCTATACGCAAGAGTGACCCTGGGTAACTAACAATGACCTCTGGTGCGCCGCTTTTGGGGGGCCGCGGGGGGACCCAACCTGGGCGCGCAAGCCGCTGCTCCTGCTCCGTTTTCAGCCACCTGGGGACCCATCTGTGCCCGCACCAAAGGTCACTCCGGCGAAAGGTCACTCTTACGTTTAGTCGATTTTTATGTTGTGTCCGTACCTGCTCCGGTCAATGCATCTTGGGCCGTCCTGGAGGCATCCTGGGGCCACCTTAGCCGTCTTGGAGGCCACTTTAGCCGTCGTGGAAGCCCCTTGGGCCTTCTTGGGGCCGTCTTGGGGGCCTTCTCGGGGCCGTCTTGCGTGCATGCTCGCGTGCTGTCGATAATATCGCCACGGGTCTTACCGTTCGCCTGCGCCTTTCGCCTGCGCAGTCCCGCCGATCGTCGGGCACGGTGTTTTCTGCCCATCCCACGGGCCATCACCCACCTCTGCTTCCGCATGCAACCCATCCTCCTCATCTTGCCCCTCCTCTCCCCTGCTGTCCCTGCGCCCTGTGCCTCCTTCCTTCTCCCTCCTGCCTCCTCCTCCCCCTCCTCCTCCTCCTCCTCCTCCTCCTCCTCCTCCTCCTCCTCCACTTCGTCCTCCACTTTTTTTCCTCCTTTTCCTGCCCCTCCTCCTGCTCTTCCTCCCGCCTCCCACCCCCCTCTCGCCGCACGTCGCCTCCCCGCTGGCCGCTCCGGCGCGCGGGGGGGCAAAACAGGAGCGCGCCGGCCCCTCGGGACATGCCGTGGCTTGCCCCCCCCCCCCCCCTCCGCGGGCGCCGCTGAGGAGCGCCGCCCGCGGCCACAAGCGGAAAGCCGCCTCCTGCGAGGCCCGCCCGGGCGAGGCGCGCCGCCTTGCTGCGCCGGCCGCCCGCCCCGTCAGGGTGCCGCCGCGGACATCCGCGGCCTTTCCCACAGAGAAGGGCCTTGCCTTCGAGGAGCGAGGGGCCCCGACCGGGCGCTCGGGAACATACGGCCGCGGTGCCCAGCAAACGTAGAGACTCTGTTCTGCGGCCCTCTCTGGCGGCAGCACCTCCAACAACATCTGTCAATCGCCCCTTGGCGGCGCCCGAACTTTCGCCGCAAACTCGGGATACAGCTTCTCGGGATGGGCACCCGCCTTGCTGGCTTGCTTAGCACTGGGATGGTCGCTTCCACCGCCGTGTACAGCTTTTCGAAAATCCGCTTGCCCGTAACAGGTACCGAAACGACAAACGATTCGAAAAACAGTTCGCCGTCCACAAAAATACCATGACTTCTTCACCTGCGCAACGTCAAACCACATCCACTCCAGGTCAACCGTCACCCCGTCAACGCTCGCCATGCAAGCGGATATGTACGCCTCGATATTGAATTCAACCCTTGCCCAGCGTGCGTTGTGGGACGGGGCCGGGCGGGACTACTGATACATGATCGCTATGACCATGCGGAAAGACGGGCACTGCGTGACCGATTCGCCGAAGTATCGGGCGGGCCTCACTTTGTCGTCCCCTGTTGCTGCCACCAGCACCCGCAAACCCGAGAGCAACGCGGCCACTTCAGCCCCCGGTCGTTCGGAGAGCTCCGAACTCCTGTAGCGCCGTTGCGTGTTCCACGTGCGATATTTGATGTGCCTGCGCCCGCGGAGCGGCCAACGAAAGACCACGCTGGCTGCATGGGCGTCATCGTGCGACCACCGCTGTGGTGCCGTGGCCACCCCGCGCGAGGCGACGTGTGCCAGCTTTTCCCAGGAGGCCAAAAGGAGACCGTTGGAGAAAAGCACCGCCAACCGCCATCCCTCAGCTGCGCCGTATCCCGCGACGAACGGCTTGGACAGGCCGCGGCGTTCCAGGGCCTGCTTCGTCCTGCTGGACGGCGTCGCCTATGACCGGGAGACACTCCCTGACGCACGCTAGCTCCATGCCAGCGCCGCTGGCTCAACAACGGCCACCGCGCAGCGCGGCTCGTCTCTGCCCGTCGTCCACCTTGTCCGACTGCTGCGACCTCCGTGCTGCCCGTCGCTTGCCTCGCGCCTTCTAAGTCGCCGTCTGGCCCCTTTTCCTCGATGACGACTGTGGCCCCCGTGCGCTTCATCCCCCTGACCTCGAGCTCCAGCGAATCCGCTGCCCCCTGGCCTCGCCCGAAAGAGCTGAGCGCCCTGGGCATGAGCCATCTCGTCTCTTGGCGCAGCGGCGTCGCAGTCCTCCAGGGCGACCAGGAATGCTGGACAGCCACGGAGACATGGGACAAATTTTTCGACGCGCCCCTCCCTGCGCGCACTTCGAGCTACACGCGCAGCTGCAATTCTGAGGTCACTGTCTTTCTGGTACGCGTGCGGAACGCCCCCCGCCTGCCAGGGCTGTCGGGCCCCCGAGACTGCCGCTGCCGAGGTCGCATGGCCGTTCCCCCTCTCCCCCCCTCTGCCTCGCCTCCTCCTGGTCCCTCCCCTATTCTATATCAATCACACCCTGTAACGCCCTTCGCGGGAAAGAAACCAACTGGGTGCAGTTTACTCCGTGGAGCGTCGTGTTGTCTCCTCCTCCACTCGTGTTCTTGCGCCAGACGTCCACCCCCGAGGCTCTCGGAAGTTCCCACAAGGCTCGCAGGTGGTCAGAAAAATGCCCCGAACATCGAAGACTAAGTCATTGGAGGTTTCGTCTTCGACTCCGTTCCCAAAGCCGCCTCCTCATTCCTCAAGCCCTGCTCCTGCTCTCCCTCCTCCCATCCCGATCCCCCACGCCTGCCCTGCACCTCCTCCAGCCAGCTCATCCTCGGCTGGCGCCTTCGCCTCGTTTGCTGCCGCGTCTCACGCCGCACCTCGTGCTCCTGCTCCTCCCTGCCCCCCCCCCATTCTCATGCGCATCCTGCTACCCCCGCTTGTAGGGGCCAAGGGACACACAAGTTCGCCAGCACAGTGGGCCAAAGGCGTGCTAAGATCTTTTGCAACAGGTTCACAACAGCTCTAGTTCGCGCGCGTGCGTGGCGGCCCCTGGGGACCCCTGCACCTCGCACGGCCCAAGAGGCCCCGAGTCGCCGAAAGATCGTTCCAAGACGCTCAAGATAGTCTCCAAATGGCTCCAGAGGCAGCGAAAACAATCCAAGAGAGCCAGAAGAGGCCCTCCAAAAAGGCCCCAACGAGCAAAATTCGTCTCATCCCCCTCGGGGAACGTACATTCTTCGCATGTGCGACGTTTGGGGGCTCACAGAGTCCAGAACTGCCCCAGCGACCTCCAACATCGTTCCCAGACGGCCCAACACGCCCCAAAGATTGGCCCAAGAGAACCCAACAGGGCCCCAAGACGGCCCAAGAGGTGCCCAAGACGGCCCAAGGCAGCCCCAAGATGGGCCCAAGAGGGGGCATACGAACCACCAACTCGAACCTTCCGCCCCAAGAGGGCAACAGGAGGCCCCGAAGAGAGCCCAGGATGCCCCCCTGGAGGCCAAAAAAGAGGCCCCCAAGATGCCCAAAAAGAAGCCCCAAGAGGCCCCCCAACGGCCACCCAAAGGCCCCAAGAGGCCACGACCGCGCAAGCAAACGCCTGCGATGGCACAGTACGGGCTAGCGAAATGAGCGAAGCGATTCTATAAAGATATGCAAATCCGAGAATTCCCAATGTTATCGCGTATGTTCTGTACGTTTGTCCCCCCCTTCACTTCCCATATTTGTTGGGGAATCGTCGTTTGTTTGTGTCTGCGTCTTGTTTGTTCCCCTCCTGATGCATGTCCGCACGCAACATGAATAGAGGGAGGAACAGGGTGAGCAGGTTACGGGTGGAATCTCACGTAGCCTCATCTCTATCAAGGGGGGCGTAGTGTAGTGGCCGCAGCCGTGTCCGAAAATCTGCCCGAATGTAACCGAAACTGGCTCCCGACAATTTCAGACCGCGCCCGAGTGTGACCGAAATGTTTAGTTCGGAACCATTACGACGCTCACTTTCGGTCACAGATTTGGTCACACTACGTTTCCAGTCACAATGTCGGGCACGTTTTGGAGCACAAATGTTTTCGGTCACGCGCCTCTTCAGCTGATAGAGGGACCAGGCGCCATGAGGAATGATTCAAGCAGCATTCAGGAGCTGCTGCAGAAGCAGGACGAGCTGGAGGATCTTCATATGCTGATGCTGGCCCTCTCTCCTTTCCTGTTCATGCAGCTTTGTCTTGAGACCCGCAGTCTCTTGTGACCAAGACGCGCCCTGCGTCATCGCAAGAGCTCCCTCAAGATTCTTGTCTAAACGTCTAAACGCTGACACCGACTATGAGGGAAACCTTCCTAATGTGCCACCTCATCCTGCTCCTCCGAGCCATCTTGTTACTCATCCTCCTCCGACTCTTCCTTCCTCTGCTGTTGGGGCACGTGCCTCTTGGAACCACACCGAGGCCAATGAGAGCGCAGGGAGGAGCCCAAGAAGAAGAAGAAGAAGAAGAGGAAGAAAAAGAAGAAGACGAAGAAGAAAATGAATATTAAAAATATTAAGAGGAAAAAGAAGAAGAGCTGGAGGAACCCGCTGGAGCCGTCCTGGTCCTGCCTCCTACGCACCAGCTTCCGCCTTGCCCCGCGCTCCCCCTTCCCTCTCCCAGGGGCACACCACGGGGGAAAGTACACAGCGGCTGGTCCGTGCCGTGACGACTTGCGCGCTGGCTTCTGACACCGCACCGCGTGGATCTGTCAACCTTGGACGACCGCGGCTCTCCGATGGCGCTGACCATGGCCGCTGGCGGCGTTCAGCCTTGAACTCCTGCGCTGGTGTCGCCGCCGCGTCGACGCGACCATGGGAAGCCTAGGGAGGCCTGGAAGTCTTGGGAAAATCCTGGACCGCAACATCATCGTGGCCTCTTGCTCCTCTGAGGCCTGGACAGGCAAACCACGACATGAGCACAAACTGCTGGAGGTCCCCGCACGGTCGAGCATGTTGACGCTGGTGTCGCTTCCTCGATCTCATTATCACGACCGCATGCTCCTCTGAGGCCCTCCTCCCGCTCCTCCTTGCCCCCCCGGCCCCCGGCCAGCCCCTCCAGCGGACGTCACGCACGCGCGGCTCCGGAGCCATGAACGACGCCCCCTGGCCGCGGCGTCGGCTGCCCCGGCTCCCACCCTCGCTCTCGTCCGCCTCGTCCACGTCCACCTCCTCGACCTCGTCCTCGTCGTCGTCCCTGTCCTCCTCATCCTCCTAGACCTCGACCTCGTCCTCCGCGTCACCCTCGTGCTCTTCCTCCTGCTTCCCCTGAGTCCCCGTCTGGATCGCCCTCTCACTGGCCCTCCTCGTGCTGTCCCCGGCCCTCCTCTGCCTCTTCCGCGCTCCTCTCGAGCTAGTCGTTCTCACGTTTACGCCTCATCCTCCTCGTCACCCTCCTTGACAATAACTGCGATCCTCTTGGACCCCCCTGTCTTGTCCGCATCCTCCTGGTCCTCCTGCTGGTCAATTTCATGATGCTGAGCCTCCTGCTTTGCTGCCCCTGCTCCGCGGCAGCGCAGACAGGCTGCGAAGCTGGCGACGGGGGGGAGGGGGGAATACGTGCACGCCAGCAACATCGCAATCACGCCGGAGGCAAGTGCAGGCAGGGCCTCACAGCAGAGGGGACCGCCACGGAAAAGACGACACCCTGGAGAGACCCTCCAAAAACATCCGAGCACGTGCGCGCCCACATCCTCGAGAACAACACGGCCTACCCGGACGGCAACACAACGACAGGGGGTGCCGGGGGGGTACTGTCATCGCCGTGCCAGGAGGAGCGCTGAACAGGGAACGAAGGGGCCTTCCTGGCCACGGCCAGCCTCGGCCACGAGTGGGTTCCACGACCTAGATCTAGGGGGCAGTTGTTCATACATGGGATGTTTCAAAACATATGATTTTTCATACATGATTAATCTATGAATGAAGTGATGCATGAACTCATCGTTGCTTTTGGTACTACATCCCTGCATTTTTGATACATGATCCGCACGCGGAGCATGTGTCAAAAACGGCACTGTAAAGGGGGGCGGGGGGGGCATCGACAGCAAGTCATACAGCCAGGGGGGGGGGGCGGTCTGGCAGATTGGCTTTGTTCCGGTGCCTCCCCCCCCCCTATACCCGCCCAGGCGCCGCCGCTGGCGGCGCAGGGGGGGGCGCCAGGGCTGTCTGGGGAGATTCCCTACAGCGGAGGCGTTGACCCAAGGAACCCTAAAGAAGGAGCGAGGCCCCTTTTTTTCATAAGTGGAACTTCGATCTCGTATCGAGAACCTCAGGGAAACCAGAGGCAAGCTGCGAAACAATCAAGGAACACCGAGCCCCTCCCCAACGAAGAGGGTTCCTTCTTCAGGGCCCCGACTGTATTTTGGGAGGTGCTTCAAGGCATCGCAGGAAGGATTCAAACCTTTGGGAGATTTCTCGCAGCCTCTGGTCGAGGACTCGCAGCAGCTGGGTGATGCATTGGGGCTTGCAGGGAAAGCCTTTGGGGGAACCCTGGTCAGATGATTTGATCCTTTTGGGGATGCCCCAGAACTCATGGAATTGATCCCATTGGCTTTGCGCGAAGTTTTACTTGAGTTTGGCTGGTCCTGCTTGGCATAGCTTGGCATCTATTGGTCGTGCTTGGCATTGCTGGGCATTGCATGGTTTTGCTTGGCAGTGGCGGGTCCTGCGTGGCATTGGGTGGTCCTGCTCACCATTGCCTGGCGTTGGTTCGTCGCCCTTGGCATTAAGTGGTCGCGTTTGGCATTGGTTGGTTGTGCTTGATATTGCTTGGAGCTGAATGGTCGTGCGTGGCACTGCTCGACACTAGTTTGTCGTGGTTGGCTTTTGTCGGTCGTGCTTGGCACTGCTTGGCATTAATAAGTGGTTCTGCTGAAAATTGATTGGCAAAGAGCGGGCGTGCCTGGCTTCCGTGACCCGCGCCTGGGTTTGAGTGATCGTTTCTGGCGTTGAGTGGTCGTGTATGGCACTGGTTGGTCTTGGTTGGCCGCGCTTGGAGTTGCGTGGCACGAAATGGTCGTGGTTGGCACTGCGAGGCCTTAGGTGGCCGCGCCTGGTGTTGGCTGCTCGCGCTTTGGCTTGGGGCATCATTGAAGGAGAACTGGAACACACAAATAGATACACACATATAAAAAGAGTCCCCATATTTTCCTATATTTTCTGGGTTTCTGTCTCCCCCCTACTTCCCATATTTTCCCATAGTTCCCTGGGAGTCGACAATTCATTGTGTCTGTGTGCTTTTTTTCACCTCCTGAATCATGCTCTCGGGGTGGAGTTGTCGTTGAGCCTGTTGCGCTGCTGTGCTGTACGGCGACAGCCGGGTCACCGTAGGCCGTTGGGCAGAACTTGGCAGCGGTGAGTAAACGGCGAGCAGCGGGCAGCACGAACTGGCAACGGCCAGCGCTCAGCGGCCACCTGTGGGCGGCAACGGACCGGAATGTGGCAGCGCTGGGCGATCGGCGCGCACGGGACGAGACTGTCCCTGATGTTCGCCTGCTTCGCCCCGCGTGCTCGCTGGCCGCAGGCGGGTGCCGCATGCAACCCATGTCTGATCACTGGCGCCCGCGGCTTGTCCACTGATTGATTAGAGATCTTGCCGTCGCTCGGGCGTCCATTTCCTGAGCATTGTTTCGGCTTCGTGCGTGCTTTGTTGGCTCGATGGTCCAGGATGGTCCTCGATGGTTCTCGCCGAGAAAAAATGCACACGTCCGAGCGATGCCGAGAGGTTGCCCGCTGCTTGCTCTCCCATACCTCATGGCTGATCACTGACCTTCGCGGGTGCCCGCCGCTCACCACTGCTTACTGCAGAGTGCGCACGTGCTGCCCACTGCCTGCCCAGCATCTTTCGCCGCGGTGCTACTGGGGCACGCGCCAGTCGTGGAGTGGCTCACACTTGCTGATCACTTCGAAGGGGACATATCTTGCCGATGTGGGCGTGGCTTTGTTGCATGGGGGCTTGCCAGCGAGAAGCGGCGCGAAGCAGCGGCCAGCAGCGCGCGCCCCTGGACAGAAAAAAACGAATAATGCACAACAACGATCTTCTGGCACCCAGTCAGCCAACACGCAATGGTCAAGCACAGTGCCGCACTCAATAAAACTGAGCCAGCAATGGGCACAATCCAGCTGCGATGAACCACCACTGACCGTGCAGTAGCATGGCAACGATCAGTTACTAGACTGAACTTGGAACCAGTTGGCAGCACAGCACCAGGGAGCATTCCTGAACGCTACCGATTTCCTCTGGGCATTCCTGGTCATCAGCGAACAATCGTTGTTTTCATTGAGGAACGCTGAGAAAAATGCATCAACAGTGGCCCACAGCGTGCAAAAAGCAATCAAATGTGATCCGGTTGTGAACAGACAGTGGGCCGGCAACGCGCAGCAATGATACAATTGCACTGGCCCGCACTGCGCAATTAACACTGACCAGCGGCGGGCATGCAGCGAAACAGCAGAGACCAACGGGAAGCCGCCGGACGACTCCACGAGAGCTCACTCGCGCCCCGCGGCACGTGCCGGCGAACTCGCAGGTGGGCAGCCGACTCACCTCCCAAATTCATGTGTCCCTGGCGCAACGTCCGCCCCGAAGCTGGAAAACCGCCGCTAACCGACGAGCGCGCCCGAGCAGAACCCAAACCTCGCCAGCCTCCGTCCGACACGAACCTCTGATCTGGACGCCCGAGATGGGGTAGGGGAAAAAATGGGTACGACGTCGAACAACAAAAGTTGTCCCAAACCGGCAGCGGCCGCTAGTGGGCAGGCGGCCGTCTCTCTCTCTCTCTCTCTCTCTCTCTCATGGACCACGCACGCAACGACTCCGACAACGAATCCTGCTCAGAGCGCACCGGAAGCGCTGTTGGTCTTCGTGCCCGTTCTTTTCGTGCCCACGCTTCGGTCGCACCGATCCGACGACGTCCGACCCCTCGCCGTCGCTCGGACGTCCCGCGTCCACTCTTCTGCGAGATAACCCACGCTCTGCTCCTCGATGGCCCTCGCCGACCCACGGCGCCACGGCGCGCCCACGACCCCCAGACATGCGACGTCCTGATTTTTTCAAGACGGCGCCCCTGGAAGTCCCGACCCTTTCACCGGGACCGGCTTTCCATCCTGAGTCGTGTTTCGACGATCCTGGGGCCCGGCGAGGGCCCCTCGGGGCCGAAAATGGTGCAACATTGGCCGCCCTGACTTTTTTTCACGACGCGAGCAGGTCTGGGCCCGAGACCCACGACGCGGCCACCACTTGGCGGCGCGCAAAAAGCGGGTAGGGGGAGGGGGGAAGGCTTCTTAGAAGCACCCTGCTTCTTAAAGGCCTCGGCCTTACGTCTACAGAGAAGGCCCGCGCCTTCTAAGAAGCAGGGGTGCTTCTAGGAAGCCTTCCCCCCTCCCCCTACCCCCTCTCTGCGCGTTGCCGAACCCCCCTCCCCCTACCACCCCCATCCTGGGTCGTGTTTCGACGATCCTGGGGCCCGGCGAGGGCCCCCTCGGGGCCGAATATGGTGCAACATTGGCCGCCCTGACTTTTTTTCACGACGCGAGCAGGTCTGGGCCCGAGACCCACGACGCGGCCACCACTTGGCGGCGCGCAAAAAGCGGGTAGGGGGAGGGGGGAAGGCTTCTTAGAAGCACCCTGCTTCTTAAAGCCTCGGCCTTACGTCTACAGAGAAGGCCCGCGCCTTCTAAGAAGCAGGGGTGCTTCTAGGAAGCCTTCCCCCCTCCCCCTACCCCCTCTCTGCGCGTTGCCGAACCCCCCTCCCCCCTACCACCCCCATCCTGGGTCGTGTTTCGACGATCCTGGGGCCCGGCGAGGGCCCCCTCGGGGCCGAATATGGTGCAACATTGGCCGCCCTGACTTTTTTTCACGACGCGAGCAGGTCTGGGCCCGAGACCCACGACGCGGCCACCACTTGGCGGCGCGCAAAAAGCGGGTAGGGGCAGGGGGGAAGGCTTCTTAGAAGCACCCTGCTTCTTAAAGGCCTCGGCCTTACGTCTACAGAGAAGGCCCGCGCCTTCTAAGAAGCAGGGGTGCTTCTAGGAAGCCTTCCCCCCTCCCCCTACCCCTCTCTGCGCGTTGCCGAACCCCCCCCCTACCACCCCCATCCTGGGTCGTGTTTCGACGATCCTGGGGCCCGGCGAGGGCCCCCTCGGGGCCGAATATGGTGCAACATTGGCCGCCCTGACTTTTTTTCACGACGCGAGGAGGTCTGGGCCCGAGACCCACGACGCGGCCACCACTTGGCGGCGCGCAAAAAGCGGGTAGGGGGAGGGGGGAAGGCTTCTTAGAAGCACCTGCTTCTTAAAGGCCTCGGCCTTACGTCTACAGAGAAGGCCCGCGCCTTCTAAGAAGCAGGGGTGCTTCTAGGACCCCCCTCCCCCTACCCCCTCTCTGCGCGTTGCCGAACCCCCCTCCCCCTACCACCCCCATCCTGGGTCGTGTTTCGACGATCCTGGGGCCCGGCGAGGGCCCCCTCGGGGCCGAAAATGGTGCAACATTGGCCGCCCTGACTTTTTTTCACGACGCGAGCAGGTCTGGGCCCGAGACCCACGACGCGGCCACCACTTGGCGGCGCGCAAAAAGGGGGTAGGGGAGGGGGGAAGGCTTTTAGAAGCACCCTGCTTCTTAAAGGCCTCGGCCTTACGTCTACCGAGAAGGCCCGCGCCTTCTAAGAAGCAGGGGTGCTTCTAGGAAGCCTTCCCCCCTCCCCCTACCCCCTCTCTGCGCGTTGCCGAAACCCCTCCCCCTACCACCCCCCATGTGTCGTGTTTCGACGATCCTGGGGCCCGGCGAGGGCCCCCTCGGGGCCGAATATGGTGCAACATTGGCCGCCCTGACTTTTTTTCACGACGCGAGCAGGTCTGGGCCCGAGACCCACGACGCGGCCACCACTTGGCGGCGCGCAAAAAGCGGGTAGGGGCAGGGGGGAAGGCTTCTTAGAAGCACCCTGCTTCTTAAAGGCCTCGGCCTTACGTCTACCGAGAAGGCCCGCGCCTTCTAAGAAGCAGGGGTGCTTCTAGGAAGCCTTCCCCCCTCCCCCTACCCCCTCTCTGCGCGTTGCCGAACCCCCCTCCCCCTACCACCCCCATCCTGGGTCGTGTTTCGACGATCCTGGGGCCCGGCGAGGGCCCCCTCGGGGCCGAATATGGTGCAACATTGGCCGCCCTGACTTTTTTTCACGACGCGAGCAGGTCTGGGCCCGAGACCCACGACGCGGCCACCACTTGGCGGCGCGCAAAAAGCGGGTAGGGGGAGGGGGGAAGGCTTCTTAGAAGCACCCTGCTTCTTAACCCCGCCCTGAAGCTTCTCTGACTTTTTTTCACGACGCGAGCAGGTCTGGGCCCGAGACCCACGCGCGGCCACCACTTGGCGGCGCGCAAAAAGGGGGTAGGGGGAGGGGGGAAGGCTTCTTAGAAACACCCTGCTTCTTAAAGGCCTCGGCCTTACGTCTACCGAGAAGGCCCGCGCCTTCTAAGAAGCAGGGGTGCTTCTAGGAAGCCTTCCCCCCTCCCCCAACCCCCTCTCTGCGCGTTGCCGAACCCCCCTCCCCCTACCACCCCCCATCCTGGGTCGTGTTTCGACGATCCTGGGGCCCGGCGAGGGCCCCCTCGGGGCCGAATATGGTGCAACATTGGCCGCCCTGACTTTTTTTCACGACGCGAGCAGGTCTGGGCCCGAGACCCACGACGCGGCCACACTTGGCGGCGCGCAAAAAGCGGGTAGGGGGAGGGGGGAAGGCTTCTTAGAAGTACCCTGCTTCTTAAAGGCCTCGGCCTTACGTCTACAGAGAAGGCCCGCGCCTTCTAAGAAGCAGGGGTGCTTCTAGGAAGCCTTCCCCCCTCCCCCTACCCCCTCTCTGCGCGTTGCCGAACCCCCCTCCCCCTACCACCCCCATCCTGGGTCGTGTTTCGACGATCCTGGGGCCCGGCGAGGGCCCCCTCGGGGCCGAAGATCGTAAAAAACTGTAAGCTGGCCGCCCTGATATTCTTACGACGCGAGCAGGTCTGGGCCCGAGACCCACGACGCGGCCACCGCTTGGCGGCGCGCAAAAAGGGGGTAGGGGGGGGGGGCAGGTTTCTTAGAAGCACCCTGCTTCTTAGAAGGCCTTACGTCTATAGAGAAGGCCCGCGCCTTCTAAGAAGCAGGGGTGCTTCTAAGAAGCCTTCCCCCCTCCCCCTACTGAAGGGGCCCTGGGACACACAAATAAATACACACAAATAAACATCTTCCCCATAGTTTCGTATATGTTCTGGGCTTTTATCTCCCCCCCCCACTTCCCATATTTCCCAATATTTTCTGGGGAATCGACGAAAAATTGTGTCTGTGTGTCTTTTCCCTCCAGACCTGCCCCCCTCTGCGCGCTGCCGAACCACCCGCGGCCCACGACACGACGCGGCGGCGCACCATCACGGGCGCCGCCGGCGCCCGCACGCCGTGCGCACGGTGGCCTCCGCGGCGGCGGGCGCGGCCGGTGGCGGCCGCCCCGCCCCCCGTCTGCGCGCGGGCGTCTCCGCGGGCGCACCGCCCGTGCACCCCCCCCCGCCGAGGAGGAGGAGGATCAGGAGGAGGAGGAGGGAGTGAGGGAGGGGGAGGGAGGACCAGGAGGAGGAGGACGACGACGAGGAGGAGAAGGAGGAGGGAGGGAGGGAGGACGAGGAGGAGAAGGACGAGGAGGAGGAGGAGGAGGAGGAGGAGGAGGAGGCGGGAGGGAGGGAGGGAGGAGGAGGAGGAGGACGAGGAGGAGGAGGAGGAGGAGGAGGAGGACCCGCCCCCCGGCCACGCCCGCGCCCGCCACTGGCGCTGCACCGCTGTCGCAGCGGGCGCGCTCGCCCGGTCTCGGGCCCGGGGGCCCTCGCGGATCGAGATCTGGCTCGAAGGAACGACCCAGGAAGGCGGGGTGCAGGGCTCCATGGCCCGTGAAGTCCCGGGAGGGCGCCTGTCTTTTGCAGCGTCGGATCCCTGGGCTCTCTCCCCCGACCCCACCGTCCCCCTCCATTCGAACGTTCTACTTGAAGGGGCCCTGGGACACACACATGAATACACATAACCGGATTCCCCATATTCCCCAATATTTGTTCTAGGCTTTTGTCTTCCCCCCTACTTCCCATATTTTCCGATATCTTCCTGGGGATCGACGACTCATTGTGCCTGTGTGTGTTTTCCCCTCCTGCTTACTCCCTATCTTTCCATATCTTCCATATTTTCCCATAGTTCCCGCAATCTTCCTGGGGATCGACGACTCATCGTGTCTGTGTGTGTTGTTTCCCCTCCTGACTAATTACTCCCCCCATTCCCCGCCAACCCAGACTCGCCCAGCCGGCGTCGGCCCTGGCCTCTTCCGCATGCGCGCTCGTCGCCACCTTCCTGCGCCTCCCCCTTACCATCTCTGTCTCTCTATGCCTTCCCTCTCTCTCTCTCTCTCTCTCCCTATATACCTATATCTATATATGTCGGCGGTGCGCCGTGGCACGAACCCCCCCCCCAGCACTACCGGGGGGTTTCGTGCACTACCGGGGGGTTTCGTGCAGCCCGCACCAGGTGCCGCCAGCGGCTTAGAACACCCCCCCCTTGCCGCTTTACCGGGGGGGTTCGTGCAGGCCGCACTGCGTCTACCTGGGCTCCCCCCCCCCCCCTGTGGGAGGGGGGGGGTGGGAGTGGGGGGTGGGTTAAGGGGGGGGCAGGGGGGCGGTTGGGAAGGGTGGCTCCCCTGTCGAAGTGTGGCGTGTGCTCGCCTTGTGTTCTCTATTCGCGTCTGCTCGCCTTTGTTCCGCCGCAGCCTCTCGTATTGTGGCTCGTGGCCACAATACGAGAGGCTGCGGCGCAACTCCCGAGAGCCGCTGTGGGGGGTCGACGGCACGGCCGCGTAGAGAAGAACAGTGCCGCCGTGTTCCGGCACGGCCCTGGGATGCAATGCCGCCGCCGTGTTCCGGCCCGTCCTGGTAAGATTCGCGCGTCGGGGCTGGGTTTCGCGCGTGCTGGGAGCGCGCCGCTTACGGAGGGGTTGCGTCCTTACCGGGGGGGTTCGTGCAGCCTACCAGAGGAGGTCGTGTTTACCGGGGGGTTTCGTGCAGGCTCGCACCGGGAATGGCGCCAGCTCGAAACCCCCCAGGAGAGATTACCGGGGGGGGGGGTCGCTCCGCACCGGGCACCGCCGACATATATAGATATGTATCGCTCTCTCTCTCTCTCCCTCTCTCGCTCTCTCTATCTTCTCTCCTCTCCTCCCTCGCACAGCCCGCCCCGCGCGCGCTAGGCGTGGCCAGATCGCAGAGGCGTCCCGCCCTTTCGATGGGGCAAGCGGCGACAAAATAGGAAACATGGACTCCCACAGGGTAAACCCGCCCTCTCCCTCATCCTCATCCGCTTGCGTTACCTCGCCATAGCATCTCAGGATGCGTTGCGTCTCCCTCGTCCTCCTCACCCCCTCATGCTTCTCACCACCATCCTCCCCCCGCCACTGCACCTCAGGCTGCGCTGCGTCTGCCCACGTCCTCCTCACCCTCATTAGGGGAACTAAACTTGACATAAACATAACAACTCGGAGGTCCGCGCGGATTTCTGGGATCGGCGCTGGACCCCCCTCCCTGGCGCGTGGAGCGCGCCAGGGGCGGCGCCGGAGGTGCCGCCAAGGGGCCCCAGCGCCGGTCAGAGGAATTCGCGCGGACCTGCGAGTTTTTATGTTTATGTCATTGTTCGTTCTCTTACTGACTACCTACCAGACCACCCCAACCCAACCCGAAGACCCGAATTTCGGGTTGGGGGGGGGTAAAGGTTTCACACGTGTTTTTTCTATGTTTCCCGACCCCCCCCCCCCCCACTGGAAATCTATGGAAAATCTGAGCCTTCGGGTTGGGTTGGGGTGGTTTGGTGGGTGGTGACTTACTCATGCTTCTCACCACCATCCTCCCCCATCCTCCACGTCCCCCGCCGCGTGAGCGACGCAACCGCTTGCGCCGCTCAAGCGGCGGGTTCGCGACCACCCTCCCGCCCCGCCCGGGGGGGGCCAGAAGCAGTGCAGAAAAAGCCCACGGTGAGGACGCAGGGTAAGGTTAGGTCGGGCCTGTCCCCCTACAGGGGGACTTTGGATGAACAATAAAACAGATTCAACAAATATTCAAAAAGATGCCCAAAAATATTCAAAAATAGTCCCCATACTATTTTTTGACTATGTTTGAATTTCCCCCCTGCAGTGGGACAGGCCCGACTTAAGGTAAAGGATGCAAGACCCTCGGAAGTCCCATTCAAGGTTCAGACCTGCCTGGACTCAACATTGGCGCAAGCTGGGCCGAAGAAGCGAGGATACGAGAGTATCCCTGAAGAAGCAGCGCATATCATCACTCTGGACTCTGCCTGAACATACGTGCGTGCCACGTGCTAGGGAAGATATCCACCCTGGGTGCATCCATGGTTCGTAGCACTTCGCTGGCCACCTCAGCTCTAGACCTCGACCAGAGCGCCGAGGTAAGAGAGAGGACACATACCTCGTCCAAGACCAGCTGCTTCGGGTCGCGAGCCCCTGGAGCCCTCGAGCTCTTCGCGTGCGCTGTTCGTGCACCCCCGAACTGATGTTTGTTCGACTTGGCCCAGAAACGGCACTGGAACGGCGACAACTCAGATCTTCGGCGCGCCCTTTTTCCAAACTGGCGGAGGTTTGGGGAGGAGGGTAAGGAGGAGGGGAAAGTGCGGGCGGGAAGGGGAGAATCGACATGTTGTGGTGGGCGTGGCGGCGTGGAGAGGAAGCATGGAGAGGAAACTATAGAGAGAGGGAGAGATAGGAAGAGCGAGAAAGAGAGAGAGAGAGAGAGCGAGGCATACATATATACATAGAGAGAGATAGAGACAGAGCGAGAGAGAACGAGAGAGAGAGAGAGAGCGAGATATCCAGAGAAAGAAGAAAGAGAGAGAGAGAGAGAGAGAGAGAGAGAGCGGAGGCTCTGAGGGGAGGGGGTAGGCAGCCAGAAAGAGGGAGAAAGAAGGGAGGGAGACGAAAACGCCACGAACAGATCTATACAAACAGACACATTTATACATACAAATATGTGCCCTCCGTCGAACTTGCACGTACTTTCAGGGAGGGCGACGGTGTATAAACTCGCTGGCTGCCCGTGGTGATGTATACACTGCCACCCTTCCCTCAGACTTAAGAACAATCCAGTGGGGGGCGTCTGTGTCTACTTATACTTTTGCGGCCGAGCGATGGACCGCCATCCCTTGCCTCTCCAAAGAACTGCCCACGGACTTCTCGGGGGAAGCGCAAGCGCTTGGATCGGAATGCCGCTGGACATCCGGCCGTGGCGACGAGAAGCTTTCCGACAGGCAGAGCATACAAAACGCATGGAACCTCCGACTTGGACTTCTGTCCGGCGTGTCCCCCTTCAGGGGGATTAGCGACGAAAAATAAAACATACCCCAGAAATGCTCCAAAAAGAGAAAAAAAACAAAACAAATAATCCCCAGACTAGTTCCCAACCCTCCTTGGTTGGGTATTCGTTTTGAATAGAGCAGTGTGGTCTCCACTCCTTCCTTCCTCCTCCTCCCTCCCTCCCTGCCTCTTCCTGTCTTGCCTGCGGGGGGCTGCGATCTGTGAAACTGTCGCCATGTTCGAGGCCTGCTGGGGGGCCCAGCAAAGTGAGGGCGACGCGCAAATTCAAATTAGACCTCGCCCGATCTGTGAAACTGCCGCCATTTTCGAGGCCTGCTGGGGGGCCCAGCACAGTGAGGGCGACGCGCAGATTCAAATTAGACCTCGCCATCCCTGGGGGGACTGCGATCGCAGATTCAAATTAGACCTCGCCATCCCTGGGGGGCTGCGATCTGTGAAACTGTCGCCATTTTCGAGGCCTGCTGGGGGGCCCAGCACAGTGAGGGCGACGCGCAGATTCAAATTATACCTCGCCATCCCTGGGGGGCTGCGATCTGTGAAACTGTCGCCATTTTCGAGGCCTGCTGGGGGGCCCAGCACAGTGAGGGCCACGCGCGGATTCAAATTAGACCTCGCCATCTCTGGGGGGGCTGCGATCTGTGAAACGGTCGCCACTTTCGAGGCCTGCTGGGGGGCCCTGCACAGTGAGGGCGACGGGCGGACCCAAGTTTGACCTCGCCATCCCTGGGGGGCTGCGATCTGTGAAACGGTCGCCACGTTCGAGGCCTACTGGGGGGCCCTGCACAGTGAGGGCGGCGGGCGAACCAAAATTAGACCTCGCCATCCCTGGGGGGCTGCGATCTGTGAAACTGTCGCCACTTTCGAGGCCTGCTGGGGGGCCCACCTCCTTGGTTGGGTATTCGTTTTGAATAGAGCAGAGCAGTGTGGTCTCCACTCCTTCCTTCCTCCTCCTCCCTCCCTCCCTGCCTCTTCCTGTGTTGCCTGCGGGGGGCTGCGATCTGTGAAACTGTCGCCATTTTCGAGGCCTGCTGGGGGGCCCAGCAAGTGAGGGCGACGCGCAATTCAAATTAGACCTCGCCATCCCTGGGGGGGCTGCGATCTGTGAAACTGTCGCCATTTTCGAGGCCTGCTGGGGGGCCCAGCACAGTGAGGGCGACGCGCAGATTCAAATTAGACCTCGCCATCCCTGGGGGGGCTGCGATCTGGAAAAACTGTCGCCATTTTCGAGGCCTGCTGGGGGGCCCAGCACAGTGAGGGCCACGGCGGATTCAAATTAGACCTCGCCATCCCTGGGGGGCTGCGATCTGTGAAACTGTCGCCACTTTCGAGGCCTGCTGGGGGGCCCAGCACAGTGACCCACGCGCGGACCAAATTAGACCTCGCCATCCCTGGGGGGCTGCGATCTGTGAAACTGTCGCCACTTTCGAGGCCTGCTGGGGGGCCCAGCACAGTGACGCCACGCGGCGGATTCAAATTAGACCTCGCCATCCCTGGGGGGCTGCGATCTGTGAAACTGTCGCCACTTTCGAGGCCTGCTGGGGGGCCCAGCACAGTGACGCCACGCGCGGACCCAAATTAGACCTCGCCATCCCTGGGGGGCTGCGATCTGTGAAACTGTCGCCACTTTCGAGGCCTGCTGGGGGGCCCAGCACAGTGACGCCACGGGCGGACCCAAATTAGACCTCGCCCACTCCCTGGGGGGCTGCGATTAGACCTCGCCATCCCTGGGGGGCTGCGATCTGTGAAACTGTCGCCACTTTCGAGGCCTGCTGGGGGGCCCGGCACAGTGACGCCACGCGCGGACCCAAATTAGACCTCGCCATCCCCGGGGGGCTGCGATCTGTGAAACTGTCGCCACTTTCGAGGCCTGCTGGGGGGCCCAGCACAGTGACGCCGCGCGCGGACCCAAATTAGACCTCGCCATCCCTGGGGGGCTGCGATCTGAGATCCCCGTTTTCGAAGTGGCTAGGGTTGCTCAGGGATTGCAACTAATCAGCTTTATATAGTCCTTGTCCTGAAGCCAATGTCCTGCGAGTCTCCCGAATTCCGGCTGCAGACATAATATGTAACCCTCGCTCCGTCATCGCCCCCCTTATAAAGTGTCCTCAACTATTTGCGCCCCGCGTTTGCGCAGGGGTTGGGTACGTCGCCAGGGTAATTTTGGAATATGTTTTGACTATTTGTTCGGTATTTTACATGTTTTGTCGAAAATCCTTTTGGAGGGGGACAGGCCCGGCTTAAACTTGGACCCTCGACGCTGCCGCGGCCGCCGTCGATGCCGGAGCCCCTTTTTTTACTCGTTTTATCATCTATTCGCGATCGCGCCCGGGACCTGCTCCGCCCGCCGCCCTCCGGCCCCCCGCGGGTCGCGCCACGATTCGCGCAACTGGGTAGCAGTCATTCTCAAAAACAAATCCCATGCGGCGCAGGGGGCGAACTGTCCCCCCCCACCCCCTCCACCCCCCCCCAATGCCACGTCCGTTCGTGGGCGTATTCTTCCGCCTCTGGCAAGCTCAGTTGCGTGGACTCCCCCCTCCTTCCCCCGCCCCTCCCCGCCGCCTTATCAAGCAGTGCTGGCCCAAGAAAGCGCGCAAACGAGTCCTGGCTTACGTGAAGTCCAGATCCACATTCGGGCCCCGCCGGACAGAACCCTTCTGTTCTCCACGCAAGTAAACTTGCAAGAGCGTATACGAAAGACCCTCTTACATAGACCCCCGACGTCGTGATTTGTTCATGACGTCGACTCCAAAAGATCTAGACCTATTCCGCGGGACCGGCTTTTCATCCTGAATCGTTTTTTGACAGCCCCAGGGCCCCCCGAGGCCGAAATTCGCAAATAATCTCCAATCGCGATCGTTTCTAGACACGAGTGTTTCTGGGTATCGCCAGAGGGGGTTCAACTGCCGATTCTTCGATCAGGGGATCGACTAAAATTCTGATTTACCCAAACCCATGTTGCGTCGAATCGACCAACAACAATTACTCCGACGGTAGGACCCCGCATGAGAAACTGTTTAGATGGCCCTTCGGTCGTTCAATTTCGCCCTGGCCGAAACCCTCCGTCTCGCCCTCCGTTGTCCTTCCTCCTCACCCTCCTTGTCTCCCTCGTCCTCCGTTTCTTCCCCCTCCTGCTCGCCCTCCTTGTTCACTGTCTCCTCTTCCTCCTCGTCCTTTTCCTCCTCCTCCTCCTCCACCTCCTCCTTCTTTCCTCCCCTCATATCCATCCCGCCTGGTCTCGCCATGCACTTCTCCTTCCTCCTGGCCAGGGGGGGCGCATGCCGCTGTTCCTCGGCGCCCTGGCCGCTGCGCGACTGGCAGGTGCGCGCTCTTCGATGGCAGCATCGCGAAACCGTCGGGGCAACGGCCGTTGGGACCACCCCGCGAGCCGCTGGGGCGCGAGAGCACGACGCTCGGGTCGGGCGAAAGGGGGGGGGTAGCAAAAGGGGGGGGGGAGAATCAGCTCACGTAGCTGATTTTCCCGGCGCCCCCCGGCGCCGGAGGCGGTTACGTGCCGAGGGATGGGCCCCTCGGTGAGGCCGAAACCAGCTGCATGCAACAAATGTCGTAACCCCCCTTTCTCATTCCCCCTTTTTCGTCCGGCCCGAGACGCTGGGTCAACCCCGCAGGCACCGAGCTAGTCGCGGCCGCTCTCACGCGGGAGGCAGCACGAAGATAAGCCCTGCCGCGAGCTGCTCCGCCTCAGCCCTAGAATCCATAGTCAGTCCAGGGGGGCTAAGAAGTGACGACGGTTACAGAGTTTCGATCAACCGCTCGGATTACCAACATGAAGAGCGGACCCCATAGGGGAAGAACTCTCGCCTGAGAGTTCCTCGATATTCACTCACAGACGAAGTTCCCGCCGGAGACTTCCTCCATATTCAATCCAGAGGAGACGAGAAAGTAACGACTGATACAAGATTCCGATGACACGCTCGGATTGCCAATATGAAGTGCGGACCCCATGTTCAGCCAGACGGCCGTAAAAAGACGACAATTACAAGGTTCCGATGACCCGCTCGGATTGCCAACGTGCAAAGCTGACCCCATAGGGAAGGGGTACTCGCCTGGATTTTCCGGGCAATTCACTCACAAACGAAGCTCCCGCCCGAGACTTCCTCCATAATCCAGAGGAGCCGAAAAGTGATGACAGTTACAAGATTCCGATGGCCCGCTCAGATGACCAATAAGGAATGCGGACCCCATAGGGAGGGGGTTTCCGCATGAGACGTCCTCGCAATTCATTCACAAACGAAGCTCCCAAGTGACGACGGTTACAAGATTCCGATGACGCGCTCGGATTACCAACATGAAACACAAACCACATAGGGAGGGGGCTCCCGCCTGAGACTTCCTCGCATTTCACTGACAGACGAACTTCCCACCTGAGACTTCCTCCATATTCAATCCAGAGGAGCCGAGAAAATGACGACAGATACAAGATTCCGATGACCCGCGCGGATTACCAACATGAAGTGCGGACACCATAGGGCCCTAGGGGGGGTGTCTCCCGCCTGAAACGTCCTCGCAATTCACTAACAGACGATGCTCCCGCCTGAGATTTCATTCAGATTCAATCTAACTAGAAGAGCAGAACAGTGACGACAATTACAGGATCCCGACGTCCCGCTGGGATGACGGATGACTAACTTGAAGTGCGGACCCCATAGGGAGGGGGCTCCCGCCTGAGACTTCTTCGTCGCAGTTCACTCACAGACGAGGCTCTCTCTTGGTCGATGATCACGGTGGGACGGTGATAGTGATGAATGTGTGATGATACTGATAGTGATGTGGAGTTGGTGATCGTGACGCTGATGAGGAGGTGTGCGAATATGATGGTGGTGATGATGACGATGGTGATGATCAATGAGTGGATGTGTGTGAGAGTGTGCTGATGATTACGAATGAGTGCGTGTGCTGCTCATGATGGTGATGGTGGTACTGATGATGATGAGTGTGCGAACGAGGTGGGAGGTCATCCTGCGCGGACGTGTGCAGAGAAAACAAGAACCCCACTTAGGCCGTGGGGAATAAACACACTGCCCCGTGCACGGAACACTCTTGGCACGTTGTAGATCTACGGGGCATTCTTTATACTTTCCGTGAGGAGTCGACGGACCCTTCGGGGGTCAATCAATTCGTCACTCGATTCTCAACTCGAATTATCGCCAAGATCGGAAGCCTGGAAATTGGCTCCAACACCAAGACAGGGGTTTGCCTCCACAGGGGGAAGGTGATCCTAGATTTTCGGTGTTGGTGGTAATAGTTCGGCCACCTTGGAAGCCAGAATCTTACCACCATCGCCGAGATCGGGATCGTCTTCCCTCGGTGGGGGCAAACCGCCGAAATCGGTGTTGGTGTCAATCTCTAGGCCTGCGACAAGAGAAGCAAACAAGCTCCACATGTCGCCGCCGCCCTCTGGGCGCGGGTGCGCGCGGCCTGTGGCGGCATCCGCCTCGAGGGGCATCGGGACCGAGATCGCCCGGCCGCCCGCCGCGTCGACGAGCTCGCCCAGCCGAGGGAGCACCTGCCCCGGGGGAGCCGGCCCGTCTTCGCGGACTTAACATGTGCTTGATGCAGGCAACTCCAGATCACAGATGCGTCTGCGCACCGCTGGCATGCGCGCGATCGCGTCCAAGTCCGTGCGAGGCGCCACACACCTCCCGACGGCAAGCTGGACCTTGCCGGTGGGCCACCTGCATCTACCGCCACGTCAACGCGGCGCGAACCCACCTTAGCTTCACTGCGGAACACCTGCCGCCCTTTGTGGGCCCCGGAAACGGCAGGGCCGTGTTTTCACCGTTTCCCAACAAAAAATGCCCCTTGAAAATGAAAACGGCAAAAAAAACGGCGACCGGAAACAGCAACAAAAACGGCTCCAGGAGTGGAACCGGAGCCGGAACCGGTCAAAAAACGGCGACGGAACGGGTAAAAAAACTGCGTCGGAACCGGCAACAAAAACGGCAAAACGGAACCGGTAACAAAAACGGCCCTGTCGTTCCCAGGGCCCACTGAGAGCCGGCCCGTCTTCGCGGTCCCCAGACCCCGTCGGGTCAGGACAGGAAAGAACGGCGGGAGACTTTCTGCCTCCGTGGGCCCTCGCCGGGCCCCAACACCTTCAAAAATCGGGTCGGGCGAAAGGGGGGGATAGCAAAGGGGGGGTTTGAGAATCAGCTCACGTAGCTGATTTTCCCGGCGCCTCCCGGCGCCGGTGGCGGCCATGTATCGAGGAATGGGCCCCTCGGTGAGGCCGAAACCAGCTGCATGTTGCAGATTTCGTATCCCCCCCCTTTCCCAATCCCCCCCTTTCGCCCGGCCCGAAAAAACGGCTCGGGATGGAAGACGGGTCCCAGACCCCGGACCTCTGTGGGGGTCGGCGCCATGAAGACATCACAGTCGAGGCGTTGCGTAAGGAACCCTAAATAAGGAACGAGGCCCCTTTTTCCCATAAGTTCAACCTCGATTTCCTATGGAAAACCTCAGGAAAACCCGAGGCAAACTTTGAAACAATCAAGGAACACCGAGCCCCTCCCCAACGAAAAGGGTTCCTTCTTCAGCGCCCCGACTGCATGACCTCGGGGGCCTGGGTGGAGGGCAAGGCAGACCGCGAGGGCACCCCTACCAAGAGTCAGCTGTGCTGCTGCGTGGAGAAAGCCGCGGCGGCGGCCATGCACGGCGACGCGCCATGCCGCGCGTGTGGAGAGCGTGACGTGCCGTGCCGCGGGTCGGGAGCGGCCAAGAGGGGGGTGTCCAAGAGGGGGGGGGCGCAAATCATGACCGGCGGCATGTGCGCGGCCCAGCGGGGGGGCCAGGGACGTGATGAAATAAGAAGGGGCGCCATGAAATCTGGGGAAATATCATGGCCCCCGCCATGATATCCCCCCCCCCCTAGTCATCACACCCCTCTTTTCCGCCCCCGAGCAGGGCAGGAGGCCGGGGAAACCGGGAAGGCTCGGGTCGTGGATGGTCAGGAGCTTGGACGTCTTAGATGCTCGTTCTGGGGACCTCCCTGGAGCCACTCGCTCCACTCGTGCGTCGAAGCTGCGTCGTCGAAGCTGCGTCGAACCTGAGTCGAACCTGAGTCGAACTTCAGTCGAACCTGAGTCGAGCAGGTCCATTAGCTGGGCCCCAGGAAGGCCCCCCAAAACGAGCATCGAGGACGTGGACAGCGAGCCGCGCCGACGCGTGGTGGGCCCGAGCTGGCGGCGCGACGCGCTGCGCCAAAGCTCCCGACCGCAGCCTTCCCGCGTCGCCGCGGCGGGGTCCGCCGCTCGAACCCGTGGCACGAGCGCACCCTGGGACAAGGCCCTACTGTTGAGTCGGGCCTGTCCCTCTGCAGGGGGAGTGTCCCGAAATGGTTAAAACACTATGTTTGGGACTATCTTTTAGCATGTTGAGCATTGTTGACTATTCCTTGGATATTTCAGGGACGATTTGTTTTGTCTATGCTTGAGCATGATTGGAATATTTGTAGGGTATGTTTGATTTTTCGCCAAGGATCCCCCTGTAGGGGGACAGGCCTGACCTAAACCTAGTTGCCCCAGTGGAAGCGAGGGGGGGGGGAGCGGGCCCAGGAGATGGGAGCAAGGAGAAGCGGCACCGCCACCACCAGGGACCACTACAGTCGGGCTTGCTTGGAGAGGACGCGCGAGAGGACACAAGACCCTTCCGAGGGCCACACTGCCACAGGAATGTAGGAGGCGTGGGTCTCGAAACACAGGACGCGAGGGCACCCTTGATTTGGCAGGGTCACACTACTAATCCAGGGCCGACTGTAGCGGGAGGAGTCAGGAGGGGGAGGTCCCAAGGGTGGTGTGGTGTGCCCCCTCCCGCTCGAGACACCCCCCCAAAGGCCCGGATCGGAGAGGTGCCGTGGGCCTCCTCGCTGGAGGTGGCCCCTCTGGTGGCGGTGGTGTCGCTCCTCCTTCCCCCCAGGAGGCGCCCAGACCCCCGACGTCGTGATTTGTTCATGTCGTCCGCTCCCAGAGGTCTCGAAGAATTCCCCGGGACCCGTTTTCCGTCCTGAGTCGCTTTTGGACGGTCCCAAAGCCCGGAGAAGGTCCCCAGAGGCCGAGAATGGCGAAAAACCTCCCGTCGTGATTGTGTCATGACCCGAGGGGATTCTGGGAGGGAAGCATCGGCCTGGGATCGGCGATACATCGCCGACAGACCAACGACCTCGCCCCCCAGCCCCCAGGGGAGCCCAGAATCGAATCGATAAATCGGATCGGCGATCGAAAAGAATCGGATCGGCGGACATCGGCAGCCGAGTCGGGAGAAGTCGAACCGGCAGACATCGGCAGTCTCGGAGGCCTCCACTGAGGAATCGGAGCCCGAATCGAAATACAGTCGGGCCGCTGAAAGAAGGAACGCTAAATAAGGAACGAAGTCCCTTCTTGGCCCTGTAAGCGCCTCCGTGCCCCAGGAGGGCAAGAGGAACAGCACTGGAGAAACCTAAGGAAGATAAGGAACATCGGGCCCCTTCCGAACCTAAACTGTTCCTTATTGCAGCGTCTTGACTGTACCCAACCACATCAAATCGGTATAGAAAGCATCGAAATCGAATCCGATCGAATCGGAGGAATCGGAACGAGCCCTGCCCCCGAGGAGGAGGAGGAGGAGGAGGAGGAGGAGGAGGAGGAGGAGGAGGACTAGGACGAGGAGGAGGAGGAGGAGGACTAGGAGGAGGAGGAGGCGGAGGAGGCGGAGGAGGAGGAGGAGGAGGAGGAGCGGCCGCTGGGCGCCCCCGCGTGGCCTAGAGGGGGGGGGGAACGTCGGGGGCGTCTCCAAGAGGGGGGCTCGCAGATCGTGGTCCAAGGTATGTTTAGGTCGGGCGTGCCCCCCCACAGGGGGATTCTCGACGAAAAATAAAACCTACTGGCAACATACTCCAAAATGGTCACGAGATGCTCAAAAAATAGTCCCCAGGATATTGTTTGGCTATTTTTTAATATTCCCCCCGTAGAGGGACAGGCCCGACTTCAAGGTACGTGCGCGGACAAGGGGGAGGGGGCGCAGGGGCGCCCCATTTCGCGCTGCGCGCTGCGCGAAGCGCGAATGACTTCGCGCGGCCTCGCGCTGCCCCGCGCTGCCCCCCCGGGGGAGAAGAGGAACAGGGGGAGGGATCGAAGCCGAGCCGCGAAGCGCGAACAACTTCGCGCCCTCGAAGGCGCCCTTGGGGACGACGACGACGACGACGCTCCAGTTGTTCCGGATCTCTGGGGTTACTTAGCGCTCCCCTGACGAGGGGCCTGGCCACTTCGGCTGCTGCGGCGCCGAGCGCGGGGTCCTCGCCGGCGCGGGGGGCACGTCGCCGGAAGCGCTGCGGCGGGCGCCGCTGGCGCCTGTGGTGCAGCTGCGGCCGGAGAGGTCGAGCGGGGACACCTCGAAGGAAGAAAGGGAGGCATGACATCTGGAAGGTGTCACGGCCCCGCCAATGATATCCTCCCCCCCCCTGCCCCCCTTCTTGGCCGCCCCCGAGGGCGGGACATCGACCTGGCACGGTCGATGCGTGGCCGATGCAGTGGCCATCACATCCCCCCGCAATGGCGAGACCGCCCATCGCAAAGCCGCCCGCCAGCGCCGACGAGCACGCACCGCCTGGGAAGGCATCTGCCCGAGGCGGGGGGTTGGGGGCGGGCGCTGGCGTGGTCGGGGGGGCTGGGAGGTCCGGGGAGCTCAGTTGGGTTGGCGCGGGCGCCCCATCCACGCACCCCGTGGCGGCGCCTCTGGCGCCGCCCCTGGAGCGCTCGGGATATGGGAGAGGAGGAGGAGGAGGAGGAGGAGGAAGAGGAGGAGGAGGAGGAGGAGGGGTTCCAGCGCCGACCAAGACATCAGCGTGGACCCCAAGCACGAAATGTTTCTGCAGCTGTTGCTTCCGAGGTGCTGACTCATGGGGGGGGGGCATCGGCCAGGCATCGGCGCCACATTGCCGACGCATCGCTTTCTCGATTAATTTCTAATACTTCATTCCTCCTCATCCCGCTCTCCCTCCTTCTCCTCCACCACCACCTTCTTCTCCTCTTCCTTCTCCTCCTCCTCCTTCTCCTCCACCTCATCCTGCTCATCCTGCTGTCTGTCGTCACACGACTCTCCGAGTCACGTTCGAATTTCGAGGACATACGACATACCCAATGTATCTGGATGTCTCTGGATCGAATGGCCTCGATTAGCTCGATGTCCTTGTGCTGACATGACTTTATCCCCGCAGGTCTATTCGAAAATTGTACTCAAAGGAACCTCCATCTCCTTACCACGCCATCCCTCCCCACTCATCCTACCCAGCAACGCTGGAGGCCCAGACCTGCCTCGAGGAGGGCCGAGTAGGCCGTCTCGAGCCCCTGGGTCTCGTTCAGGCCTGGCAACAAGGCAGGGACTTCGGGCAAGCAACCCGAACGAGCGCGCGACAGTTGCCTGCTCAGCTAAACCCTGCATCCTCATCCGCGGGGATCTGATCCTGCCTACAACGACTGGGCGTGCGAATCGAACCACCTGGACGCAAGACAGAACAAGACCGAGACCTCCATCGCCTCTAGTTGTTCACGTGTTTGGCCTCTGGATCTCTCGACAACTTATCCAAAACAAACTTTGAATCCAGAATACATGTTTAACGGTCTCGGGCACGGCAACGGCTCCTGCACGTGACTTTGAAGACTGCGGACAAACATCATACGTGATATGTGTCGAGTCTCTGAAGGCGGCTTCTGACCGCAAGAGAACCGCTCCGAAACGCCCTACGCCCAAAAACGGCTTCTGACCGCAAAAGAAACATCATTGATCACCGGCGCGAACTCGCAATTTCGAGTCTGCGGGAAGACATGGGTTTGCCATTCAACCCTTCAACAGGAGATAAAGCAAGTCGGGCCCTAAGGATTGCCCCCCATGCTCGCAAGAATGGCCCAAGCTGCGCTGCTCTCGCAAGGAGGGCCCTTGAGGAAACCCAACTCTTCCGAAACCTGTTCCCTTGCCCCTTGCAATGCCTTGCCTCGTCCCGTGGCCAGCTCCGCGAGGAGACAAACTGTACATCATGGCTCCCACATGGCCCCAGAACGTCCAATGTTGCCTCGAATATGGCGCAACATGGCCTGACCCTGTTCAGTAATGCCTGCAGCATGCCTGCAGCATGCCTCAAAAGAGGCCCCAGAACCGCTCATGAAGGCCTGACGTGGCCAGCGAGCTTCCCAGGGGTGTCCCGAGAAACCAAAGCATCCGAACATAAGTCGGTATTCCTAGATGTTTCCTTCTAGACGTTTCGCTTCCGATGGGCTCCTGAGGCCTCAGGATGGCCCCAAGAAGGTCCGAAGATGCTCAAGCCATCGTCGAGGGAGGGGGCCATACGAACCCGACGAGTGCCCAAAAGAGCGCGGCATGAGGGAGAACCCCAAGAGATGATTACTCAGGTTCCAAAGCGGGGTCTGTTCCAAGGGTGCCAATGACTTTCACATGTAATGTAAGTTGGCAAATGAAAGCACCCAGAGGCGTCAGACGCTCCCAAAATGGCCCAACGAGAGTCTCACCAGTTCCAAGAGATCGCAAAAGGACTCCGACAGACCTCCAAGTTGACCGCTGCAGGGAATGCTCGGGCTGACCCCACTTTCGGCGTGACTCTCTTGTTGATCCACTGAAGCCCACGCCCTTGCCCATCTCACCGTACCTCGCCTGAAGATCGCTACTGGATGGGCTTGTGTGATTACGATGGTGACGTTGACTGCACGCATCGCAGCCGCATTTCAGTCCAAGAGCAAGAAAGTCCGCCGACCCCTTGTGGGTCTCTAGGCGTGTGACATAGTTCCCCATCCATAACCCCCCCAGGGACCCTAAACCGGAGATTCGACCACCACCACCACCCGGCCCCGGGGCACCCAGGACCGAACGCGTCATGGGGAACCGAAGGTCCCAAAACGCGGAGAAAAACGCAAAAACGGGCCCACGCGACGGTCCAAGCAGGCCCCAAGAGGCCTCCAAGAGGGCCCCGAAACGCCAAACGAGCGCTCCAAGACGCCCAAGATGGCCCAAAGACGGGCCAAGAGGCCTCCTAGGCAGCCCAAGAGGTCCCCACGAGGCCCCAAGAGGCATCCAAGATGCGCCCCAAGAGGGTCCCTAGACGCAAACATTGGCCCATTCCCTTCGTAAAACATACATGTTTCACAAATTCGCCTTCTGGGCTTTCCGACGCTCCCAGACGGCCCAAGACGCCCCCAAGACCGCCCCAAGACGGCCCAAAAAGCCCCCAAGAGGGTCCCAAGATAGCCCAAGTGGGCTCCAAGATGACCCAACAGGCGTCCAAAACGGCCCAAGAGGGCCCCGAAGACGGCCCCAAGAGCGCTCCAGGAGCGCCCCAAGTGGCCTCCAAGAGAGCTCAATATGTATGGTCCCAGACGGTCCAAGAGCGATCAAAAACACCGACGATGGCCTCCAGACGGCCCAAGGTGCCCCCAGAGGCCCCAAGAGGCATCCAAGATGCGCCCCAAGAGGGCCTCTAGACGCAAAAAGTTGGTCCGTTCCCTTCGTAAAACGTACATGCTTCACAAATTCGCCTTCTGGGCTTTCCGACGTCCCAGACGGCCCAAGAGGCCCCCAAGACCGCCAAAGACGGCCCAAGAAACCCCCAAGAGGGCCCCAAGACAGCCCAAGAGGGCGCCAAGACGGCGCAAGAGACGCCGAAGACGGCCCAAGAAAGCCCCGAAGACGGCCCCAGAAACGCTCCAGGAGCGCTCAAAGTGGCTTCCAAGAGAGCCCCACACGGCCCGAGAGCGACCGAAGACACCCGAGATGGCCCCCAGCTGGCCCAAGACGCCCCCAAGGGGCTTCCAAAATGTGCCCCAAGAGGGTCCCTAGACGCAAAAAAAGCGCATGTCCCTCGTAAAACGTATATGTTTCACAAATTCGTCTCGTGGGCTTCCCGACGCCCCAAGACGGCCCAAGAGGCCCCGAATACCGCCCCAAGACGGCCCAAGAGGCCCCCAAGACGGCCCCACGACGGCCCAAAATCGCCCCAAGACAGCCCAAAAGGTCCCCAAGACGGCCCAAGAAGGTTCCAAGACGGCACCCAGAGGGGCCCAAGAGGGCAACCACAAATTTAAACATCTAGCTTCCGCCCCCACGAGCCCCATGGGGGCCCCAAGAGTGACCCAAGAGGCCGCCACAGGCCCCCAAGAGGCCGCCAAGACGCCCCAAGGAACCCCCAAGAGGCCCCCAGGAGGCCCCCCAAAGACCCCCAGACGCTTCCTTATTGCGAGCCGTCAAGCCAACTGCAATGCACTCCGCGCGTACAGCCTTGCCCTTGCTCGGCGCTAATGTGCTGCTGCCGCGCGAACTGTTTCGTGCGCGCTGCAAACGTCAACGGTCTCTTCATCCGTTTCGACTCATCTGCCACATCTTTCGCGGTGATGCCTCTCTGATAACACCGTCCGCGCGCTACTCTTGCTCCTTTCGTCTTCCGGTGGTCCTCCACTTGGTTGCGGGTCGAAAGGCCGACCTCCCAAAAGGACACCCCGCACCCGGGTGCACAGCACGCAAGGCGCTCGCAAAACACGCCCCAGACCACCTGCATCACGCAAACATTTGGACCCCCTACGTATCTGCCACCACCCGCGCGCGACACCGCACCCTCACACAAGACGCCGCTGGCCAGAAACTCCTGGCCTCGCAACACTCACACAAGGGGTCGGCGGATGTGGCGTAAGCCTGTAGAATCTACGAGACCATCTCCAAGACCTTGTCCAAGCTTTCGGTTTGATGCCGTCCAATATAATATTTCTGCGCCGTCAAGTGTTCGCATGGGCCCCTCATGAGTGAGAGTCCGCCTTCACACGTGTTGCAAGTTGCGGTTGACACTGGGCGTGCTGAAGCGGTCGACCATCGTAGTTTTCCATGTCAACTCGACTTGCAGGTGGGCCCCAAGGCGGGTCTCCCCGTCGTCTGGTCACCCAGAACACATCAGCTATGCAAAGTACACCTCAACGAGGTGGGAGCAGGCGAAGATTGCTCAACCGAACTTGCCTCAACCGAAGCACGCAAGGTCAAGCCACATATAAGCAATCGTTATGAAATCCGCCTGCTGCAAACAGTACAAGAACAGGTGCTCCCTCATGCACCTGAATGCCTCACAACTCCCACATGCGAACATCTCCTAGCAAGAATTCGACTGCACGCGCAGCGCACAGTGCTATCGGAACATATGTTTCCGCACTAATACCTGAGCCCTGCTTCGTAAACTCACGCGGAGGCCTTTTACTCTGCCTTCCCGAAGAGATCTAGCGCACATGGAAAACATTAAACATATAGATGTCCATATCCCCGGCTCTTCCCGACCAGTGACTAACCACCCACGCATGGGGAAACTGCGTCCCTTCCCTTGCCCCCCCGGGGGGACTCATCGTGTCGACGACCTTTGGAGATGGGGTGTCAAATCAGCTGGATGGTGGTGGCCCGCCAAGTGAGGCTGGAGAAGATGGTATGCCAGAACCGATTATATATACATATATATATATATATCATACCCAAATGCCCTGGGGGTGGACGAGTGTTCTTGCCGTGGTTTGGCCTACCAAGTTGCCACCCTGGGGAGTGGTGATTGTAAAGTAAACGTGACCCTGGGTGGTGGATTCTGGCTGGGGTTATGTCGGGCGTGTCCCCCTTACAGGGGGTTTTCGACGAAAAATAAAAAGATACCCCAAAAAATGCCCCGAAAAGGTCAAAATACTCCAAAAATAGTCCTCAGACTATTCTGGGATCCTTTTTCTGACTATTTGGGGGGTATCTTGTATTTTCCGTCGACAATCCCCCTGTGGGGGGACAGGCCCGCCTTAAGACTGGGGCGGGGAGGGTGTGGTGTGCAACAAAAAACGTCGGTATGGGGTCGGAGGACTGCACGGCATCGCTGACGCATCGGCGATGATCGGGTCGGGCGAAAGGGGGGGATAGCAAGAGGGGGGTTTGCGAAACACGTAGCTGATTTTCCCAGCGCCTCCCGGCGCCGGAGGCGTCTATGTATCAAGGAATGGGCCCCTCGGTGGGGCCGAAACCAGCTGCATGCAGCAAATTTCGTAACCCCCCCTTTCCCAATCCCCCCCTTTCCCAATCCCCCCCTTTCGTCCGGCCCGAGATGATCCCGCTGCGACGTCGGGATGCAGCTTCCCCCAGCCGCTGGCGCCCCGCGGCGCGGGCAGCTGTGCGCCAGAGGGGGCGCCTGGGAGCTGGAAAGGAAGGGGTTCGCGCAGCAGGGCCCCAAGAGGAAGCGGCATCCGAGCCCTACATGGCGGTTGTTTTACACATAAGATTCTTAAACGCATAAGATTTTGAATCCATGAGTAATGTACGGATTACTGCATGCATGAACTCATCTTTTTTCATACTAAATCCATGCATCTTTCATACATGATCCGCACGCGGAGCACGTATAAAAAACGGCACTGTACCCCCACCGACCATCGAATCTCCTGAGTCGATGGGGGGCGGGAGTAGGGTTCGAACTTCGCCGCGTAGTCGACGGATTTCGAACCCCACCCCCGCCGCCAATCGAGTTGCCTGATTTGTTGATCAGCGAGGGTAGGGGTCGGATTTCGCCGCCGACTCGGGCACGTGCGCGGACGGGGGTGGTGGGGGGGAGGGAGGCCAGTGGACGCACTGAATGAATACGAGGCCATGAGATGTGACGTTGCCAACCAATTTCAGCATCACGACAACGCGCGACCAGAGCCCCAGACCCTAGACCCTGTCTTTCGCCGCCATTTTTCGAGCCGCGTCGATCTGCGAGGGGCCCATGGCGCGAAACTGGGCGCACATGCCGGCCATGAACAAATTGCAGCGCCAAAATCTCAGGGGGGGCCATGGCCTCTGGGAGACCTCATGCTATCCACGGCTCCCGCTTCGGCGCCCTCGAGCGGAAGGCCGTGGCCGCAGCGTCTGACGGGGCCGGGGAGCACGCCGAGCCTCCGAGGCGGCGGTGGCCGTGGCCGTCCTCGGACTCGTGCCCGTAGGACGCCTCGCGGGAGGGCCATCGCGAGGGCGCCCGACGACCGACGACCGGCGCACCAAAGGCCGACCGACGACGAATCGACGGACGCCGACGACCGTCGTCGGCGCTCGCCGCATCGTCCTCGTCGGTCGGTCGGTCGGTCGGTCGGTCGGTCGGCCGTCGTCGTCGCCGACGTGGACGTCAACGAACGACGACTGTACGACCGACGCTGCCGCCGCCGGCCGACGCCGCCGGCCAACCACGGGCCCCGAGCACGGCTGCGTTGCAGCGCGGCATCTGGGGGGAGCCCGCGCAGAGCGCCGCTGGGAGCACGCGTCCGCGCCGGCCGCCATCCGCCTTCAGGTGGAGGCATTCGGAGCGTACCTCCACCAACCATCGAGTCTCCCGCGTCGATGGAAGGCGGGGGCTCAAGCAGTGGCGAAGCGTCCTGGCTCGCCTATAGCCCTACCAAACAATATTCTTAAGAACCTTTTGGAATTCCACGAACTGTTTTTAGAACATTCTGGCGGAGTCTGTCTTGTTATATCACATCGGGCTTATGACGTTCCAAGAGCATTGCTTTTGTTCCGAAACATGTCTGGGTTCTAAGAAAATGTCGTGGTAGGACTATAGGAATGCCGAGACGGTCGGTCCGTGCTCAAGAGGTAGAGCCGAGAATTTTCGCCATGTGCGAAACGAATTCCAAACCCTGCCCCCGCCGCCCATCAAGTTGTCTCAATCGTTGCTCGGCGAGCGTGCCCGTGTAGACCAGAGACCATATACACCAAGAACGAATATGATGGCCGTCTGCTGTACAAACTGTCATGGACTGTCACGGGGCGGGCTTACATTCCACCCCGCCTGCGGGCGGCGATCCTGCCGCACAGAGGGCTGGCATCTCAATTGGTGGGGCCTTCTCCGAGTACCCTCCGAGGGCCCCTTCCCTGAGGGGCCCTTTGAACGCCTTCGGAGGGCCTCGCGCACGCCAGGCGCAAACGGCGCAGACCTTCGGCCCCCTGGAGGAGGACGACTCTCTGGGCCACACCCGCGAGGCGCGGTCATCTCTGCTTGGCGGCGAGCGCAGGGGGGACAAGAAAACGGGCGGACAGAAGCCTCAGAAGTCCCCCGACCCATAAAGCAAAAATTCGTCCACGCCTTCCCCGAAGACGCATCAACCATATTGGACGGCGCGAGGGCTCCCGAGACATCCCGCCGCGCAGTCTGAGGAGGCCTTCTCATCCTCGCCTTCTGCGAAGGTCTGCTCGTTCTCACTTCCCCCCCTCCCCCTGGCCATCGCTCGGACGTCCGTTCCTTGTGCTTTCTGTCGGTTCGGTGCGTGGTTGTTTCCTCCTCCTCCTCCTCCTCCTCCTCGCCAAATGATCAAGGGTGCTCCTCGATGGCCCTCGCCGAAGGAAACAGGCCCGCGTCCGAGCGGTGCCACGCGCCCCCCGCTCGCCGCCGAGCAAGCGGCGCAGACCTTCGGACCCCCATCTGGCCATCGCTCGGACGTCCATTCCCTGTGTTTTTTTCGGTTTCGTGCGTGGTTGTTTCGCCAATTAATAAGGATGCTCCTCGATGGTCCTCGCCGAAAGAAAAATGCACACGTCCGAGCGATGCCAGGCCATCGAGGGGGACGACCCCCCCCCGGGCCGCACCCGCGAGGCGCGGGTGCAGTCCCTGCGCTCCCGCAGGCAGCTTGGTCGAACACTCTTCTGCGGCCGCCTCGATTCTCCTCCGCCTCCATCACCTGGGGGGCCACGTGCGAATCCTACCCCTACCCCCCACGATTTCTGAGTGGGAGGGGGCGGGGTTCACTTTGCTCGGGAGCTCCCGAACGGAGAAAACCCCACCCTCCCCCTCAGAATCGATTTCTTTTCGAGCACGGGGGCGGGGCGCCCACTGCCGGTGCAGCGCACTGGTGCTGTGCTACTGCCCGCGCGCGCTATGATCAGGAGGGGCGCTCAGCACAGCCTGATAAGAGCGTGACCGATTGGCCAAAAGTACGGGCCGCGGGGAGAAGGAAATTCATGGGGGGTAGGGGTAGGGTTCGCATGTGGCCCCCTGCTACCTCCTCATCCACGCCCCTCCCACCGCTCGGCCCGAGAGGGCGCATCCTGGGGCGCTCGGGCTGGCCTGCTCCGAGAAGGTGGCTGTGCCACCGTACGCAAGGAGCGCGGTGAAACCATGTCTCCCTCGCAGCGCGGCGGAGGCGATCCGCCCGCGCGTCCAAACGACTCGGGCTACGGCATTGCGAACTGACCCCGCATGCACGAGGACCAGGGGGACAGGCGCGCTGGCCGCAGAGACAGGAAGAGGAGGAGGCATGGCGCGGTGAAAGCCATGCGACGTGCTGGCTTGTTGGGTGTCTGTGCGCTTTCTCGCCCCCCTCTCACCACGCACCGTGGCGCATCGCCCATCCCCCCCCACCCTTCCCGAGGCTCTGCAGGCGGCCCGACGCCTCCTGGAAGTCACCCCACGCTCCCCAGGGCTTTCAGGACGGCCCACGGAGGTCACCGAGGTCCAGGATGGCCCAACACTCCCCCGAACGAACGAACGAACGAAGCTGCCGACGCCGGGAGTCCGGCGACCCTACAAGGGCGGCAGGCGCGCCAGACGCGCTGGCCTCCGGGGAGGCCGGGTGACTGATCAGGTACGAGACAATTGCATGCAGCCAAACGCTGCTGCGAAGAAGCCAAACGCTCCCCGCAAGATGATGAAGATAGATCGATGACGACGACGGATAAACGGATTAGCGCCACATGCTTTCGAACACTCCCCCGAGGCTCGCCCGAGCAGCCCCGGACCACCCTCCAGGAACTCTCGGAGTCCAGACGCGCATAGTTCTCGCATGTGTGTCGGGTGGCTTCGCTTGCCGCCCTCGCCGGTCGAAGCTCGGCCCACCGGCGGCCTTCGAGGAACCAAGGGGGGGCCCGCGGGGCGCCACAAGGGGACCCATGGCCGTCCCAAGACAGCCCCCGAGGAAGTCCCAAGCTGGCCCCAAAGGCCCCTGGAGGGCCCCCAAATGGGCCAAGGGGGCCCCCAGACCGCCTGAGAGGACCCCTGGGCGGCCCGAGATTGCCCCAAGACGACGGCACGACGGCCCAAATAGACACCATCACGGCCACGAGAGCCCCAAGACGTCCCAACCGTGCCCCAAGTTGGCGTAAGAGTCCCACGACAGCCCCAGGGGGCCCCCAAGGCTGGCCCACCGCACGACCCACAAAGAGCCCCTGAAGAGAGGGAGACGAGATGTGCCACACGTGACGGCCTCCCGGTTGGTGCTCGAAGGGTCGCCACACACAGAATGCGTCGCCGGCACGGTGGCGGAATGCGCCACAAGCACCCGGATGCATCATGAACCGCAGAGCGGAGAGCTGGCACGCGGTCGGCCTGGCTTTCGAGATAGCTGCTGCCGACTGCCCTGCCCTATGACATCACGCTCGGTCCAGTAGTTGGCGCCAACTTGTCATGCGTGGTTCGGCGACCACGCGGGCGGTAAGACTACCAATCGAAACACATCGGCCGAACGAGACGACGACAAACCGAGAGAGTCGAAAACAGCTAGGCCGATCGGACCCTGAGGAAACCCATTCTCGCCCGTTTCCTCCTGCTCCTTCTGCCGATGCTCCTTCTCAACGGACCCCCTGAAATAGAATCGGGCTGCTGTAGTACGGAATGCTAGAGAAGTAACGAAGCCCCGCGTTGGCATCAATAGAGACTGGGCGCACGAGGAGGGCTAGAGGAACAACCACGGAATGGCCCAAGGAACAGCTGGCCCCTTCCGAACCCAAATCGGTCCTGATCTCTGTCTTGCCTGCAGTAGGGGAGGAAGTATGAGGCAGACATCAAGGGACACAGGCCCCTCATCCACATCCTGCTCTTTCTCGCCACCGTCCTCCTCATCGTCCCCATCATCGTCCTCCTCCGTTCTCCTCCTCCCACTCCTCATCCTCATCGTCCTCCTCCGTCCTCCTCCTCCTCCGCCTCCTCCTCCTCCTCCTCCTCCTCCTCCTCCTCCTCCTCCTCCAGGCTGACCGTCGACGCAGACCAGAGCTTGTAGTCCGTCGGGTAGGTCTCGCTCTTGCTGGTGTGCACCCAGCCCTGCCAGGAGGAGAGAAGCCGTCGCGGGCGGAAGGAGGCCGAAAAGGTAGAGAAGGGGGTGAAGGTAGGCTGGGGAGATCTGATGATTAGTAGTTAGAGAGGACCCCTGACACTTTAGGAGGGGACCTAAGAAAGGATGGCTAGAAACATTAGGGATACGAAGTCTTTCTGCAGATGTACCATGCCAAACCACGAATTTTGATAATCCCTGATGCGAAGACGGGGACCTAAGTGAGGGCACGTCTTCACCGTGTTATTGGGATTATGGGTTCGTTTGCTCTCGATGATCTGATGTGTTTTTCTGGAAGGGGGGGCGTTTGGGGGCTCCAGGGAGGTCGGGGTCCCTAGAGGCTTCAAAGAGGTTCTGGGGAGCTGAGAAGGGAGGAGAACGGGACGAAGAGGGAGGTGGAGAAGGTGGAGGAAGAGGCCGATGGACGTATCAGGATGGAGATGAACGCGCCATGGAGGACGAGAGGGAGGGAGGGCGCTGAGGGCACTGATGATGCGGCCCGTTCGAGGGCCCATGGCGCGCAATCTGACGAAACAATCTGGCTTTGTCATGCTGCGATAGGTCCGCGCGGCGCCGGCACGCGCAAAGGCCTTTAACACAACGTCGATCGTTCAAGCTTGAATCGATCGCGGCCCCGATCGTTCATGGTTGAATTCCATCGGGTCCAGTGGCGTCACTGTGTCCATCGGTGCTTCAGCGTCGCAGAATTCAACCTTGAACGCCTTCGCCGGCGTCGCCAGCACGCCATCGCTGCATGAACATACCGTACCCTCCTCAAACCTTCAAACACGTCTGGCGGAACCAACAATAGATCCCGATACCGCTACTCCCCGGACCTCTCCCGGGGTGCGTTCCGACCAGAATTTCGAGTCGATTCCAGCGGTCGCGACGAGGGCCTCCCAGGAGGCCCACAACGACGAAAACGAGGCCAAGGTAGCGATATTCGGGAGTGGCCAAGAGGGGGGTGTCCAAGAGGGGGGGTGCAAATCATGACCGGCGGCATGTGCGCGGCCCAGCGGGGGGGCCAGGGACGTATTGAAATAAGAAGAGGCGCCATGAAATCTGGGGAAATAGCATGGCCCCCGCCAGGATATCCACCCCCCCCTAGTCATCACCCCCCTCTTTTCCGCCCCCGAGATATCGACGCCTCGTCCTCCGCCGAACTCCAGCGTGTAGCCACCGGCCTCGCGCCCGCGCTGCTGGCGCCCTTGAGGCTCAAGAGCTGTGCAACGTGGCGGTCCACAGGCCGCCGAGGGGGGGCAGCTGCGCTACCGCCTAGGTCAGGGGCGCGTCCTCCAGCTTCGCTTAGGTCGGGCCTGTCCCCCTTACAGGGGGGTTTTGGACGAAAAATTAAAAAGAAATGCCCTACAAATACACCCAAAATGCCCCAAAATAGTAAAAAAATAGCCCCAAGACTATTTTTCGAAATACTTTTTTAAATCCCCACCGTAGAGGCACAGGCCCGCCTTAAAGCTTCGCAGGCACGGGCCCGAAGCCACGCCGCCACCCCCGACGCACTGGCGCACGCATCGGGCTCCACGCCGCCACCCTCCTCCCCCTTCCACGCTCCTCCTCCTCTGCTTCCCTCTCCTGGTCCTCCTCCTGCTCCTCCTCTCCCTCCTCCTCCTCCCTCCTCCTCCTCTCCTCCTCCTCCCTCCTCCTCCTCCTCCTCCTCCTCCTCCTCCTCTCTCCTCCTCCTCCTCCTCCTCCTGTTCCCCCTCCTCCTCCTCTCCTCCCTCCTCCTCCTCCTCCTCCTCCTCCTCCTCCTCCTCCTCCTCCTCTTCCTCCGCCTCCTCCTCCTCCTCCTCCTCCTCCTCCTCCTCTCCTCCTCCTCCCTCCTCCTCCCCTCCTCCTCCTCCCTCCTCCTCCTCCTCCTCCCCTCCTCCTCCCTCCTCCTCCTCCTCCTCCTCCCCCTCCTCCTCGTCCTCCTCGTCCCTCCTCCTTCCTCCTCTCCTCCTCCTCCTCCTCCTCCTCCTCCTCCTCCTCCTCCTCCTCCTGTTCCTCCTCCGCCCAGCCCACAAGGGGCTCACATTGACTGAGAAGGTCCGCGCGCGGGTCTCATGGTGACCTTGCCTGGAGTATGGCCAGGAAACAAGCCACGCCACAACCAAGAATGAGGAGTCTTGGAACACTGCTGGGCAATTCCACGACACTTGGACAGCTAATCTCCTGGTGCATTCGGGTGCGCTGATGCGACGCGCTTACAAAACAAAACATCGACAGCATCAACTTGCCCAGTGAAGGCGTGGGCCAAGGCCTGGACGACGGAATGCTCTCTAAAGACCCATGGGACCCCAGCGGCGTGGAGAAACATAGAACATTTACCAGGAGCGGCCAAGAGGGGGGTGTCCAAGAGGGGGGGGGTGCAAATCATGACCGGCGGCATGTGCGTGGCCCAGCGGGGGGGCCAGGGACGTAAAGAAACAAGAGGAGGCGCCATGAAATCTGGGGAAATATCATGGCCCCCGCCATGATATTCACCCCCCCAAGTCATTACCCCCCTCTTATCCGCCCCCGGATGTATCAGAGAGAAAGGGCCGACCGGTCATTCATTGCCCCTGGGTGCGTGGCTGCAGTCGGGAGCCGCGGGGAAGATAATGTTTGTTGCGTTGCTGTTGAACTCTCATATATGAAAATAATCACCGTCGGGGCGTTGACCTAAGGAACCCTAAATAAGGAACGAGGCCCCTTTTCTCCAGAAATTCAACTTCGACTTCCCATCGAAAATCCAAGGATAACCTGGGCAAAATGTGAAACAATGAAGGACCACGGAGCCCCTCCCCAACGAAAAGGGTTCCTTATTCGGAACCCCGACTGTATTGTTGATCCCCCCAGCATCGGTGCATACTGCTTGTCCCCGTCAGAATGTGCCCCTCGACGCTCGCACCCGGTTTTCTGACAGGGAAAGTTCTTCCTGGTCAAATTGCGCCCCTGGCCCCCCCGGACTACGACAACAACGGCCCCCGCCTGAGAGACCTCCTCCAAATTTACTCAGGACCCCCCCCATCCCGTCTGAGGCTTCCTCCCAAGATACTTAGGAACGGCGCTCCCGCTTTCGACTCCCTCACAATTTAGCCCGGGTCCAAATGCCTCGCTGCTCCCCCGGACTACAACAACAACGGCTCCCGCCTGAGACTTCCTCCAACTGTACTCAGGACCCCCGCTCCCGCCTGAGACGTTCTCCCGATGTTCTCAGGATCGGCGTTCCCGCCTGTGACTTCCTCGCAATTTAATCAGGACCCACCCGGGCGGAGGCTTCTTTACAATCCCACCAGCCTTCTGGGCGTCGGTGGTTTAGCGAGTTTCCTATTCCATCCCTCCTTCTTCCCCTTCGGGGAGTGGTTTAGCCTCCCCCTACCCCCTCCCCATGGACCTGGACAGGGGGTTCGCGAGGTGTCGGAGCGTCCAAAACGGTTTCGGCGAGGAAGCCCAAATCAATTGTTTTACCATGGTTGTGGCTCCATTTTGGCCTCCTGTGATCGATCTCGCCCAAGATGGCCCAAAGAGGGCCCCAAGGCTCCCAAGTGTGCCCCAAAAGGGCCCCCCAGAATGCAACCAAGAGGCCCCCAAAAGACCGCCAAGAGGCCCCAAGAGACCCCACTGAGGCACCCAAGATGTTCCAAGAGGCCTCGGCGAGAATGCCAAATCATTGATGTTACTCAGGTTTTAGCCACATGGTGGCCTCTTGGAGGGGCACTGATTAAGATGGCTCCAAAAGCGCCTGGGTGAGCCCAGGTTGACCTCCAAGATGGCTCAAGATATCCCAAGATGTCTCCGAATGGCTCCCACGATGCCCCCAAATTCCCCAAGACCACTCCAAGACGGCTCCCAGTGGCCAAAGAGCTCCCCCAGGAGGGCCCGGAGAGACCAAAACCTTAGGACATTCTACGTGGTTGGCCTTCTCGCCGTTTCGCTTCCGATGGCCATCCGAGGCCTCAAGATGGCTCCAAGATGGCCCAAGAGGGCTCCAAGAAAGGCTCCAGAGAGCCTCTAGGCGGCCCCAAGAGCGCATAAGAACGCCCCAGGAGCGTCCCAAGAACGCCCCAATACGCGATCGCTTGGGCTCCCGAGGGGCAGAGCCGCTTCTTGTTTGGTCGATGTCCCCCATGATGACCCCAAGAGCGCCCCCAAGGCGCCCCAGAGCGCTTCATGAGGGCCCCAAGAAGCGCCCAGGAGGCCCCAACAGGCGCCCAAGAGGCCTCCAAGATGCTCCCAAGAGACCCCCAAGAGGCCCCAAGAAACTCCCCGAGGCACCCAAGACGTTCCATCCAAGAGGCCCCCACTGGGGGGCCTTTCCTCTGTGTGTTGCCTACATCCCTGATCGAGGCAAAACCTCTGGGCATCATTTCTGGATGGGCTGGTGGGGTTACGCGAAACGCCAAAAAATTACTCAAGAACGGCGCTCCCGCTTAAGATGTCCTTGCGTTTTAGTCTAGACCCCCGCCCCCGCCAGACACCAACGTTTCACGAAATGCGCTCTCGTCTGTGATTGTTCGGCCGTCTATTCAGAAATCGCGCGATCTACGCTCAGGAACCGCGTTCGCGCCAAGGACGCCGTCACACTATAATTAAACATCGCGCTCTCGCCCTACTCAGGCGTCCCGCTTGAACGCCCCACCCGCCCGACCCGCCCGTCAGAAGATCGCCCGCCCGGCGCGGGCTGCCGCCCAAGACTTCTTCAAGGAATGGCGCTTTCGCGTAGGACTTCTTCAAGCGTTCGCACTCTTAGCTTCCTGTTCCTCCCTCCTCGCGGGCCGCCTATGCGGTTTTCCCGCTCGCCGTGAATGCGGCTTCCCCCCGCTCGCCGTGAATGCCGCGTGTCGTGCAACAGCAACAAAGCCCGCGGCCCCTGCTGGTTCCTGTCACCCACCCTGGCCCTGCAACGCTCTACAGATGGCATCGGCCACCACAATCGTTTCCAACACTTCGCCGAGCAGCACCAGAGGTGTTACAAGGCGCTGATTATGCCGCGACCCATGGCGAAGCCTTTGTTAAACTGTGTTGGAACGGCTGGCGCAAGCCATGGCGCAAGCCGAATCGCAACTCGCAGCACAAATAATCGTCGTCCCTCCCCTTTGCCCCTGTAATCCCCCCTTTCTCCGATCCCTGCGTCCTCTCTTTTTGTCTTTTCCCTCTCGTTTCCCTGTTTAGGGACTTCTCCAATTAGACGTGGCCACGAAAAAAAATAACCCCCCAAATTGGGGGGGGGGTACGATCGAAGACGAAGAGGGCGGGTATCCAGGGTTTGGGATATGCATAAGGAATGACACGCGAGCAGGTAGGAGCGAACAGTTTTGGAATGACAGTCCCGTACAATCTGTGAAACTTCGGCGCCTGCGGCGGGCTTCTCCAGAGTCTCGCAAAATGCCGACGTCCCCGCCGCTCTTCACCCTTCTCCACCTCTGCGGGGTGCTACAATAATTTGTTGGTGGTGCCGGGGGCCAATGCCACCATGCCTGTGGTCGCGATCGCTGTCCGCAAATCGAGCCCCTCTGTGGGGCCACAAGACTTGTGAACGGTGTGCCGAAATGGAGGCGGCGCAGCTGTGCGTTCCAGCACACAATGGACCACGAAGCGTGTGCTGGGTGCGCAAGAACTGACACCTGGAAGTGGGGCGCGGCACTACTGAAACAGAGCGGGGAATCGACTCGCCCAGGCTGGTTGGGAAAAACAACGTTGTAAGACGTTCATATCCTCGATCCCGATCCTCCACGACGGGAACACTTACACCCAACCGCAACACGCTGGAAGGCGCTGCGTCACGGAAGGCGTTGCGTCACGGACGAAGAGTCCCAAGGAAGCACCCAAAACAAACCTAGACGTTCCAGTCCTTATTACCTTGGTCCCGTCGTCCCCGTCCGTCTCCGCCCGCCGTCCCCTTCGCCAGTGCGACCAGGCCGACTCCTGGTCCGAACCTTGGGTATGAGAACGATGTCGAGAAGCACCTACGGATGCCAATGTGCAGCCGCTCTCTGATTTAAGGAAGGAAGAGGACGACGACGAAGGCGGGGACATGGACACGAGGGGGCGGATGATGACGACGATACAGAAAGAAACGATCGCAGAACGACACCCCCCTTGACTGCGTCGAAACCCAATCACCCGGGTCCGCGTGAACAAAGCCGGAACATCCGAAAACCATCACAGAACCACCGCCTGGGGGATCGTGCTTGGGGGACCTCAACAGGCGGTGGATATGGAATTGTTTGGCCCACCCAGGGCCCAGTTGTATCCATATCTATCGTTTGCCGAACACCCCGAAAATCGATCAACTGGCAGTGGATATGGATAAACCCCCGATTCGGATCCGCGTATTCGCCACGGATCTTTGCCTGCTTTGAACGTATGAAAAGCGCCCCCCGCCCCCCGCGCGAAAAACTTTTGACGTATGGGACCGTCAAACCACGCGCGAACTGCAAACGGACACAGCTCGACGGTCAGCCAACGACAACCCCGCGCAATTCGATGCGAACGGCGCGCTGCTGCTATGCTCGTCGGCGTTTGATGAACTTGGCGTCGCCTTGTGCTGGCGTGGTGTCGATGCCAACAGTCACTGTGGAGGTTCGCGCGTTCGTGCCAAGGCAACAACTTTGGACGCCCGAAATGGGCATTGAAAACATGAGCACCATGCCCAACAACAAGTGTTGTCTCAAACCAGCGGCGGCCGCTGCTGGGCGGGCGGCCTCCTGTCTCAAATGGACACGGGCCGCGGCGGCGCGGCCAGCGAGTCCTGTTCAACATGGGCAGGAACTGCTGTCGGTCTTCGTGCCCACTCTCTCCGTACCCATCTTGTTCGTGCAGATCCTGTCTCATATGGACGCTTACGCGCATTCGCCATAAATCCAAAACGCTGACATGTCAAATCCACAGTTGTAGGGGCTGGGGCCGGTTTCCCACTGTTCATGCTTGAAGGTCTTGGCGTCAACGACGTGCCAAAAACACTGGAGTCACGCCCGTCGTCTGCTTGTTCGACGTTCTGGATGTGGGATCCCCCCCTGGCTACTCCCCCCTCCTCGCCCTCAGACCCCCCACTGGTGGAGGCATCCCAGCTGGGGCCACAGCAGATGGAATCCGAGTATCGCACCGCATCGCCGATGCATCGCCGAAGCCGATGCATCGGCGACGTGGGAAGGAAAAACATCGGACTCCAAACCGCGCCGCTTCGCCGATTCATCCGCGATGCGGCGCCATTCTCCGACGCCATCTACAGAGCCCCTCCAGCAGCCAAGGGCACTCTTCTTACAGTTAGAACTGATGGCCAAGATGCGCGATGAGGATGCAAGCACCTTCCGCGCCCGTGTTGAAGCTTAGACACAGAAAACTGATCGGAAGGCTCGAGGGCTTCTGAGAAGCTCCGCCGCCTTCTGGAACGGCCTTCTGCTTCTCTCTCTCCTCCCCCCCTCGCTCGCCGCCGATTGCCATCGGCTTCCACTGCACTTCAGCGTCTTGACTGCACCCCACGCGGGCGGCCCTGACCCGAGGCACCCCCGCTCGAGCGGGGGCCTCCCCGCGGGGACGGGGCGGGGCGGGGCGCCACGCCGCTCCGCGCGCGTGCGGCAGGCGCGCCCTGCTGCGTGGGACGGCGGTGGGGCCGTGGCCCCCCCCACAGGAGCTACCCTCGTCGACACCTCGGCGCCGAGGGCCGCGCGGGCGCCTCTGCGCAGCATCCCCACCATCCGCTGAAATTCCTGATCCCGCGGGGGGGTGGGGGGCGCGGAGAAGTGGGCGTCGCACGCCTGCGTGTAGTGCCGGCGCTTGGTGTCGCGGATCCTGGGGCGAGGTGGGGGAGGAGGAGGAGGAGGAGGAGCACGCACTGCAGGGGAAGGAGGCAGGGAATGTGATGAAAGGGCCGGGGAGGGGGGGGGGGGGGGGAAGGGGAGAGAGAGGACGAGGGGTTGCGTCACTCCGCCGCAGAGGGTACGCCGAGCTGGTCAAGGGACCCGTTGGCACCTGGCCACTGCAGCCACAGCACTCCTCCAAAGGAAGGCCCTGCATCCGCAAGAGCAAGACGTGGCAAACTGCAGAACTGACGGCTCCAACCAGGCATCTGAGAGCAAATCGGCAGCTGATCCAAGGCCCCAGTCAGGACTGCCAAAGGGACGAGGCAAGGAGGGGCGGGAGGACAAGAGGAGGACGAGGGGGAGGGAAGATGAGAGACGGAGGGGGAGGAAAAGGAGGGAGGAGAAAGAGGGCAGGAGTGGATGGCCAGAGGACGATAGCACAGGCTCTTCGGGGATGCTGTGCAATACACCCTCCCGCCCACGTCACCTCATCATACAAGAAACTCTTTCGGCCATTAACTCTTTGGAGGACGACGGCCCCGTGCACCTGTCGATCATCCGGAGATCCTGTTTTGAAGAGGAGCCGCCCTCCGGACTTCTGTGACACAGGGTATGGCTAGAAACGTCCACGGAGCTGCCCACCGAGTCTCAGATTTGAAAGAACTGCCATCCAACGGTGGAATTGTACGGTTCTGGCAATCAGGAATAAGCCCCCTGGCGCGACCCAAATTGGGAGTCGTCCTTCCTGCGGGGCAATTGGAAGCAAGTCTGAGCAGTGCAGCGTAATTCCTCGCAAAGAATGGCATAGCATTGTCTTGCATTGCGTGGAATCGTCGCTTGCCATTGCTTTGCAGAGCTTGGTGTTGCTTGGCATTGATAGGCATTGCTCGGCGTTGCTTGGCATCACTGTGCATCATTGCTTGACAGTGCTTGGCGATGTGTGGCATTGCTTTGCATTGCTTGGAATCAACACGAATTTACGGGGAACCCTGGGCAACGCCTGGGGCAGATAACCCCCAAGGAATCCTGAGCAGCGCACGAGCAAACCCGAGGAACCCACGGCAACGCCGAGAGCAGCCTCTGATTCGGGGCGCCGCACCGGAAGTTCCACCGTTCCTTTCACAGGCAAATGAAAGACTCTTAGGCAAAGGCTAATGAAGGAACGGGAAGGCCTGAAGAGGGATACACAGTTTGAAAAAACAGTTAGTCACCAGAAGTTGACAGGGGCCCGCACCCACTAATTTTTCTGTCTTTCACATGCAAGTAAGAGACTCGTAGGCAAACGCTGAGTAAGGAACGAGAAGACCTGGAAAGATATACCAAATTTGAAAAAAATCCGCCGACCCTGTCGGCGTGTGTGGGGTGTCTGTCTGGTCCCGTCGAGGGGACGCCTTTTCTGTTTATCCTTCCGCGTCGGGGGTGAGAGAGCACTCTCCCGTCGTCGGGGGGGGAGTCCGGGGATAAAGGGAAATCGACCCACGTCGTAGTCACATCAAAGGGAAGGCCCTTCCCTTTGTCCCTTCCCCGGCGGAAGGGGGGGGCTCCCGGGGAGGGGAATCAGATTCGCATCCCCCGGTTGCGGCTTTGACAGAGGGGCCTTCTGTGAATGCGCTGGAGGAGGGGGGGGATGACGGATCCGCAAGAGCACCCTAGACGGCCCCAGCCCTACAAGACAGCCCAAGAACGCCTCAGGACGGCCAAAGGGGGCCCCCAGACGGCCAAAGGACGCCGCCCAGATACGTTTCATAATGAGCGCCCCCGAAACCATGAAAAGCTGTTTCCAAAAGACCCCAGAATGCCACAACGCCTCCTCCTCCTCCTCCTCCTCCTCCTCCTCCTCCTCCTCGTCCGTCTCCGCCTCCTCCTCTTCCTCCTCCTCCTCCTCCTCCTCCTATTCCTCTTCTCTCCTCCTCCCCCCTGCTCCCCCTCCTCCTGCTCCTCCTCTGCCTCCCCTCCTCCTGCTCCTGCTCCTCCTCCTCCGAATCCTTCCCCCCCCTCCTCCCTCATCCGCCTCCTCCCCCCTTGCTCTTCCCCCCCACTCGTCCTCCTCCTCCGCCTCCTCCCGCCCCCCGCTCGTTTTCATCTTCGTCGTCTTCAGGGTCGGCGGCACCGGCCGTAAGGCCTTCGCAATACAAACAAATACCTTATCACAAAAAAAAGGAATGGTCATGCAGTTGCCCCCATGGTTGAAAAGGAATCGCCTCCATCCTTATAATGGTTGGAAACTTTCAAAACGAGTGTGCATGGCTCTGAGACGACGGCACCCTTTTGAAAACAAACCCACCCTCGACCAACGTGACGATTGGAAACTTGAGAACGAATATGTTCGGAACCATCGCGACCCACCCTCCACCCTCCATCCGCGCAAACGTTTGACCTTTCCAGCTTTGGACCCATACATTGCGGAAATCTCACGCGAACCGTCCAGCCCGCCTTACCGACAGGCCCTTGGTGGTGCAACGAGGAGTTAATCACAGCGAAGAGGGTCAAACAGTGATGTTGGAAGGACATTCGATGGATCCCCCAGCAGATACGGAACGCAGTAGCGGTGAGGACGGCAAGTGATGGGGGGGCGGATGAAGATAGTCCAACGTCACGCGGCCATCCGAATGCATGGTTTGCGCAGAGTGGCGGTTGCCCGACTCGCCCCCTCCCCTTCCTCAAGAACCTGGGGGTTACAAGGGGGGATCACTAGGAGGGGAAGGGATGATGGGGACAACAATGAGGATGGCGATGATGATAATGATGCGAATCGGGCTGATGGTACAGTTGATGTTATGAGGATCCTGCTGCACAGGAGCGCCAGCAACGATGCGACGCTCAACGGCACATGATGACAGCATCGATTATGATCGGCACCTCACAGATCACAGAAAAGCGCGCCAGCCAGACAAATAACGAGTAACATTGGTGGCAGAATGAAGAGGTGGATGCGCCAGCTCTGCTTACGACAAAGATCGAACTCTCTGTTGTTCCCATGGCGGAGTGATGACGGTGTTAGGCCTGGCCCAACTCGAAGGAGAATCCCACCAGATCTCTGAAGTAGGGCTGTAACGAATTGTCTATATGTCCTCGTCCAAAACCCGTCTCCCCCTACTCGGCGAGGGGCCATCCCCTACGTGGCTCCGAGAGAGAGCTGCAGTCGCAAGATGACCCTCATATGGTTTCAATACTACGCCGAAACGCTCTCAAACAAAAACGCGCGAATGCCTCCTCCTCCTCCGCCTGCACATTCTTCGCTTCATCATCCTTGCTCGTCCTCCTCCTCCTTCATCTCCCCCTCCTCCTCCTCCTCCTCCACGCCTTCCCCTCCTGCGAAGATGCCTCCAGGAGGCCTCTACAGGGCTCCTAAAAGAACACGAGTGGGCATCGGTTCTGGATGGTCTGGAAGGGACACGCGAATCATCAACATTGGTTTGGAGCTGGCGATGGCCCGCGCTCTCTGGGGGGGAGCGCCGGTCGACAGATCACAGATGCGTCTGCGCACCGCTGGCATGCGCGCGATCGCGTCTCAGTCCGTGCGAGGCGCCACAGACCTCCCGACGGCAAGCTGGACCTTGCCGGTGGGCCACCTGCATCTACCGCCACGTCAACGCGGCGCGAACCCACCTCAGTTTCACTGCGGAACACATGCCGCCTGATGGTACGGATGGGAGGGAGAAGGAGAGGGGAGTGAGGCTTACCTGGATTATCGAGATCGCAAGAGTGATTCGGGGAGGGGGAGGCGACAGGGGGGATGGGGAGGAGGAGGAGGAGAGAGGGAGGCAGGAGGATTAGGAGGCAAGAGAGGGAGGCGAAAAAGGAGGAGGAAGAGGAGGAGGAAGAGGAAGCGGAGAAGGTGGCAGCGCCTTTGAGCGCCCTTGGCGGGTCGCACGCGGGGGACCCCCCCCCGAGTCCAGGGCGGCTCGCCAGGGGGCTTCATGAGCGACTCCGGACCCATGATGGACTCGCACACGGAGACGATGATCATGTAGAGCCTCGGCCGAGGCACTCCAGTGGCACGCCATCTCGTGCCCCCGACTGGGCCCATTCGGCTCCCCCACCACCCCCGCCCCGCCGCCCGCTCGCGCAAGTGCCCGCCCGCACACGTCCGCCTCCGCGGCCTCGCGGGCCGGGCCCCTGGGCCGCGATCCCGCGGACACGGGGCGTTTGTGTTCGCGGACGCCCCTTGCCGTCGCTCGGACGTCCATTTCCTGAGCAGTTTTCCGTCTCGTGCGTGTTTGTTTTGCATCGATCGTCCAGGATGGTCCTCGATGGTTCTCGCCGAGAAAAAATGCACACGTCCGAGCGATGCCGAGGCCCCGCGCGGAACGCATCCGTGCGACAGCGCATCCGAGGGAGCGCGCCCCGGAGTCCAGGCCACGAGGGCGCGGGTACGGATCCGCTCGCCGCTCGCGAGGCGCGGTGCACGGCGAAGCAGCGCGTCCGCGCAGCCGCGCAAACTTCGGATGAGGGGCAGGAGAGCCCCGAATCGGATCGAGAAGTCGGATCGGCGATCGGAAAGCAGAGGACTGGCGGAACTCGGCAGCCGCATCGGGAGAAGTCGAACCGGCGGGAATCGGCGGGCCAGCAGGCCTCCGTCGAGACACCAGCACCCAGATCGAGGTCCGAAGCCGCATTGGAATCGGCATCGGAAGTCGCCAAGATAGACGCACATCGCAGGAGTCGAAACGAGCCCTGGTGTTAAGTCGGGCCCCCCTTCAGGGGGATTTTCGACGAAAAATGAAAAATACCCCAACCATAATCAAAAAATTGTCCGAAAAGAGTCTGGGGGCTATTTTTTGATATTTTTTGCCTTTGGGGGGCATTTTTGGGGTATTGCTTATTTTCGTCGAAAATCCCCCTGTAGGGGGACAGGCCCGACATAGCCCCTGGTGGGGCGACCACTGCCCCCTGGGACACCCTTCCCCCGCTCGGGCGTTGGCAGAACTGGGTCCAGTGGGGCCTGGCCTGGGGATCTGCACCGGGAACGCCCCCCCCCGTCCCGTTCCACTACCCGGAGTTGCCGTCACCCATAAAAACACCAGCTACGGCAGACCTTGTTTAGTGGTTCCAATCCATATTTATGACTACCCCAAACCAACCCGAAGACCCGAATTTCGGGCTTGGGGGGGCAAGGGTTCCACATGTGTTTCTTCAATGTTTGCCGACCCCCACACACTGGAAATCGAGGGTAAATCTGAGCCTTCGGGTTGGGTTGGGGTGGTTTGGCGGGTGGTGAATTTAGGACTTCGGGGCCCAATCACTAACCGGCTCCCCTTAACCGGGGTCCTGGCTATACCCGACCCGCGTCGGCGACATGGGCCCGCGCGGCCCGCAAAGGCGCACACCGGGAGCATCCGAGCGGGCCCACCCCCGAGGCGGCGACGACCGCTCCGCGCCCGAGCGGGCGGCACCGTGAGCAAAAATGAAACCCACTAAACACACACACACACACACACAAAAAAAAACATACAATAACACACTGTGGAAAGAAAACACACGCACGCACGCACGCACGCACGCACGCACGCACACACACACACACTCACACACACACACACACACACACACACTCACACACACACAAAACACACACACACAAAACACACACACACACACACACACACACACACTGTGTGTGTTTTTTTTGTTGCTTGTGTTTCTTGTTTTCCCCCCCCGCAAACGTTTCTGACCTGCCCCACTGGGCAAGTCGATGAGGGCAAGGAGGCCCTTATCGAATTGCCTGCAGCCTACAGCGACAACGACAGGAGGAGGAGGAGGAGGTGGAGGAGGAGGATGAGGGCAGCGGCCTATAATGGGGTCATATGCCTACAGCGACAGCGACAACGACTGGAGGAACAACAGGAGTGCAACGCCCCAGGAGGACGAGAACGAGGATTTGGCATGGGGACAGTGGGCCCCTTGCCATCGTTCGGGCGTCCCTTCCACGCTCCCACGTGCAAGTGCTGGTGTCGCGCGTGCCTTTGTGGCCACATGATCCCAGGAGGCTTCTCGATGGTCCCCGACGCAAAAGGAGGAAGGACAAACAAAAAAAACACGCGCGAGCGAAGCCAAGGTCCTGCGGACAGCGGGTCCTTTGAGCAGGGACCGACCGTCCCGGCATTCCTATAGCCCTACCACGAAATGTTCTCCTAGAACCCAATAATGTTCTGAGAACAAAAGCGATGTTCTTAGAACATAAACCCGATGTGATCAAACAGGACAGCCTCCGCCAGACATGTTCTAAGAACATATCGAGGAAACCACAAAAGGTCCTCAAAACATTGTTTGGCAGGGCTATAGGCGAGCCCGGACGCGCCGCCACTGCTTGACCCGGGGGACGTCACAGTCGCCGCCTCGGGGGAGGCTCGGAGGAGGAGGGGGGGAGGAGGAGGAGGAGAGGAGGAGGAGAGGAGGAGGAAAAGGAGGAGAGGAGGAGGAGAGGAGGCGGAGGAGGAGGTGGAGGAGGAGCCAGGACGCGTGGCCACTGCTCGAGTGCCAGACCCTGGAGCCTCCCCCCAAGTCGAGCTCTGCATCCCGAGCCGTTCTCTGACGGCCCCGGGGCCCTGTGGAGGCCCCCGGGTGCCCGAGAACGGCGAAAAACCTCAGGACCCGTTTCCCCGAAGACCCGTTTTTGGGGAACAAAAAATGACATAAACATAACAACTCGCAGATTTCTCGGATCGGCACGCGGACCCCCCTCCCTGGCGCGCGGAGCGCGCCAAGGGCGGCGCCCGAGGCGCCGCTGGGGGGCCCCAGCGCCGATCCGAGAAATCCGCGCGGACCTCCGAGTTCTTATGTCTATGCCACTTTTTGTTCCCCTGGTTTTCCCCATGGCGAGAGGAGGAGGGCCAGGGACATTTCCCGACAGCTGACCGCCCTCCCGCTCCGGGGGTGCGGCCCCGCGACTGGCACTCCTTAGAGTGCGGCGCGCACCGCGACGCGCGGCGGCGGGCCCGCCGGCACTGCGGCGCCGCGCGCCCGAAGCCAGCGCCCCGCCGCAGCGACCGAGTGGGCGTGGCCCCGAGGCCCGGCAAGGGCCCCTGGAGGCCGAAGACAGCGAACAACACCTCCCGTCCTGATTTCTCCAGCCTGGGTCTGCGGGTTGAGCAGGGACCGACCGTCCCGGCATTCCTATAGTCCTACCACGACATGTTCTCAGAACCCAAACATGCTCGAATAACAAAAACCATATTCTTAGAACGTGAACCCGATGTGATCAAGCAAGGCAGACTCCGCCAGAAATGTTCTGAGAACATCTCGTGGGAATCACATCGAGATCCTTAGAACATCCTTTGGTAGGCCCAAAGGCGAGCCGGGACGCTTCGCCACTGTTTGAGTGAGGGCCCCAGACCCGAAACCCTAAACCCTCAAGACGAAAAAGCACTCCGTAATATTGAGCAAGCTCGAGCGACAGCAAGCATGACGCCATCGCGACGCTCCCAAGCTCTCCGACGCCTGTCCAAGCGCTCCGAAGCGCTGCACAGCGCTCCCAGACGCTGCTGGACAAGCCCAGGCGCTCCCAGGCGCGCCCAAGCGCTCCGTGCGAGCGGGAGCGCCCCTGGAGCGGCCCGACGAGCACTCCGTGCGAGCTGGCACGAGCGGGCCGCTCGAAATTGGTCCGGGGACGTGGGCCCGAGACGGGGCGAAAACGCCCGGCTCGACCAAGCCGAGACGCCAAGAGCTCGGGGAGCCCGGGCGGGCCAGCGGCGTCGGGAGGGGCGGGCCGTGCCGGACGGGGGGGGGGGCCGACGGGAGCGCCGGGCGGGCGTCGCTCGCCCCACGGGGCCCCACGGGGCGCCGGCAGGGGCCACGGGGCCCCACATCGGCGCCCGGCCCCCGCGGAGGGGGGACGTCGGTGGCCTTGCTGTCCACCACCACCAGCATCAGCAATTGGTAGGGGGAGTGGGTCGTCCTCCTCATTCTCCTCCTCCTCCTCCTCCTCCTCCTCCTCCTCCTCCTCCTCCTCCTCCTCCTCCCCTCGGTGGAAAACAAGCCCATCAGACATGGGCCGTGCCCCTTCGGGTTTTTATGATGGACGGGGGGCGACATGGAATGGCACGTGCTATATGCTCGATATGCTATCGTGCCTGCGTAATGCTCCGACCCCGGGACTCTTGGGCCGTCCCTGCAAGAGCCTCTGGAAGGGAAGAGGACCTCGTGACTGGTCTGTACTACAACTGTTTTGGCGGGGACGCTAATTCCGGCCATGGGTTTCGAGGAATACAGATCCCCAGCTGGGGAACTGAGATGGTGGGGGTCATGACAGGGATGGGATGGGAGTGGGGGTCGGCGAAACGACGGTGAAATGAAAGGAATGAGCAACACCATAAACATCAACTTGTGGAACTCCGCGCAGACTGCTGGATCTGCGCCGGACGCCCTCGCGTGGCGCGCGGAGCGCGCCAGGGGCGGCGCCAGAGCCGCCAAGGGGTCCCAGCGAAGATCCAAGAAATCCGCGCGGAACTTGGGGGAACAAACAAGTACCGATACCGCTACTCCCCGGACCTCTTCTGGGGTGCGCTCTGACCAGAATTTCGAGGCGGATCCGGCGGTGGCGACGAGATCCTGCGTGGAGGCCCAGAAGGGGGGGGAAACGGCCGAAGGGTAGAGGTATGGGTACTTTAGTAATGGAAACAATTGGTTTTCAAAATGATTGGTCTTTAGAATCTCTGCGTGGTGACGCCCCCGTCGCCACGCGTGCCCTCTGCGTGCCTGCGGGGGCGCCACCACGTAGAAATACTGGAGACCGAGCATTTGGGGCGTCGCTACGCACGCCCTCTGCGTGGCTGCGACCAATTCTGACAACCCTGAAACCAATTAAATTCACTAATGGAGTACCTTTACCTCCTCTGAAAGCTTCGAAATACTATGCATTTGCAGTTCGTTCTGCGTTGCGGGATGGCGGCGGGCACGGGGCCAGCTTCGTCTCCGCGCGGGCGCTGGATGGCCGATCTCGCTCGGCGGAAGAGCAGCGCGGCGATCGAGGCACAGAACAAGTAAAGGGGCCCCAGAACACACAAACACATACACACAAGTAAAAAGATTCCCCATATTTTCCTATATTTTCTGGGCTTTTGTATTCCCCCCCACTTCCCATACTTTCGCATATTTTCTGGGAATCGTCGATCACTTGCGTCTGTGTGTTTTTTCCCCTCCTGATACTCCAAGGTCAACTCCGGTCGAGGGGCCTGGATGCCGCTCGCTCTGCAGGCGGAGACGGAGAGCGCGAACCAGTACGGCAAGAAAGCGCGCATGCAGGAGAAATGGCGACTAGAAATATCGAGATCAAAAACTCAATCTTGCCTCATGCGTGCCACCGCATGTGATTCAAAGATGCAATCTCCAACCGCTGCCAGGGGAAAGGCTCTTGCCACCACCCCACGGTTGCAGAGGGGGGAGGTTGGGTCCACATCGCTCTGGGGTGAGGGCCGCATGTGGCCTTCTGAGGTGGGCGGCACGCCGCTGGCAGTGCGCCCCCCCCCCCCCCCTGGCGGCCAGGCCTGCGACGCTAAGCCGGTGGCCAGACGATCACCGAGGTGGAGATGGCGACGCGCGTCAGCTGGGGAGGGCGCGGGGTTCCCTTCTCTGGCCCACTGCGGCGGCGGGGGGGCCCCCGCCGGCCACCGCGAGTGCGCGTGGGGTTCTGCCCTGGCTGCGCTCGGCGGTGGAGGCTGGCTGAGGCGCATGGTGGAGAAGAGAGGAGGGAAGACCCCGGGGACACTGCGACGTGGGGCGGCTGGCAGCATTGGCAGCCTGGCGGGGATGCGGCGGAGGCAGAGCGCGAGGAAGATGAGAGGGATGTGCGTTTGAAGCAAGGTCCCCACGCGCTGGATACACGTGACCTGAAAGTGGAGGAAAACGACGAAAAATTATTAGGGGGCTACTGAAGGGGGTCCTAGCTTTTCTGACCAGCGGTCAGCGGGCGAACGGCGCGGCCGCAGGAGCCCCAAAAAAGTGCCGACACAGTCGGGCACCTTCCGCAGCTTTCCGCGCCGTCCTGAGCCCCTGGAATGTTCTGGCCCTCGCGAGGGGTGCTCGTCCCTGTTCCTCTTCTTGTCCGCCATCTTCCTCGATGGGAATGGAGGAAGAGGACCGAAGAGAAGCATGACTCCCGGTCTCTCGAAACAACTCGTATGAAAGTGTCCTATAACAGGCACCATGTCTCCTAGCACATCGAGGCATGGTAGAATGGCAAAAGATACCAGGTAAGCTGTGTACCATATTCCAAGAGAGCCCTCCTAAACTTCCGTCCAGTTGCCTGTACCGACCCCCCCCGAAGCTTCATGTGCGGCCCGTTTCCTCCCTGGCACAACGGCCTAAGGTAGCCCCAAGATATTCCCAGCTGGCCTCAAGACGTCACGGAAGATTCCCAAGAGGAACCAAGAGGGCAACAAGAGGGCCCCCGACAGTTTGAAAAAGGAGTTGGGAGGCCCAACCAGCACCTTCGCCTTAGGCGAAGCCCAGCTCCAGGTCTGTTGTTGCGATAGTCCCAGTAGTAGGAGGTCGTCGGGGGAGCGACGGGCCATCTCAAGCGAAGGATGTGTTCGGTCTCGATGGCGAATGGTACACCTCGCACTGAGGTGTAATCAGATTTGGGAGGCCGGCCGCTTTGAGCCAAGCGGCCGCAGGCACACGTTCGCTTCCACTCACCTGTGTCCCCAGCTCACTTTAGGAGTCCGACAGGGTCAGACGAAACCGAAATCATGCGGCCGTACGTTTCTGAAGGATTTCCAACAATATCGCCTTGCTGGGTGTAGTCAGCTCAAGACGGCCCAACAAGTCTCGAAGATGGTCCAACAACGGCCCAAGTTGCTTCCAAAATGCTTCGCCGACGACCCCAAGACGGCCTGAAAGGGCCGCCGGAGAGACCCAACATAGCCTTAGAAGGCATTTCGACAGCCTAAGACGGCCCCCCGACGGCCTCAAGACAACCCCCATGTCGCCAAAATGACCGGAAGATGGCCCAAGAGCGCCCCAAGACGGTCCAAAACGGCCTAAGGCAGCCCAAGACGGCCCCAGCACGGCACAACACGGCCTAAGACAGCACAAAAGGGCGCCCAGACGGCCTCAGAGGACCTCCAGGACCGCCTAACATGGGCCCAAGACAGCCCCACAGGTGCCTGTCTTCCTCCTCCTCATTCTGCTCCTCCTTCTCCTCGTCGTCATCCTCATCCTCATCGTCTTCATCGCCTCATTGCGGCTCTCCCAAGCCTAGTTCAACGGGGTGTCACACGTGACGGCCTCCCGTGCCCCCTTGAATTCACGGGGGCCCTGAACAGTCGCCACCCCGAGTGCCGGGACTGCGGCAAGCACCTGGATTTAAGTCGGGCCTGTCCCTCTACAGGAAGAATATTCAAAAATAGTAAAAAATAGTCTGGGGACGATTTTTCCCATTGAAACAAAACATGTTTGAATCTGTTAGGGTATTGTTTGACTGTTTCTTATTTTTCAAAATCCCCTTGCTGGGGGACAGGCCCGAGTTAAACCTAGATATCCGATCTGAGGCACGCGTGGCACCCTCGACATCCAGAACCGGTCGCCCGTGGCCCGTGGCATCCCGTGTGATGCTTCCCCCGTGGTCTCGTGCAGGGCCTCTCCCGCATGGTCTCCCGCATGATCTCCCGCGTGTTCAAGACCGTATGGCATTCGAGGTTCTCGGCGTGCATGCTTTGGTGTCGGTTCGGGCCCCGTGCTGGCCCTCTGGAGGCCTCCCCGGGGACCTCTGGATACATTTGGGGACTTCCTCACCTGCACCTGCACATGTTTGGCGTGTCGCCCGCCTGCTTCCGCACGTGTTTGGCGTGCCTCAGGTCTGACCACAATCGTAATTTTCACGTGTTTGGCGTGTCGAACGGCTGTTTAGGCGCGTGTTTGACGTGTTGTCTCAGGCTTGTGCCAACGCGTCATACTGGACGCACGGCTAACTGACTGACTGACTCACCTTCTCGTCGTGCCACCCTTCCCGCCATCCCCATTTTCCTCCTCTTGCAGCTCCTGCCCGCCCTCCCCCTGACCAGCGTTTCCTGACCAGGATCGGAAGTCTGTGCACCGAATGCGGACGAAAGGAGGGGGTGCAAAGGGGGGTTGGCGATTCAACGCATGTAATCAGCTGGCTTTCCTGGCGCAGGAGGAAGCCATGTATTGAGGAATACGCACAACGACGAGGCTGAAACCAGGTGCGTGCATCAATTGTTTTTCCCCCCTTTCCGAGCCCGTGCCTTGTCGTCCGACACGAGCATGGCAGAACAAAAACGAGAAACAGGGAGACTGGCCAGGAGAAGCCTGCGGGCAATGTCTGTATCCACATCCAGTGCGCCTTGGAGTTTCGGACTCTCTTCGCAAGAAACACAAGGCGCACTGGATATGGATTATAATCAGCCTCCAAAGGCTCGATGTTTATCCATATCCCGTGCGCCTCGGCCTTGCGGCGCCCCTTCCAAGAAAGTCGATGACGCACTGGATATGGATATAAATATTGCCCGCAAAGCCGACAGCAACGAGAGACAGCCAGTAGGACCCTCCTCACCGACGTCGCCGTTGCCGTCGTCGTCTTCATCGCCCTCATCGCCCTCCTCGCTCTCATCGCCCTCCTGCCAGACGCCAGACATCACTCTCTCCGTGGCGTGGGCCCTCCACGCCAGGGTCAGGTCGGGCGTGCCCCCCTACAGGGGGATTTTGGAGGGAACAAAAAATTCAAAATACCCCCAAATGGCCAAAACATACTCCAAAAATAATCCCCGGACTATTCTCTGACCATTTTTTGAAGATTCCTCCTGTAGAGGGACAAGCCCGACTGAATTAACGCCAGGGCCCAGAGCTCTCACCCCTGGCCGTCCCTGGCCATCGCTCGGACGTCCATTCCCTGTGTTTTGTTCGGTTTCGTGCGTGGCTTTTGCGCCAAATGATCAAGGATGCTCCTCGATGGTCCTCGCGGAAAGAAAAATGCACACGTCCGAGCGATGCGAAGGTCCTGTTGGCTCTCGGGGGGAGGTCACCCGACCACCTCACCACGATCCTCGCCGTGCCCCCCCTGAGGCCCCTCGGGCGTGGAAGGATACGCACTCCGGGCAGGACCGGGAGGAGGAGGAAGGGGGGAGGAGGAGGAGGAGGAGGAGGAGGAGGAGGAGGAGGAGGAGGAGGAGGAGGAGGAGGAGGAGGAGGAGGAAGAGGAGAGGTGCGACACCGATCCTGGGCCCAAGATCCATGTATGGCGCCCAGGGACACACAAGAGAAACATATAATTACACACGTCCCAGGATTCTCAACATTTTTTTCGTATTCTCTGAGATTTCGTCTTCCCCTCCACGTCCCACGTTTTCCAAATTTTCCTGGGAATCGATGTTTATGTGTGTCTGTGTCTCCATTCCCCCCTGGATCTAGAGGCCCCAGGTCATGGGGTCCCAGTAGATGGGGCCAGGGGATCGCGCCGTATCGCGGATGCCCCGACGATGCATCGACGACGCATCGGCAACACCATCGAAGCACCAGCGCCGTCTGCGTGGAGAAAAACAGGCCCCGCATCGAGCCGCATCGGCGATGCATCGGCGATGCGGCGCATGCGAGTCGGGGATTTATCCATGTCCACCGCCCGGGAACCGACGTCCTGGTGCCACAGCGGGCGGTGGATGTGGATATAGTTCGGCCCCCGGGGGCCCGAATGTGTCCATGTCCACCGCCTGCCGAGGCTCCGAAAACCGACCCTCCGGGCGGTGGATATGGACAAAGTCCCGCCTCGGAGCGCGACCCTCCGAACCCATCCGCTCGGACCCCATCGGTGACTACCTACCAGACCACCCCAACCCAACCCGAAGACCCGAATTTCGGTTTGGGGGGGGGTAAGGGTTCCACATGCGTGTTTTCGATGTTTCCCGACCCCCCCCCACTGGAAATCGAGGGTAAATCTGAGCCTTCGGGTTGGGTTGGGGTGGTTTGGTGGGTGGTGAATCGGGGAGGCCTCGGGGACCAGCCTGGCCAGGGTCGGCGAGGTCGCCGGCCGACTCGCCCCCAATATCGGGCCCCCCCCGGGGCAAAGCAGCGGCCCTCAGGGAGGCCTGGCCGCCTCGACTCCCGCGCGGACGTGGCGCCATCGCCCGCAGCGGCACGAGGGCCCAACGTGGTGGATGCCACGACAATGGACACCCTAACAGTCGTATTACTGAATTTGGACCGTGCTTCAAATGTCGGGAAATGTCCTAAACATGTTTCAAACATGTGCTTTACATGTTTAAAACATGTTCAACACATGCTCTAGACATCTGGAAATTATTTGGCAACATGCTTCCGGTCCATTGATAGGGGAGGGGAACAAAAAGTGACACAAACAGAAAGACTCGGAGGTCCGCGCGGATTTCTCGGATTGACGCTGGGGCCCCCCGGCGGCGCCTCCGGCGCCGCCCCTGGCGCGCTCCGCGCGCCAGGGAGGGGGGTCCAGCGCCGATCCGAGAAATCCGCGCGGACCTCCGAGTCTTGATGTTTATGTCACTTCTTGTTCCCCGAATTCGTTAATGGATCGTCCTCCACAAGCCCAACTGAGAGAGCACGACGCAGAGCGGGGCCGGCCACGACGGCCAGGGCCGCGCTGGCCTTCCGCGAGGACGGCCGCGGACGCGTGGTGTGCGGCGCTGCGCACCGGGGGGCGGCGGGCAGAGGGCCGGCGGCGCCCCCGCGTGGGCTGGATGGCCTGGCCTGCTGGGTGGAGCCAGCGCCGCGATCGAAACACGGAGCAAAAACGTCGGAGGGCCGGGGAAGAGGGACATGGCCAGCTCCCAGACAAGCGGCGTCTTGCTTCTGTCGACACGCCCTCCCCAGGAATCCAAGCCCTTCTTGACGGCGCGCACAAGGGGGCAGGGGGAGGTGGGAAAACTTCTGAGAAGGAGGATGGTTCTTGGACGGCGCCGACCCTACATCTGCAGGTAGGCCCCGCCCGCGCCTTCTACGGAGCAGCCTCCTTCTGAAAAACTTCCCGGCTCCCCCTACCCCCCCCCCGTTTACGCGTGGCCGGACGACGCGCTGGGCTGCGGGAACCCCGACTGCACTTGGCTGCTGATGGCTCGATCAATTGCGCTTCGGTGGGCCACTCACTGCGAACCAGTACACCTGCCGGCCAAGGGATGAACTCCAACTTGGGCCCGTGTGAGCCTAGTCGTTTTCCCGGCGGGGGTCACCCCCCGAGGCAGCAGCGCGACCTCGCAGGCGCCCGCGAAAACTCGAGGCAACAAGAGAAGATGAGGATGAGGATGAGCATGAGGATGAGAGAGGGGGGAAGAAAGAGGAGGAGGAGAAGGCACATGAGGGGGGCGCCCAGCTCAGCAAGCCGCCGCCCGCGTAGATTAACTTTTGTCGTCTCGCAGAATGCTGGGCAACGCTGGGCGTGCCGTCGGGCGCCGCCGCCGCCACCGTCGACGCCGTCGTCGTCGTCGCTGTCGTCGTCGCCGTCGCTGTCGTCAGCGTCATCGTTGTCGTCGTCGTCTTCGTCGGCGTCGGCGTCGTCGCCGTCGCTGGGGGAAGATCGCGCGACCCGCGCCTGCCACGGCAGGTCTGGCGGCCGCCTGCCGCCCGCCTGCGCGTGGAACAGCGAGCCCCTGCCACCGGCGCGCGGGCGCGGGGGGTCTAGCCCCGCCCCCCCCCCCCTGGAACGGGCGAAGAGGAGTTGATGGATCGAGGTAGAAAGGTCCCATTCCCAGCGCTACTACGCCTATTGTTATGACGACTCTTACGGCTACAGTTGTGACGCACAATACTATTACGCCTAAGCCAAGGCCGCCTACTACTGCTACTTCTACTATGCAACGGTGCGTTAGGGGACCCCCTGAATCGGTCTGATATCAGATGACGCTCGACGACAGAAAAATACAACGACTACTACAAATACGGCTACGCCCACTACTATGGTTACCTTTAGTACCACTACTACTACTACTACTACTACTACTACTACTACTACTACTACTACTACTACTACTACTACTACTACTACTACTACTACTACTACTACTACTACTACTACTACTACTACTACTACTACTACGACTACTAATACTACTACTACTGCTGCTGCTGCTGCTGCTACTACTACTACTACTACTACTACTACTACTACTACTACTACTACTACTACTACTACTACGTCTGTTACTATTAATACTACTGCCACACCTACTTCTACTACTACTACTACTACTACTACTACTACTACTACGACTACTACTACTACTACTACTACTACTACTACTACTACTACTACTACTACTACTACTACTACTACTACTACTACTACTACTACTACTACTACTACTACTACTACTACTACTACTACTACTACTGCTACGATTACTACTACTACTACGACCACCACTACGGCTGCTTCTACTAGTACTGCTGCTACGACTACTACTACGACTGCTACTACGACTACTACTACTACACCTACTACTACTGCAACAACTACTGCAACAACTACTACTACTACGACTACTACTACTACTACTACTACTACTACTAGTGCTACGGCTACTACTACTACTACTACTACTACTACTACTACTACTACGACTACGAGTACGACGACTACTACTACTACTACTACTACTACTACTACTACGACTACTACTACTACTCCTAATACTACTTCTACGACCACGAATATTAACCCATCATGCTACGACGACTACTACTGCTGATAATTCTTCTTCTTCTACTACTACTACTACTACTACTACTACTACTACTGCTGCTACTATTACCACTACTACTACTACTACTACCACTACTACTACTACTACGACTACTACTACTACTACTACTACTACTACTACTACTACTACTACTACTTCTACTACTACTACTGCTACGGCTACGACT